TCTTGTTTAGAGTTTCTCTCGGTTGAGGTTTCTCCTATTTGAGGTCTCTCCTGGTTGAGGTTTTTCCTGTTTAGAGTTTCTCTCGGTTGAGGTTTCTCCTATTTGAGGTCTCTCCTGGTTGAGGTTTTTCCTGTTTAAGCTTTCTCCTGGCTGCGGTTTCTCCTGGTTGAGGTTTCTCCTTGCTGGGGTTTCTCCTGGTTGAGGTTTCTCCCGGTTGAGGTTTCTTCTGGTTGGGGTTTCTCGTGGTTGGCGTTTCCCCTATTTGATGTTTCTCCTGGTTGAGGTTTCTCCTATTTGATTTTTCTCCTGGGTGGAGTTTCTCCTGGTGGAGGTTTCTGCTGGTTGGGGTTTCCCCTGGTTGAGGTTTCTCCTGGTTGAGGTTTCTCCTGGTTAAGGTTTCTCCCGGTTGGGGTTTCTCCTGGTTGCGGTTTTTCCTGGTTGGGGTTTCTCCTGGTTGAGGTTTCTCATATTTGGGGCGTCTCCTGGTTGGGGTTTCTCCTTGTTGGGGTTTCTCCTGGTTGAGGTTTCTCCTGGTTGAGGTTTCCCCCTATTTGAGCTTTCTCCTGGTTGAGGTTTCTCTCTTTGGGGTTTCTCCTGCTTGAGGTTTCTCCTAGCTGAGGTTTCTCATATTTGGGTCTTCTCCTGGTTGAGGTTTCTCCTGGTTGAGGTTTCTCCTGGTTGGGGTTTTTCCTGGTTGGGGTTTCTCCTGTTTGAGGTTTCTCCTGGTTGAGGTTTCTCCTCTTTGGGGTTTCTCCTGGTTCAGGTTTCTCCTGGTTGGAGTTTCTCCTGGTTGAGGTTTCTAATCCTGCTCGTTGGGGTTTCTCCTATTTGAGGTCTCTCCTGGTTAAAGTTTCTCCTGGTTGGGGTTTCTCCTGGTTAAGGTTTCCCCTGGTTGGAGTTTCTCCTGGTTGAGGTTTCTCCTCTTTGAGGTTTCTCCTCTTTGAGGTTTCTCCTGGTTAAGGTTTCTCCTGGTTGGGATTTCTCCTGGTTGAGGTTTCTCCTGGTTGGGGTTTCTCCTGGTTGAGGTTTCTCTTCTTTGGCATTTCTCCTGGTTGCGGTTTCTCCTGGTTGGGGTTTCTCCTGGTTGGGGTTTCTCCTGGTTGAGGTTTCTCCTGTTTGAGGTCTCTCCTGGTTGAGGTTTCTCCTCTTTGGGGTTTCTCCTGGTTGGGGTTTCTCCTGCTTGAGGTTTCTCCTGGTTGGGGTTTCTCCTGGTTGAGGTTTCTCCTGGTTGGGGTTTCTCCTGGTTGGGGTTTCTCCTGGTTGAGGTTTCTCCTGGTTGGGGTTTCTCCTGGTTGGGGTTTCTCCTGGTTGAGGTTTCTCCTGGTTGGGGTTTCTCCTGGTTGGGGTTTCTCCTGGTTGAGGTTTCTCCTGGTTGGGGTTTCTCCTGGTTGGGGTTTCTCCTGGTTGAGGTTTCTCCTGGTTGGGGTTTCTCCTGGTTGGGGTTTCTCCTGGTTGAGGTTTCTCCTGGTTGGGGTTTCTCCTGGTTGGGGTTTCTCCTGGTTGAGGTTTCTCCTGGTTGGGGTTTCTCCTGGTTGAGGTTTCTCCTGGTTGGGGTTTCTCCTGGTTGGGGTTTCTCCTGGTTGAGGTTTCTCCTGGTTGGGGTTTCTCCTGGTTGGGGTTTCTCCTGGTTGAGGTTTCTCCTGGTTGAGGTTTCTCCTGGTTGGGGTTTCTCCTGGTTGAGGTTTCTCCTGGTTGGGGTTTCTCCTGGTTGGGGTTTCTCCTGGTTGAGGTTTCTCCTGGTTGGGGTTTCTCCTGGTTGGGGTTTCTCCTGGTTGAGGTTTCTCCTGGTTGGGGTTTCTCCTGGTTGGGGTTTCTCCTGGTTGAGGTTTCTCCTGGTTGGGGTTTCTCCTGGTTGGGGTTTCTCCTGGTTGAGGTTTCTCCTGGTTGGGGTTTCTCCTGGTTGGGGTTTCTCCTGGTTGAGGTTTCTCCTGGTTGGGGTTTCTCCTGGTTGGGGTTTCTCCTGGTTGAGGTTTCTCCTGGTTGGGGTTTCTCCTGGTTGGGGTTTCTCCTGGTTGAGGTTTCTCCTGGTTGGGGTTTCTCCTGGTTGGGGTTTCTCCTGGTTGAGGTTTCTCCTGGTTGGGGTTTCTCCTGGTTGGGGTTTCTCCTGGTTGAGGTTTCTCCTGGTTGGGGTTTCTCCTGGTTGGGGTTTCTCCTGGTTGAGGTTTCTCCTGGTTGGGGTTTCTCCTGGTTGGGGTTTCTCCTGGTTGAGGTTTCTCCTGGTTGGGGTTTCTCCTGGTTGGGGTTTCTCCTGGTTGAGGTTTCTCCTGGTTGAGGTTTCTCCTGGTTGGGGTTTCTCCTGGTTGAGGTTTCTCCTGGTTGGGGTTTCTCCTGGTTGGGGTTTCTCCTGGTTGGGGTTTCTCCTGGTTGGGGTTTCTCCTGGTTGGGGTTTCTCCTGGTTGGGGTTTCTCCTGGTTGGGGTTTCTCCTGGTTGGGGTTTCTCCTGGTTGGGGTTTCTCCTGGTTGGGGTTTCTCCTGGTTGAGGTTTCTCCTGGTTGGGGTTTCTCCTGGTTGGGGTTTCTCCTGGTTGAGGTTTCTCCTGGTTGGGGTTTCTCCTGGTTGGGGTTTCTCCTGGTTGGGGTTTCTCCTGGTTGAGGTTCCTCCTATTTGAGGCCTCTCCTGGTTGAGGTCTCTCTCCCCTGGTTGGGGTTTCTCCTGGTTAAGGTTTCTCCTGGTTGGGGTTTCTCCTGGTTGGGGTTTCTTCTGGTTGAGGTTTCTCCTGGTTGAGGTTTCTCGTGGTTGGGGTGTCTCCTGGTTGAGGTTTCTCCTGGTTGGAGTTTCTCCTGGTTGAGGTTTCTCCTGGTTGGGGTTTCTCCTGGTTGAGGTTTCTCATATTTGGGGTTTCTCCTGGTTGAGGTTTCTCCTGGTTGCGGTTTCTCCTTGTTGGAGTTTCTCCTGGTTGAGGTTTTTCCTGGTTGAGGTTTCTCCTCTTTGAGGTTCGTCCTCTTTGGGGTTTCTCCTGTTTGAGGTTTCTCCTGGTTGAGGTTTCTCCTGGTTGAGGTTTCTCCTGGTTGAGGTTTCTCCTATTTGGTGTTTCCCCTGGTTGAGGTTTCTCCTGGTTGAGGTTTCTCCTGGTTAAGGTTTCTCCTGGTTCAGGTTTCTCCTGGTTGGGGTTTGGGATTTCTCCTGGTTGGGGTCTCTCCTGGGTGAGGTTTCTCCTGGTTGAGGTTTCTCCTATTTGAGGCCCCTCCTGGTTGAGGTTTCTCCTCCTTGGGGTTTCTCCTGGTTGGGGTTTCTCCTGGTTAAGGTTTCTCCTGGTTGGAGTTTCTCCTGGTTGAGGTTTCTCCTGGTTGGGGTTTCTCCTATTTGGGGTTTTTCCTGGTTGAGGTTTCTCCTCTTTGGGGTTTCTCCTGATTGAGGTTTCTCCTGGTTGAGGTTTCTCCTGGTTGGAGTTTCCCCGGGTTGAGGTTTCTCCTGTTTGGAGTTTCTCCTGGTTGAGGTTTTTGCTATTTGAGGCTTCTCCTGGTTGGGGTTTCTCCTATTTGAGCTGTCTCCTGGTTGAGGTTTCTCCTGGTTGAGGTTTCTCCTGGTTGGGGTTTCTCCTGGTCGAGGTTTCTCCCGGCTAGAGTTTCTCCTGGTTGGGGTTTCTCCTGGTTGAGGTTTCTCCTATTTGATGTCTCTCCTGGTTGAGGTTTCTCCTATTTGGTGTTTTTCCTGGTTGAGGTTTCTCCTGGTGAAGGTTTCTCCTGGTTGGGGTTTCTCCTGGTTGAGGTTTCTCCTATTTGGGGGCTCTCCTGGTTGAGGTCTCCCCTGGTTGAGGTTTCTCCTGGTTGAGGTTTCTCCTGTTTGGGGTTTCTCCTTGCTGAGGTTTCTCCTCTTTGGGGTTTCTCCTGGTTGGGGCTTCTCCTGGTTGAGGTTTCTCCTGGTTGGGGTTTCTCCTGGTTGGGGTTTCTCCTTTTTTGGGGTTTCTCCTGGTTGGGGTTCCTCCTGATTGAGGTTTCTCCTGGTTGGGCATTCTCCTGGCTGGGGTTTCTCCTCTTTAGGTTTTCTCCTGATTGGAGTTTCTCCTGGTCGAAGCCGCCCGCCCCTGTTTGAGGTTTCTCCTGGTTGAAGCTTCTCCTGGCTGAGGTTTCTCCTGGTTGTGGTTCCTCTGCTTGGGATTCTTCTTTGTCGGGGCCCCTGCTTTCGGTTTTATGTTTGCCAGCGCCCCGAAGGTGCGTGGTGCGCCTATTGTTTTGGTTTTGCGCCTCCGCACCTGTCTGCGGCGCCGGTGGTTCCCGGTGGCGACGCGGCAGGCCGAGGTCGTGGCGGCGCGTTTGTACCGCTGCAGCCTGCGGCCCGCCTGCGTGGGCCGTTGTTAAGCTCTGCGCCTCGGGGCGCGGCGCCTTATTTTGTCCGGCACATATTGCGAGGCCGGCGGCAGTGGTTTTGGGCGGGGTTGCCGTCGCAGCGCTGCGCGGGCGGCGTTTTTTGCTGTAGCAAACGGGGCGGCTCTCAGATGCCCACTGACTCGCCCGCCCTACCGTTTGTGGGTGTTCTTCAGGCACCGCTCCCATTGTTGTCCTGCAAAAGAAAGCTGCCTGATGCCCCTGGCCCCTCTCTGCCTTGAGGGCTCGTCATTTCTTTCGGCGGCGTGTTTGTGTGCTCCGACAGCCTCCTGCCTGGCTGATGGTTTTCCGACACCCTCCGGCCCGGAGGAGTTTTTTTGTTTTCGCTGCTTCCAATGCGAATGCGGGGGTGTGTGAGAGAGTTTCTTTGATGTTGGAGGTTTGCCTGAATTGTATTTCTTGTCATTTTTCTTGTCTAAGAAGCTTGCGCTACATTGTATTTCTTGCCCTTGTAGTTTTTTGCCCATGTGCCAGAGCCAAGGAGACCTGTTTTTTACCTTGGAAAGGTCCTGTGTCTCGGTTTTTTCTTCGGGAGACTGTTTTGCGCCAGTATTGCTTGCGCAGTGCACCCCCGAGCGGACCAGATTGTTTTTTTTTTCAGTGGCCTGCGCAACATATCCTCCCCGTGGAACCGAAAGCAAGCGTAGCCTATAGGCCGGCCTTTCTACAGTTGGACTTAGAAGTAGATATGGAAGACTAGACAGGTTCAAGCCCTATAGCAGTAAGCTCTTTTTGTTTTTTGCCATGTATCAGAGGGCTTTACTATCTTCATAAGATGGGTGCTGGCACTTATCCGTTTGTCTGCACTTGGTTGGCCCCCCTGCTAAAAATCTCTTTGCATTTACTTACCACCATGTCCCCCGCCTTTTGTCTTCGTTGTGTCTGTGTACGATATGCATGTCTTGCTTCATCTGCCTTCCACAGTGTTGTGCGCTTTGTTTGATTAGTTTCGACCTTGAACTACAGCGAAAAGAAAGCATAACGCTCTGAAGCGAAGTCATTTTTTTCGTCACAGACCGCCTCTAAATTCGCTTTGGATTGTAATTGTTCGGCGACACATCGCTTGTCGTACCGGAGAAGCTTTTTTTTCCTTAGAATCTACTGTCTGGGCATTGTGCCGCCAGTAAAAGAAACAAGCAAATAAAATGGCCCGCGGCGCCGCGTCGTCATCAACTTCGAAAGGGAAGAACAAGAGCAGCGGATCTGTACTGCAGACTGCGATGAAAAGCGCGAAGATGATCGTCGGCACCGCCATGAAGTCAATGGGCGGAAAGAAGGTGGTCGTCGCAAAAGCCATGAAATCCAGCACGAAGTCCATGAAAGCTGCTGTGGAGAAGAATGTGGGCGGTCGTCCGGGAACGAGGTGGAGTAAGCGGTTGAAGGACCTCGGGAACTGTGCAGGAAAAACTTGAGCCCGACACCGCGAGCGCTTGTGCTACAGTGCCGCTTAGCAGTTTAGTGCTTGCTTTTTGGAACAAGTCAAAATCTACGTCAAGCACTTGCACTGAAATCCGATCCGTGACAAACGTGAAAAAAAAATCGCGTTACTCCAGGAACTTCTTCGGCCTCCTCCTCTTTTTGCCAGGATGTAGTCCTCGCAATCAGTGCGGCGCGCCTCATGCGGTCGCGTCGTACCTTACGCAACAGCGTGACACAGCTGCAAAGAGCCGACAAAAAAACGCGCCGCTGCCTACTTAATGCCTGCAAGGCCGTGGCAAAGCCACTGCTAAGGCCAGCGCCGCATCGGTCGCAGGCATTTCAAAGTCAGCGCGCCAGGGCGTCCGTTCGCCTTGTGTAAGTACACGGAGGGCTGCGCACTCCAGTAGAGCGGAGCTCTTAGATGAGAATCAATCTCGGCTCTGAGCAACTGAAACAAGTTGTTAGATGAGAATCTCGATGGAGTTACCATGAACAGCTACAGATCAGTCAAGGAACATCAGTGTTGCAACGAAAGACTGCTTGTTCATTGCGGCTGAGGCTGTGCACTGGGTTCACGGTCAGCACACTGTGCTCCCCAATCAGGTCCTGGATGGTTCTTTGCGCTTCCCTTGCAGCTGCTGCAAAAGAAAACGGGTGGACGTGATAGCATGTGGATCAACATTTTTTACAACTTGTGCGCAAAATACAACAAACCGCCTCGATGTACTGTGGTTCAAGAACTATGATCTCTACTTAGACAAAGCGCTGCCGCACAATCGCTGGCGTCACGGGCTCAGGTTGTAATTTTCAATACATATTCAAAAACCGGCGGCAAGCGATAAAAAAGCCCTGAAGAAATGGCGGGATTCGTACAAACGCGAGAAGGAGCTGCACGAAGAAGCAGCTGCACGCAGAGGAGAAGATCCGGTTTTCGACGTGCCGGTGCTGAACCTCGACGACAATGACGATCAAGAAGATGATGACGACGACGATGAACAGGGCGATGAAGAGGACGACGAGGTGGAGGAGGATGACGGCGAGGGTGAGTACGAGGAGGAGGAGGATGACAGCGAGGGGGAGGAGGATGACAGCGAGGGGGAGGAGGATGACAGCGAGGGGGAGTACGAGTACGAAGAGGAAGAAGATGAAGATGAAGATGAAGAACAGGCAGAGGAGAATGCAGCGGTCCCCTGCCAATCCGCAAACACCATCAAACAGCAGCCGCTACAACTCCCTCTGACCACAAGCAACGTGTCGAAGTCGATGACGTACGTAGCGCAGCGGGTCAGCATGCCAGAAGTGATCCTAGCCTTCGTGTGCGGTGCAATGTTCGCGTTCGTGGTGCTGGCGTACGTCGTGAACCACCTGATCTGCGCGGGCGTCGTCGAGCTGAAGGTGTACGATGTGCCGATCGGCGGGACTACCACCACGAGTACAACTACTTCCACGTCTTCCACAAGCACCTTTCCTCCGACCACCCAGGTCCCGACTTCCAGTTCCTCTTCCACTACTCCCCGCACCACCTCGCGCACCGGCACCCTCAACGAGGACGACCAGCGGGCCGCATATCGAGATGAAAAATCGCTTTATCCCACATGACGCCCAGAGGAAATTTTTGCTGTGTGAGAATGAAATTGATATACACAGATGATCGGCATCAAGCTGTGCTGTTGAGTCATCGCTTTCAACGTGACTTGTGCTCAATTGTCGTGTGGTGCAAATTTTCATGTCCCTGCGGTAGGGTGGGATGGGGAGCAGATTGTTCACTTTGATACAAACGACTACTTCTACGGGGGAAGAGTGCCGGGCACGTTCAAGCTGTAATCACGACAGCACGCAGGTCGTGGATACGGGTAGGTCGATGTGACGGGAGGAAACGGGCGATGAGGTTCTACATATGATCCACAAAAAAACAACAGTGCGGCAATTACAACTGCTTGGCAGTACTCTTCCTTGCTGCAATGGAATAGGCATCTGTGAGTCAGGCTTTCTTTCTCAGAAAATTGAGTTTCTCTACATGTTTTCAAAGCAGAAGTAAGGTTAGAAGTAGCAAGAGAGGTAAGTAAGTACTTCCTTCTCTTCTACTTATTTTACAGCCGCAAGAACAAGGTGGCTCTGGCTGCTTATATTCTTGGTCAGCTTATCTCTCCTTCGGAAAGCAAAAATGATACGAAACAGTTTCAATTGATGAACATCCACTAATTCATGATATTTCGGAGCACACAAGAACATAGTTTCGCTCTATTATACACAACCCGAACGCACATGTCACAAAATGCATTTCTTTTTTTGGGTACCTCACTTTTAATCAGACACTTGAACGTCTTTGAACAGCAACAGAAGCGCGATAAAAACAGTCGGAAATTGTACACATGAGGATGACATAGACATTAACATTTAAAGTTGTGAACCTGTACAAAATTGATTTTTTTGTAACTGTACACCGACCATCAACATCACATGGCTCCTATCGAGAGCAAAAAAAGCTGTCTTGCGGCGCATCTGCAAACCGTGTATGCCGGTGTTGGGTCATCTCGCCATGGGAGATGGAGCAGCGTCTTGTCATTCTTCAATGTTGCGTGATCACTATCGGTTATTTCCGTCGTCGATTACGATTAGTGGCAGTGTCTTGAGTCGGTCCTCTTTTGTTCATGTGTTTTTCCCCCCACAAGGGAAGGTCAAACTTGGCGTAGCTGGAGGTTTGAGTTGGGCGCAGACGAGCTTAGAAGTGTTACTCAATTCCGCTTTTACCTTCACAAAGAAAAATTCAAAATACGAAAAACTGCGGTAAAAGTTTTTTTCGGCGGCACAATCAAGAAGGAGCTAGGGGTCAAACACGCACAGCTGTTCTTCTCATAGCATACCCTGTCCCACCATCTAGAATTGAATCATTCAAGACTCCGACTACCTCACCTTCTACCAACTGCTTACTTCACCCTTGTAGCACGAAGCAAACCCGCGAGTTGCATTTTAGTTCTACGACTTCCACCTCTTCATTTACGTTTGATCGTCGTGTCCCAGCCAAGCCTACTTCGTTTTCAAAACGACTTCAGTGGACAGAAGCTTGAAATCAAAACACTGAAACAATTCAAGCTAAGAACTAGTTCCAGTAGCATCTTCTTCCTTGACAAGCAGAATCAACACTCATGGGAGCCAACCAATCCGCACCTGCGCCCGTGAACAAGGGGGGGCGCCCGGTGAAAAGCAATGAGCAGGAGATGCAGGAGTTGCTAGACCAGAGGCCGCAGCGGACTCTGGCTCGGTTGCCGAACGGCGACTTGCAAGAGGTGGACGCGAACGCTCTGCTGGAGTGGTTTGTCAAGAAGGAGGAGCTGGAAAAAACGCACAAGAAGCGCGAGGACGAGCGGGCCAGAAAGCAGGCGCAAAGAGACGCGCTCCAGCAGGGAGACGCGGAATCTGCGAAGGAGCATGACAAGAAGCTGCTCGTGCTGCTGTTCCTCTCGTTGTGCATCAATTTGGGGTTCATCAAGTACCTCTTTGTGTCCGGCACCTCCCACGCGAATCTGTTTGAGTTCTAACCTCGTCGACAAGCAGGGCTTAGTTCCTGAATACCGGTGCTGCAACCAGAGCTGGCGGTCTGTCGCACGGTGCGATGAAATAGATGCTGGTCAACATGTTGCCGGGACGAGTAGCGGTGAGCATCTCTTGTGTATAGAAAACTGATGATTGAACAGCACGAATAGATACTTCTTACAGAATTTGCAAACTACATCTTCTCTTCTGTAGTGCGAGGCTGCTGGTGAAAGGTAGCGCTCGCATTAAAATCGTTAATGAATGTACAACGTTTCCATTTGAGATCGCCAATGAGCATACAATTGTTTCTTCTCTATCTGATTTTTTGTTTCAATTTTTCCATAGTGCATAAAACGGTGATCGATGTTACACGAGAAGACATAGAGACATAGGTTTTTTCACTGTGGCGGTTGGTGGGGCAGAACGCCTTGTGTATGGAAAAGTGTAGACTACCACCATCACAATATGTTTATGTTTGCCGCACTTCCGTGTCGCAAGAGCGTGGCCAGGTGGTGAGTAGACTGTCGGCCAAGTGTTGTTGTCTCTTTCTACATTGAATGGTTCCTATCAAGAGCAAACACGAAAGTTGCTCAGTGCGCAGGGGTAAAAACTTAAACTTCTTTAAGCACAGATTGCGGTCGCGTCATTTTGCGCTGTAACCGTCGATGTTAATGTGAAATGTGTTCCCGTCGACCTCGATGTCATATCCACAGTGTCGACTTGCTGCTTTCTCGTGGCAGAGCGCCGCGTTGTTGACGCACAATAATTGTTGACAGTGAGAAGTCGCTTGGATTTGAAAATTGACAGTCGCTTCGATTTGAAAATGAAGAAGGAACTACCGTTGCCGAAACGTAGTGCAGATCCTGGATCAACAACTGTAAAAGACAATTTTGAGCTAGAGACCATGGCCGAGGTTCCCCCAATGCACTTATTGTAGTTTTCCTTGCTGGTGGTCACCAGCAACACTTCCACCTGCGCAGAAGTAGGTCTGCGGTATTGTAATAGTGCGAACTTCAATTTGTGACGAGGATCAAGATCGTGGTTGCCGTGGTCGTATCAATCTGTTTTCCTCTCTTCTGACTTCTGATGAGTGAACACGAGGACGAGCCGCGGTCGGGGCCTTCAGCTCCAGGACAGGACCACAGGCAGGAAAGGCAGGACCTCCTGGCGCCCAGCAGTGCCTCCGAGGACCCGGCAAGTAGTACATCTGCGGCACCTGCTCCCGGTGAACGTCAGGAAAATAACGCTGGTGCGGACAATTCTTCACTCGGGGCTCCTGTAGCTGGTACCGGCACTGGAGAACAATCTACGTCGGAGGTCACATCTTTACAACGAGATGAAAATAATGCCACAGCTTCACCTGCTGGTGACACATCACCGCCCTTTCCTGTCCACGAAGCGCAACAAGCACTAGAGAAGACAGGAGATCTACTGGCCAGAACAAAAGCATCCCCAGCCCACCTCGCGGAGAATTATGCCGCAATAATGAAATGGCACCTGAAACGGTCGGAAGAAAATCTGCGAGGGGAATTCAACGAAAAGTACGTGACGAAGGACGACTGGATTATTTTCCAAGACGAGCTGACTGTCATCGGGGGCGAGGTCGAACGACATAAGGGCGCGCTCGAGAAGCAGCTCGACTTGTTTCTGAGCTCCCGCAAAGCATCGGAAAAACTGAGCAAGACAGTGCAATGGCGTATCCTCGAGAAAATCCGTTTTGCGATCGTTTTTGCGCAGTCGGCAATACGATCCTTGGTTGCATGAGATCATGTATAGACAATAATCCCTGTTGTACTGTATTTGCAGGAGGCCAGGCTGTGCTGGAGTTTCATAACCTTGATTTTTTCCAGAAACGAAGTAGTCAACGTGCATTCTCACCACGTTCGTGAATTTCTTTGCCCGAAGATTGTAGTTCTGCGAGAAATTTTGATATTCTAAAGGCCGAAACAGATTTTCTCGCCAGATGCCTGCTCAAGCACTTTAAGGAGGTCATCAAGAGGGTTCCTGACAGCAACGTCGGGCTGATGGACCCGTACCAGCCCTCCAGCCCACCGCGCACTACGCCGTCTGCTAGCCCGGAGGACGACGGCGAAGAGGGGAATGACACCACGATAGCAAATCCAGAACAGCTGCAACTGGAGGAACTTCGCGCGGGAGCGTCGGGAAGCAGTTTGCCGATTTCCTCCCAGCTGGTCGATCCCGTCGAAGGTCACGGAAAAAATGGCAGCGACCGCACCGACGACCGCAAAGCAGAAAAGGAGTCGGACGAGGGTCGCTCGGGAAATAACTCAAAGAAATCAGCATCGAACATTGTAGCTTCTACACTAGCGCCACACGACGACCACCCATCCGGGGCGGCCGCGCCAACAACGAAGTTTCTTCCATTGCGCGACGCGGCCTTGGAAGGTGTTGACAGTGGAGTCCCCCCCGCGCCGGCAGAGCAGCATGACCGTCGTCCGCCGGATCGGCAAACGGGATCCTCTACAACGGCGACTACATCACCCGACGACTCGCTCCTGCCGGCGGGAAGCCCTTCAACTGGGGGGCGCACGTCGAAAAGCTCCGTCTCTAGCACCGGCAACTACCCGTCCCCCCGGGTACTATCTGGGACGACCACCCAGGGGCCGAATGGGCAAAGTGCCCACACCAGCGCCGATAAGGAAGCTTTTTCCGACTTTGCGAACCCAAGTACAACTGGTGTGCGGACCACAACTTTTCCGGTCGATCACCGAAAGGATTTGGAGAACCTGGAGAAAGCGCGAGCGAGCATGAAAGGCGGTCTGGTAGCAGCAGCCGGGACGATCCCAGAAAAGGACATGGGCGACGGCAATGAAACAGGTGGCAGCACTGCAGATGCTGATCATGCTTTCTACAACTTTGTTCGCAAGGAGGCTGCGCTGTTCTGCCGACCAGCCCTGTGCACACTCGTGTTGCTCTTGCTGTACCATCTCTTCGTGGTCCGACCACCGTCTTCCTGCTCGGCCGATTCGCCACTCCCCACGTCCGCTAGAGCAAAGTTCTTGACGAGCGCGGGGAATTTCCCAAACGAAGTCCTCGATCCGCTGGACGAGCAGATGGTTTTGGACCTTCAGATTTTGGAAGCCCTCGCGCCGTTGCTCAACCGTACAGCAGCGCTACATGTGATGAACGTGAACAAAATGTCCACCAACGCGACCAGAAACGGAATTGAGGGTCGTGACCAGAAGCTCGCAGAAGCTGTTCTACCTCTTCTGTCGCAAGAACGCCAGGAGCTCATCAGCGGCTTCGTGCGTCAGTTTGAATTTCTAGTCAACATTTTGTGGAAGAAAAACATCATCGCACCAGCCGAAATTGCAGAACTCGAAACCATCGAAAATTTTTCGGCCGAGTTGGACAAGCTGCGAAAACGAAATCGGGCTGCGTTCCAAACGCGCTGCCGACTAGTTCCATGACTTTTCATTCAATGTCGTCGTGTGCCATCATGTTGTATGATCCTCTCATTTTTGATAGTGATAAGTAGATTTGAAGTTCTTGATCAAGTTTGTCATGCGCTTGTTAGGGTGTGTGACATTTTTTTGGAAAGTTCGGTGGCAAAATGGAACACCAGCGTTTTTGTTTGGATACTATGCCGGCAAGGCGGCAAGAGCGTTCTTGCCACTGAAGATCCTCTTGAGAAAGAAGGGCATCATAACGGAAGAGGAGGACGCGGCCGCAAACAACGCGCTTGATAGCGGCTCTCGGGCTCCTTTCAAGGACGGGTGGCGGAAGCAGGACCAGAACGGTAGTTCGGGAGATGTTCTTGCACGGGGTGGTGCAGCGTCATCTTCCACGGAAAACGAAAACAGTAGCGGAACTTCTTCTACTGCTGCAACCTCAGCTACCGATGAAATCGCAACGAGATCCGAAAAAAGTTTTGAAAGCGTTTTCGACCTTTGAAAGCCAAAACTTGGAACAATGCGTACAACTAATTTGATGGTTTGAAGATGATTCAGATCGTTCTTCTTAGCCAGGTCCTCTTAGTGACCGTGCTTGAGCAAGGCTCTGCCGCGAGGCTAGCGAAAACTCTAGAATAAATTTTGCGAAAAATTATATATCCAGTATTCGTTCTTTTCAAGCCAATCGCCTTGCTGAAAACAAACGTTCTCCGTCTTGCACATAAATGTTGCGTGATGCTCGTATTGTAATTGCTTTATCGCGAGCTTTTCAACAACGCCCCTGAGGAAGGCTACGGGATGCAATACCGCACGGCGACTCAACGTCGTTGGCCCAAGCGTTTGTTGTTGTTCGTTCTGTCTTGCGTTTAGTCAACTACCCCAGGATGTCGAGAGTTGGCAAAATCCAGAACTCAAATCAGCCTGTGTTGAAGTGCATCTCAGCCAAAGAACTTCATCTCAGTGTACGCTTATAATGTTGCGCACACTAATGTGCTCGATACTTCACAATGTACGCGGCCATGGGAGCGAGAGAAGCTTAGTACCCCGCAAAGCAAATCAAGTATAAAAGTGCTCTACTCGTCCCATACAATATCCATTTTCATTTGACGACCCTCTCTTTGCGGATTGGTTCTTTTCTGCAGAGGTTTAGATGCCAAGAACAACCGCTCTAGCACGTAAAATCAAAATAGGATAGTAAATAACGGACGGAGCTCGGAAATTATGAAATATAGGATGAAGGAGACGAGGACGGGTTTACACAGCCAGAGCCATTACCTCTAAGATGCGTCTCCGAGCGTTGGCTTACCGATTGGGCAATCCTTGGAAGCTTTTCGCCTCAAAATGAGTTTTTCTTTTTGCTGCGTCGCCAGCTGCTCCCTGCAACGTCTGCCCCATCCTTGTGCGCTACGATAGTCAGGTTTTCTGTACAGTGAGAGTGGCCGCGGCTATAGTCTTTCCCACTGACATTTTGGTTTTGGAAATAACGAAACGCAAACCAAAAGGCGGTGGAAAGGCTGTTGCTTCCGCAGACATTTGGTACTACACCTTACTTCACTTTTCTTTTCATCGTGTAAACGCAATTCCAGATGTAGAAGATGGTGCGGTCGGCTGATTTTTTTTTTGTGTCTTGAATTATCTCGAACTCGAGGGGTATGTTTTTCTTCGGTTATTTTTGCCTTTGGAGTCGTTGCTGCCGTTTTGTTTTTCGCCAGATAGACTGTCTTTGAATTTTCGTGCGTGCGAGTACGAGTGTTTTGTAATTGATGTATTTCTGTATGCGACGGGGTTGTCGTAGAATGTAGGGTCAGTCGTCACAACAAAAAAACAGGTTCTTGGGTCGTGCGTGAACGAGACTACGTCGATAGATTTTCAACTTCATCCTCTTGTCAGATCGCTTGTGCAGCTGAAGCCGACAAACGAAAGAAGCTACTTGCGATACAACATCAGGAATCATTCTTCCTCCTGTTGCCGTTGGCAGAAACGAGGTGAGACCAAGTCTGTGCCCTTGCCCATTGTACTAGGTCCTTCATCTTTTCTTCCGGCAAGGTACTTGAAGTTTTCTCGACTAAAAGCACCTATTCCGGGCTTGGTCATCATCCCAGCGGATCAAAGAATATCAAACTCTCATCTTCAACACCCTCGAATCAAGAAAAAGACAACAGAATCATGATGGACGGACCAGCAGATGATGGAGACAAAGAACACGAGCCCATTCAGGGCCCGGATTCCTCCACGGGCCCCATGAAGGACGGCCCGAGCCCCGATGACTTGGTAGAGACGCGAGAGCCAGGTACCAGCAAAGATGCACCAGCTTCAGCTTTATTCCGTCGTCCAAGAGAGCGTCCAAGAGAGCAGTCAGGGTTATTCCGTCGTCCAAGAGAGCAGCAGCACGACAGCAAGTCCTCCTACGGCTCTGCCGGGAGCGCTGGACACCCGGACGGGGGGGCAGATTTAGTAAACGTAGCTACAGCGCCCGCGTCCTCCTCCATCAGCGAGCCGAAGAACCCGAACGGGATGACTACCTCGACGGCGGTCAAGATTGCGAGCTCCATGACCACCGCGGCCGATGCCGGACTTGGTTCTCGGACTACAGGGACATCAAAACAAGACCACGTGTCCGCACCTCCCCCCGCCCAGGATCCTGCGCCAACATCCGTGATCGCTCCTGCCGCAGCTTCCGCGTCAACTCTCGTCTCCTCGTCTTCCTCCGCACCTGACGCGGGCGCGGACCAACATCGCGGTGACGGGACTACTTCTCTGACGAAAAAGTTGCTGACCCTGATCTCTGAAGGCTATGCATTGCAAATATGTCGGGCTCTGGATTTGTCATGCAAATTTGATGGCAGGCCATATTTATCTGTTTCTGTATAAGCACAACGAAATGCGGTTGAGCAACTTGCGCTTCTTTGTCGTACGGGAAACCAGGTTGGTGTCATGCGTTCTACGAATATGTGAATCTGCAATGAGCCACCCAGAATTTGTAATGCTGCTATGCCGTACAAGAGGCTACTCTGCCATGCAAATGCAAGCTTCAACAACATAACTTTCCAGACCCAGACATGTTTGCAATACATATCCCCGTGCTCAACGAGGAGGAGCAACACGCGCTGGCACGAACGATCTCCGGCAAGATCGGTGCTGAAGAACCGGTGGGTTCACTCACCGAGGAGTTGAGGGAGCGGTGGAAGATGATGAATGCGTCCACCGCAAGAGGTGTGGCGGCTAATAAGGCCAAACTCCAGCAGGACGACTCCCCCGATGGACAGGTCGACGCGGTAGAATTTACGGAGCAACAACTTCTGCGCAGCAACCAGGGGGGCCGCAAACTTGTTATGCAAGTGAGAAATCATCAATCGTAGTTGTGCCGACTTCGACTTCCTCTCTACCCCACCCGATTTCTGTATAATTCTTGTTGAAAGTAGACTAAGTATTTCGCAAAGAAACTACTGTACGCATAATTGATGAGGGTGTCAACGGTCATCTACCAACTGCCTGTGCCATCGGTGGGTCCATGCAGGTTTTTGCGGATGGGGTAAAGATAAAGTAGAGTTCAGTTGGCAACACAGTTTTTCCTCGGAATACTGAGAATCAACAAAGGAGTGCTCGGTGTTCAATTGCAGGCCACGGTTGGCGAAGGTGTGCTGGAGGATCAGATCTTCGACGCACTTGTGGGAACGCTGAAAAGTTCAGTCCAAGAGTGCCGCCAAAAGGGTGACGCAATGAAAGACGAACTGGAGAAAATGCAGGAAGCCCTCGATGATGCCCGCCAACAGAATGAGGAACGGCGCCAACAGGATGAGGAACAACGCCAACAGAATGAGGAACGTCTGAAAATTCAGGAAGAGAAAACCCGCGACCTAGAAGCGGGGAAAAAAAACACCGACAGGCAACTCAAAAACACCGAGAGGCAGCTTAAGGGGCTACAAGATGCGAAGAGGCAGGACCAGGAAAGAATCGCGCAGCTTGAGCAGGCGAAGGCTCATCAAGACAAGCGGACGGCCGCGCTTGAACTTGCCGAGCAGCGGCGCACGGCGTTCGAGCACGCGCAGTACCAGCTCGGCGAGATTGCCAGCATGCTGGAGATTTTCTTCAAGGATCCGGAGTGGCACGCGTGGGACGAAACCGTCGAGGACGCGGAAATTTTGCGGGAAATTAAAAGGGTCTTAGACGAAGTGCTTTCCAAGTGGAGCTTCGAGCAACATACGGTGGTGCGGGAGTTGGACAGACTGTGGCGAAAGATCCGGAAGCCGAGTAATCACTGGCGCATCGTCATGTGCTCCGAGGTGTTCGAACAGTGTTTGCTCGCGTACGCGGTACATGTGGAAGCAGTCCGGGCGGCTAAGGGGGTGCTCAAACCGGAAACGAAAGGCGTGCTCCAAGTGGTTTTATCAACTGCAGAGATGTCTGTGCCGGGATCATTTCAATCATGTTTGTGAAGATGCGCCTGTGCCTGACCATGGATCTTGAGACCCAACCTCGATGGCAATCTCGTATACCCAACCTCGATGGCAATCTCGTATACCCGACAGATTTTTGTACTATTGCTGCCACCGAGACCTAGGGGGCGAGGACTAAGTATTTGTATTTCGCATCACAACTTTGCTCATGATTAAATTCCCGGACCCAGATCTATTTGCAATGCATAAGTACTTACTTCGTGGCGTAAGTGGCAAAAGGAGGTCGAGGAGTACGAGGAATCTTTGAAGAACCCGGTGGAAACGGGACCAGCACCGGAAGTCGAGGAGCCGAATTTTTTTGCCTTGCATCGTCGGCAGCTGAACGAACTGCCCGGAGATGATGCGGCCCCCGACGCAAGCAAGAATTCGCAGCTGCAAGTAGAACAGCCGCCAACGCACCATGCAGCACCGGCGCTAGAACAACCACCAGCCACGTTGGGGCCAAAGAAATCTTCTGTCAATGCCGCGAGGCAGCGCGATGTCCTCGAACGGGGCGGCAAAACCTCTTCCGCTGAGCAGCAGAACAAGAAGCCCGCGACCTCCTTGTTTAGTAAGCCACACAAACTTTTTTCCGCTCTCTGGTGCTCCAGGGCTGTTTGCAGGAGGAACCTCGTACTAATTCATTTTTGTCATGCAACTGATAAAACCACATCATGCACGTCATTGACATTGTAGTCTGAGCGCAGCTGCACCACGCGCATATCAAAACTATTCCTGTAGAACTGCACTATTCAGTGTGACATTCCTTCTGCACACAGACTTTGGTCGGAGACCGGACCGTTTGTTGTTGATAACGAAGCCGGCAAGTCGCGTCGCCGCTGGCCCGAGTACAACCGGAGCATCCGGATCTTCAAGCAGCTCTGGGGGAAATAGCAAACTGGGCAACAACTACACCAGTGCGAAGGAACCAGTGTCGGCGAAGGTGGGATCGATGCCTTTGCGGCACAAGCCACTGCACGAGCCGAAGTACAAGCGAGAGCCGTTCTTTGCGAAGATTTTTGATAAAGCGACTACCTCCTCCTTTGCGCAGAACCGTCCGGCGTGGGCGTTGAAGCACGTCGGGGCGAGCGGCAAGAGCAACGCGCCGGCGGGCGAGTCCGGGGCGTCGAGCTCGTCCTCTTCCACCTCCAGGTTGGCCCAGAACAAGTCGGGACGCGAAGCCTCGACGGGGCGAAGCGGGGCCGCATTAGAAGAGCCATCGGCCCTTCTTGGACCACGACCGGGGGGCAGTAGTAGTAGCAGTAGCACTGGTAACACATCTGCTTCCGGCTCCGCCCGGGTCGGGCGCGAAGCGAGAAGTCAAGCAGCGGTCGCGCCGGGCGCCGCGGGGCAACTATACGATCCGCTCACCGGGAGGCGTGTGGGCGTTTCGACGAAGGCGCCCCGTAGCTGCTCAGCGAAGAACAGGAAACCGCGGGTGGACCTAGTGGCGCCCTGTGATATGAAGCGAGTGGAGGAGCGGGCCGCGGAGAAAGCCCTACAACAGAAGTGACCGCTTTCTGTTCATTCACCTAAGGGGAGGACTTAGTCTCGAAGAAGTTGATATTGAAAGGAAGGCGCGGCTCGAGATCAGGTAAAAGTGAAGTTTTTGTCTTGCAAGCTAAAAAGAAGCGAGTGCGTGTGCGAGACATTGACAGACTGGTCAGAAGTGGTGCTATTTCTTGATTGATTGAAATCCGAAATAAAATTGAAAAAACAAAACAGTTTCCGTGCAGTATCCAAGGCATCGAAGGCTTGATTCGCAGTGGGGGGACCATGAGTGAAGTTCTCTTGACGTCTCTTTCCGATGGTAATTTTACGAAGTTGAGATTCTACGTGCGCAGGGCATGTCATGCCGACGTGTAAAAAATTAACAGTGTTTTTGAATTGGAATTCTACAACGTGTGAACTCTACTTGACAGTACAGCTACACGATTCGGCGTTTTCACCTGTTTACAGTTATCTGACAACAAATAAAAGTACCAAGAAAACCACACTGACTGACTTTGATTGGTTTTTTGGCGATACAGCTATAAACTAAAAGCAAGAAAAAAAACACAAAACCAAATCATGACGAATACCATACAAAGAAGACTCACGATCATAATCAAGATGAAGGGCACTAGAGCAAAAGAGACTGCGAAAAATCTAGAATCATACGATCCGCAACATTCAAATTTTATCTAATTTTGGTTTTCAGCCTTCTGTCCAATCGTTCTTACATCGCTTTTTTGACTCGCAGCAACGCGAAGCGCCTCGTGTGCGAGCAGTTTTTTTTTTGCGACTGAAAGGCTCAGTTCGAACAAGCTTTGTGCATCAGTCTCGTGTTCGACTCGCTTATCGGCTTCTCAGTGGTGCTCGTGCACATGAGAGAGAGATGATTCAAGCCGAACAACTTCACCAGGAGGCAACACGAGAAGAATGATGCTGCCGCGACGAGTGGACAAGGATGTAGCGCTTTCTGCTGAAGCCAGAATGCTCCAGAATGAGCATTCTGGTTTGCGGATATCAAGTGGTAGAAGAGTCTCTGGATATATCTGGATCTGCAATCCTTCTAGCGCTTTCTTCTGAGACCAGAATGGGCATTCTGAGCGCGAGCCTGAATGCTTTTGATTAACAGTAGCGCTTGCTTTGATTCTGATTAGCAGGTGGAGCTTATATAATCGTCGCACCTTCCATCCTCGTCGTGGTCGTCCTCGCGTAAATACTTACTTGGAAAATTGTCCGGAAAGGATTGTCTTGTCTTCTTCTTGTCCGCGTGAAAAGCGTCGACAACACGCTGACCATATGGATTGCAAATATCCCTGGATGTCTCGAAGGATGGAACTTGCGATGCGTCCTGTGGATCTTCTCACAAAAATCTGTCTTGCGCGATCACCAAAAGTCGTCCTTTTCTGACCACCATGCGAGGGAGTTCTTTCTCATGCAGGAAGGGCATGATACTACTTAGACACCTCCCAGAATCTGTCATACTCGTTGTGGTGAGCATGCACCCTCGGGCACTTCGAGTTTGGTCTATGTCTCTTTATGTGAGCACCTATCAGTCAGCTACATCTCCTGCATGTAGACCCATGCTTTTGTAGTTCCTGACTGCTAGGACCCCGTGTGGCTGTAGTCCTTGCCTTTTTTCTGTCCTGTTTTTAGTGGTTCTTTTACCACTTGCGCGCTTGCCTGCCTCATACTGCCCCGTTCGTTGCACTTCGCCTCGTCACAGATCACACGGAAGTCCTCGTCGATATTTTTAGTCTTACTTTTTTAGCCCCCAATGTACGTTCCTTCTACTCTCTGTTCGTATACTCTCTGCTCGTTGTCTCTCTATTCTTATTCTAATACTTTTCACTGCTTTATATTTGCATTTTGGAAGTGCGTCTGTGTTATATACATTAGAAGTGCGTTGGTGCGCCTTGCTTTTCTCCTGTGCACCATCAGAAGTGCACTGAATCGCGAGCGTATGCTATGCTATGCACTTTATGTCTTTAGGCCTAAGTGCCACCGGGACGTCCAGCCCGTAGCTCCTCGATGTCATGCTAGGTCCTGCATTCCAGACCTTATGAGGCATCGAAATTCTGCATGACAAGTTTGGACTCTTCCAGGCATCCAGGGATTATATTTGCAATGGATAGACCATGCAGTACTGCGGGCTCTCCGGGAATTGGCCGAAAAAGACTGATATCAATTGTAAAAATATCTGGGTCTGGAAGGTTGGACCTTGTGATGCCAACTTTGGACTCTAAAAAAATCTGTATTGCATGACCAGCAGGAGGAGGCTAGTTTGTGCTACGCAGGGAGGGCATTTGTCATGCGGAGTAGGCATCAGGAAGCCCTCTAAAAATCTGCGATGCTAGGTTATGCATTACAGACATCCTGGGTGATGCAAAATATGCATGACAAACCCGGAAACGTTCCAGACCCAGACATTTTTGCATTTGATAACTGAAAAAGACGGCGATTGGGCGACTGAAAACGACGGCAATTGTATCCTGAGTAAAAACGTCCCCACACCAGAGTTGTAATGCAGATTTGCAAAGACAGGAAGACTTGTAATGCGCATCCCCATGACAGCCATCTCCAATCGTGTTTTGGAATTTGTGATGCTGTGAACAGGATGAGCAGATGAATCTGTGACGCGGCTGCACTTGCTAACCTGCACTACACTGCAGAGTGCAACTTGTCATGCGTGACTCACAAAACTCCTGGGTTTGTGTTGCAAAATCCCCACCCTGACTCTGGTGTGGGTACGTTTTTACTCAGGATAAATTGGCATAGTACGCTGACGTATGGATTGCAAAAGTGTCTGGGTCTAAAAGAGTGGAGCTTGTAATGCTGTCTGCGGATAATCATACTTCTAAAAGTAAAAATCTTTGTGTTGCATGAGCTGCAAGAGGAGACAGTTCTTGGCACGCGGAGAGGGCATTTCTCATGCGTAATTAGCATCAAGAAGCTGTAAAAAAATTATCTGTGATGCTAGCACTAGCATCACAGACCTCACGGGTCATACCAAATGTGCATGACAAGCCCCGACTCTTCCAGACCCACACACTTTTGCAGTTGATATGACGGGGAAGGGAGGCGCGAATTGGTGGTGGAACTGGAAAAAAGAACTCGACGAAGAAGCCCCGGTCCTACCGAAGGACTGGTTTTTCATCCCAAACAGCTGGGGATTCAACACCGCCAACGTTGCGGAGGGGGATGTGACAAAACCCGGGTTTAACTACGAAGCCGCCGGGTAACGAGCTCGTCCAGGTCGCTCCCCTGTGGATGGGCTGGAACGAGCCCGACATGTACGGCTTTTGCGTGAGCAACCCGGATGTCAAGCGGCAGTGGAAGGAGGATTGGGTACCCCCTGCAGAAGGCCAACCCCCTACGCAAGTCAACTGCAAGGCTCCTTCCGGCCTCGGGTGGTGGAATGAGGATTTAGTAAACGACCCAACCTCGTACATGGCAGCGTGGAAACAAAACCTCAATGCTGCGAAAAACCTCGGGTACCAAACCACCTCCCCCATGATATCGCGAGGAAAAAATTCCCCTCCCCATATTGAAAAGGTATGTTCCTAAAAATTTGTGATGCTGATTTGTGACCACGAATCCCGTCTCTCTTGCAAGACGGCAAATTGAAAGAATCCGCCGCCTTATGGCGGCGGTTTGTAATGCTGTTTCACCAACATGGCAGGCCTCTGCTATGCTAAGCGCCTACAACAAAACACGCCTACGCAGGCTGAGGCTTTGCCTGTAGTGCCTCACTGCAAGAAGACAGGGCTGATTTGTGTACGCAATCCAGCAACAGAAGTTTCCGTTTCAATATGGGGAGGGGGGAGTTTTCACTTTGATACATGATGGCGCTCCCTCTGGCTCGAGGCAAGAACGAGGGGGAGGCGCCGGGAATCGACGACAAACCAACTGGGCTACTTTGGGTGGTTGGGCCCGTTCTTGGACGCAGCGTGCAGCGCGGACTGGGATGCGTGCCCGGATTACATCAACTTTCACTTCTACATATATGGGCTGCAACGCGGACACGAGCGGCTTGGAAGGGCGCATGGAGGACGTGAAGTTGCTGATGGAAAAGTACCCGACCAGCAAAGGGGCGATGCTCACCGAAACGGGAACTTTGCGTCTTCCTACGGACCCAAATAAACACAGCACTTGCGACGAAAAAACCCTGATCGCCGGTATGGAAGCGATCTTCAAGGTGCTCAACGATTCCAAGGTGCTTCTCATGCAGGATAGACATGAAAGAGACCTCACAGACTCTGTCATGCTAGGTCTCGCATTCCAGACCTCAAGGGTCATGGAAAACCTGCATGACAACTTCACACTCTTCCAGACCCAGACATTTTGGCATTTCATAGGTGACCGATGTGGGCGACATGAAGACGCTGACCGTGCCCGGGTACACCCGCGAGGCGGCGGCCAGGGAGGCGAAGCAGATCGCGAGCGCGCACCGGGTATGCACTGCAAAAGTATCGCACTCGTAGTAATTGCGTTTATGCATTACAAATCTCTTTCTCAAGGTGAACCAGCATTACAAATTTAAGTAATTTAATTTGTAATGCTGGGCTAGTTTGTAATGCAATTTATACTAGTACGATCACGATGCTTTTGCATTGCATACCGGGGCGGTAGCTCCTGGAGTCAGTCGATCGCGAATATGAAGAAGTAAAAAACGCGGTTCGACAAGAACCTCTCGATTTGAAGGTCGTATTGAAAATGAAACAGCAACAGTCACGAATTCAAGTGACAAGAGCATCAGAAATTACTCCTCCACCACCTAAAAAAGCAACATTTCGTTTTATCTTTACGTTTACCACTCCAAGAGCAGCAAATAGCAAGCAGAAGCAAGAGCAGCAAGCTAGCAGCTCCAGAAATGACGCAACGACTCAATCGAAACTAGTGAAAACTGGTTTATTATATAAGATTTCCACATCGACAAATCACTTCCTCTCTGCTCACGTGTAGAGACAATTGACAACAAGCTTAAGTAACTCCCATTTGTTGAAAACGTTTACATCACAGCACTGTTCTACTTAACAAACCCCCTTCGAGCAGCAGGTAGGATGAACAAAACCAACTGTTACTTATGGATTGCAAAAATGTCTGGGTCGGGAAGGTTGGAACTTGTAATGCTAGCTTTCCATACCTAGAAAATCTGTATTGCATAACCAACAAAAGTCGCAGCCTCTTTTGTCATGCAAAAACGCAGTTTCTCATGCGGATTGCCTATGAGAAAGCGTTTTGGGAAGTTGTCATGCCGGACTGCATTCGGAAGTGTCTTCATCATGCACATTTTAGCATCACAAATTTCCAGACCCAGACATTTTTACATTTGATATTACTCTGATCGCAGCGACTCACTCCCTATTCTCAAACTCAATCTTATCCGCAATAAAGCAGGCAGATTTCGGTTTTCTACTGTGGATGAAAACCATCTTCACACAGTTTCACTTCCCGGATTATACTAGTATTCGAAGTAGATGTCTGACTTTGAACGGCCCAGTCTCGCCCCAGACTGGCTCTACAACTACTTCGTCGGCTGGTAAGGCGCAAAAAAAATCGCCGGTATGGAAGCGATCTTCAAGGTGCTCAACGATCCGGAGGTGGAGCAGAAGAGGCTGAGGAGGAGAAACCGGCAGGATCCTGCGTACCAGCAAGTCCAATTGGACGACCCGACGGTGATTGGGAGACCGGAGTTTGATGATATACTGTAAAGGAAGGGCGCCAACATCTTCCTCTTCAATTTGAAGGAGCCACGAGTCAAGAACAACACGACGACAAACGACATGATCATCTGAAGAGGTGAAATACGTATCCTAAGGAAAAACGTCCCCATCCCAGAGTCAAGTTGGTAGATCTGCAACACAAATCTCCAAGTTTTGGGATTTGTGCATGACAAGTTTCCATCTGCAGTGTAGTGGTGGTCAGTAAGGAAAGCCGCATGAGAGAGCCATTTTCTCATCCTGTTGACAGCATTACAAATGCCCAAAATAAACGGTTGGGAACAATGCCTCTCATGGAGATCCGCATTACAGATCGATTCCTGTCATTGCACATTTGCATTTACAACTCTGGCGTCGGGACGTTTTTACATAGGATGCGTCGTCTACCGGTATTTATCCTCCTTGGCAAGGCTGGGCGAGGAGTACGATTTATTTCTGTAGCGCCGGGCAAAATAGAGTCTGTTTTTTTTCGAAGAAGATCAGAAAGTGCCCCCTCTGGCAAGTTGCGGAAGGTGCATCAAGGGTCTATCAGTAGATAAAAAGCCGCTTCTGCGCTGTGGAAGTATGCCAGCTGTACTTACACAGAAGCCGAATGATCGTCCGCGCGCTTATGAATACGAGAGTCACGCTCACGTTCCGAGGGCGCACTATACGATTTTTTTTTTTTTGTGCTAGTTTTTGCTTTAGCTTGAGTTGGTTTCTGATTTTGCTTTTGTCTTTTGTTCGCTGTGCGCTTTGCACAAATAAGGGCGAGAGACGCGAAAAAATAGCAGCAGGGGCAGAGTGATGGTTTCGTGAAAAACGACAGAGTTGTTGAGTGAAACTTATCTGAAAAACGTAGCTTAACCCAGCAGGTTTCCTCGATGACAAAAAGTTGATCCAGTGCTTCGTCAATCGTCGGCCATATAACTCGATGCCCAACTTCGACAGTAGATATTGTGCAACAGTATTGTCATGCTCATGGTGTTGAGTAGCGCTACTTAGTATCTTATGCGTCCACGCCGATCACTGCATTGGTAGTTCTCCTCCCCTTTAGTAAATTTTTTTTGTACTACTCTAACTTCCTCGAGAGAAAATTGATTCTTTGTTCTAGTGAATACTTCACTCTAGAAGTTTTGCTGTTACTTATTCGAAAGATGAGGAAACGACTCTGACCCAGATCCACGACGATCAGATCTGCCGACATGTTCCGCGCCCTATTAGAACAAGTCAAAACCGCCGGGCGAGTGTGGCTGCGCCGAGGACCACCTGGCAGTGGTCTTTCGGATTCCGACTCCGAGTCGCTGTCTTCGGAAAGCGACGTCCATATCGACGAAGCCCTCGTCGTCGCACGGTGGGAGAGGGTAGGAAACCACGCGATGAAGCGAATGCGGCGCGAGCGGGTCAGCGTTCCGTCTCTGGAAGTCATCGAGGGCTGGGCAACACTCGCCGTGCGGCTTTTGAGGAGAAGCCTGATTTTGGGCGAAGATGAGAATGAAGAAGCGAAAAGTGTGGCACTTGATGCAAAAGACCGATCTGTGGTGCTTCAGCACCCAATTCACTTCAGGGACGCTACGGGTGAGCTGCTTGTGCAAGGTAACTACGCTGAAATTAGCACGTAAAAGTAATCTGGATGCTGGCCGTTTATTTGGTATGCGCAATTCTACTGCAAATTTTACAACATCGACATTTATTTCAATTTATAGACAAAACGTAGTCGTGTTGATCGGATCACTTAACAGAAATTTCAACTTTTGAGGTTGCGGACCGGCAAACGCGTCTCCTGAGGAGTACCGAAACGAATTCCTCTACCGAGCTAAACACGCTTCGTCGCAGCCAGTGCCACAAGAGTGCTACGACATGCTGAAGAGCCCGGACCACAGCCCGTTGCCGCACGTGGATACCGACACGACAGTCCCGAATAACACGGGCGCTTTGCTTCGATATCGGGTGGTTTGCCGATTCCCGGTGCACGCACGAGGGGGACCCAACCAGCAAGCGCGCGAGCGCATCAAGGCAGACGCAAAACTGCTAAGTGCGCCAATCGACGCCCGCATCTCTTCAATCGCCGTTATGCAGGGGGACCGCTTCACCGATCACAACGTACAGCAGGGGGCCCGGCGATCGCCGGTATGGAAGCGATCTTCAAGGTGCTCAACGATCCGTGTTACCGAACGATAGAACACAGACGAGGTCCGTATTGAAGTTCAGTTTTCATTTGTTGAGATTCCCAAAAGACTGTTCGTTTTTCATGAGAAGTGTTCAGCTTCGAATTCGTTTCGCGCATGAGAAATCATGTTTCTCGTTCTTCTTTCTCATCGTGGAAAAAACAATTCTCGCTTCACAAAAAACAAAAACAGAATTTGATTTTTCTTTGCGATTCAGTGCGGAGTCACACCAGTATAAAAATAAAAAAAGAGTAAAAAAATTGAGGTATACTTACTTCAATTTTGTGGAAAATGTGTGACATTCTTGAACTCTTACTTTTTGCTATATGGAATTTTTTTGATCGTGTGCTATTGCAAATCTTGTACAAGTTTGTTGGCTGATAGGCTGTTATGGTGAAGAGAGACTGTTCATGGTATGAACCTGCTCTGACTGGCTTTCGATCGTGCTAGAAATCGTTTTTATGAATTCATGAACTTTGTGTACAGGAGTTTGGTCTTGAGTCACAGAGCTTTTACTTTTATGTGTTTACTTTTCTATGATTGCAATCATGACTGTTGTGTGAAAGTTTCAATATTTTATTGTACAATTGGCCGGCAAAGACTTGTGCATAATTTCGTTCTTTTACTTTGAACTTAATTACGAAAAAACTAAATCTGTGATGCTAATTTTGCAAAATTTTTTTACTCTACATATGCTATCTGAATTTCGTTTGTTGACATTGCCCGCTCTAGTAATGACTCAGACTTACTTTTGGTGAGTTCGTCCGAGTAATTGAGATGCGAAGGGCAATGTAGTAGGTAGTCGACATGTCGTTCTTGCAGTGCCTCGCGCAAAACTGCCATTTCTAGCTGCAGGCGTTTCGAGCCGAGGTTGATATTGCATGCACGAGTGTGATCAATGATCGACCCGCAGTCCGTAACTAGGACCAGCGGGATGTTACGACCAAGGATCTTACTTAGAATGTTTTTGATACTAAACGCGCGGTCGACGACTTGCACAAGCATGACAGTCTCTGCCTGCAAGGTCGAAGTGCAAACGCGCCTAATGCGCTTACTACTAGGGTGGATCAGATTCGCTTTGATGGTCTCAGTGCGAATCTGTGTGTCCCGGTGGATTTTAGGTAACACCCCGGGCTTGTGCTTTTTCAAAAAGTTTGGCATATGGGCGAACCAAATACATGACCCACCTTGCGTTTTGCACCCCTCCAGATTGTTCAGCGAGGCATCGCAAAATGCGACGATGCACAAGTTGGACAAATCCAGAGGCACAAGGCGCCACACTAGCGAAGATGTATTTTTCAAATTGCGAATAATCTTATTTAGCTAGCGACCTGCACGCTTCCCCCCACGCAGGCTCCGCAGCCGGTGTCCTTGATGCACGTGGTCGGATTCAGCTGCGGGTGAGACAAGAACGCCTCGTACTGCAGGATGGAGAAGAAGGTGGTGGCCATCAGGGCGTCGTAGGTCAGCCCCGCGGCGTCCGGAGATGCGCCGCCATAGAAGGATGGGACTACTTTGCTGTTGCTGGCATTACTGGTGGTCGGTTATGGAAGCGATCTTCAAGGTGCTCAACGATCCGCAGTACTTTGTGAATGGCATGCGCACGGTGCAGTATGTGTCCTGGTTCAACTACGACAACACCGGTGGAAGCTTCGACCTGCGGCTGATCGAGGACACCGGGGGCAACGTGCGGCCGCTCGGAAAGCGGTACGCGGAATTGTGCGAAGAACACCGCGGTGGGCTACCTGCCGGCCGGTGAGTTTTTTTTTTCTTGGTTTGTTTTCGTTTTTACGCGAATGCAAGTACGAGTTGTACCGCAATACGTCGAGCAGGGAGGAAGATACGAGTAGACGAAGTCAAGTACACTATTAGCTTTTTTTTCAAACATGCGTCTCGCGCTTTCACTATTCGGGTTCGGAACGTATCTAGTATCATTTTAGCGCAAGAAGAGACGCGCCGTTTTAGAGTTTTTGTTTTGAAGATTTTTGCAGAGTGAGCTCGCGAAGATGCGAGAGCTACTATTCAGTTCCGGTTTTTTTAACAAGTATTTTGCACTTTTGAAAAACATTAAGCGGATGTTTATTTTTTTTTACTTCACATCACATTCAGATTCACATCACATTTTTTGAGTACTAAGCGACTTTTTGTTTTTTCATTCTTTCTTTCATGTTGTGCCGAGCCTTGCCCGAAGTAATCTGTAGCATCGTTGTTCCGCTTGAATGCCTATAACATTCTGATTTTCCGATAAGGTGATGGTAGAGATAAGAACCAGTACACCTACCGTATTGACCGTTTCACCTGATACTCTTTCCAATCATCTGAATTGCCCCTTTCTATTTTTCCGCTAGATTTCCTTCTAGAGTTTGAATTTCGCGCCCCCCCCGCACTTCGAACAATGCTGTTTCGCTGGCCACAAAATTTTCGCCCCAACATCAGCAACAAGAAAACGCCCCCGTAAAACAAGAAAACAAATAATTTCAGCATCCCATGCTTGTTCACATCAGTAAAAGCAAGTGGATTATGCGGTTCGTGATTTGATGTTCGTGGAAAGAAAAGAAACCGAAAGTGATTTGTTTGGAACGAAGTTCCTCTTCGGACTGCTACTGGAACAAATGGATGTCAAAAACGTCACAAAATGGGCCGTGGGATGAGGACGATGAAATCTTCGCACCAGAATCATTAAAGATCTTCATCTTGTTGTTTAGGTTATCCGAAATATCGATGCGAAGAACTACGAACACCGTAGCTGACACGCTTCAAGTTGTCAGCAAATATATGCTTAGCAAGTTAGTTCCTTTCAACTACAAAAGAAGATCATCCAAATGGGCAATCAAAACTTCCATCTTCTTAGGCCGGTATACGCCAAGGGTAGTGGTTGTTCGCAAGCTCCAGCACTTTCGATTGGGTCGTATTGGAGACTGCGTAGTTAAGTTTCTTCTCTTGCTCTGATTTTCTCGGATGTTAAAAAGGAGATCTACAACAAACAGCGATGAATTCGGACTAGTAGGCATTTGTGTTTCTTTTACACTTCCGTTTGCTCGTTTACAATTGTACCGAAGAACGTGGTCTCATCCATATCTCCTCTGCCTAGTTTCGTGGTCTCAATCACACGAAAAGTTGACTGAGCAGAAGTTGGGCGCTAGGTCGTGTAAAAAGTAGTAGATCTATCACTTCTAGAAAGGTTTTCAAGGAAGTCGTTTGTCAACATCCCTCTGGTCATCTTCTTTTAAGAAACACCAACCCCAAGTAAACAATGGCGAGCAAGCGCGGGGCATCCAAGGATCACGCGACGACCACCGAGTCGGAGGCAGTGGTGCCGGTTAAGAAGCAAAAGACGAACGACACCGCCGATGGTGCGCCGGCGAAGGAGGAACAGTCCACAGCCCTCGCCCCCAAGAGGGTCTTCGATCTGCCCTGGTGGGGCCGCATCAACACCGACAACAAGCCGCAGAAGTTTGTGTCGCGCATGATGGGGGAGGCGAAGAAGATCTTCATCCTGAAGGAGCATGACCCGGAGCAGAAGATGCTGATATTCGACGAACCCGTGTTGCCCGACCTGTCCCGGTGGACGTTTCTCTACAAAACCGAGTCGATCGACAAAGACAGCAAACTGCACAAGCAGCTGAAGTCGCACAACCTCGCTGGGGTCCGGTTTGAGATCAATGTGCCGGACGAGTTTCCGATGATGCCCCCCAACCTGCGCGTCGTCCACCCGAAGCTGTCCGGCAGCTATGTGTTCTCTGGCGGCGCGATCTGCTTCGAGGCGTTGACCCCGAAGGGCTGGGTGATCACCATGACGCTGGCCTCGCTGGCCGTGGCGGTGGTGGCCTTGCTGGCGGACTCGGACCTGCCCGTATCAAATGCAAATATGTCTGGGTCTGGAAGAGCTGGAACTTGTGATGCAAACTCTGGAACACACAAAAACTTGTGTTGCATGAGCGCCAAAAGCTGTCCATTTCTTGGTACGCAAGTAGGAAGTTTCTCATGCGGGACAGGCATCATGAGGCGTGCTCAAGACCTGTGATGCTTTTGCCTGCATCAGACGCCATTTGCGTGATCCGAAATATGCATGACAAATCTCGCAATCTTCCAGACCCAGACGTTTTTACATTTGATACCCCGCGCAAGTGACCGATGTGGGCGACATGAAGACGCTGACCGTGCCCGGGTACACCCGCGAGGCTGCGGCCAGGGAGGCAAAACAAATCGCGAGCGCGCACCGGGGCGGCAGTTCGTGGAGTCAGTCGATCGCGAATATGAAGAAGTAAAAAACGCGGTTCGACTTCGACCACCTCTCGATTGAGACGATTGGGGGATGTGCTTCCCACAACTTACGAGAAGTAGTTGTACCTAGCATCCTCGTCCTACTTATGGTCGTATTGAAAATGAAACAGTAACAGCCAGTAATTCAAGTTACTCCTCCTCCACCTAAAAAAGCAAGATTTCGTTTTATCATATACCACTCCAAGAGCAGCAAATACAAATAGCAAGCAGAAGCACAAGCAAGAGCAGCAAGCTAGCAGCTGCAGAAATAACGCAACGACTCAATCGAAACTAGTGAAAACTGGTTTATTATATAAGATTTCCACATCGACAAATCACTTCCTCTCTGCTCACCAAGAGAGACAATTGACAACAAGCTTAAGTAACTCCCATTGATTTGAAAACGTTTACATCACGGCACTGTTCTCCTTAACCCACCCCCTTCAGGCAGCAGGATGAACAAAACCAACTGTTACTATGATCGCAGCGACTCACTCGTCTCTATTCTCAAACTCAATCTTATTCGCAATAAAGCAGCCAGATTTAGATTTTCTACTGTGGATGAAAACCATCTTCACACAGTTTCACTTCCCGGATTTTACTAGTATTCGAAGTAGATGTCATCTGACTTTGCAAGGCCCAGTCTCGCCCTAGACTGGCTCTACAAGAACTACTTCGTCGACTGTTGAGGCGGAAAAAAAAACGGGATGAAACGCTGTGCCAAAAAAGCAAAATAAAACAAAAACTACCGAGATTTTTTTGGAAATAAATCACCCCCATCAAAAGCCGTCGTTGGAGGTTTTTCCGGGAAAATGAAAGTCTGCGATGCGAAAAGACAAAAAACGACTTAATTTTAACGCGCAATATTCATTATCGTATTACCTCTTCCAAAGTGAAAATGATCGTGTGATGAAAAGCTTGGTTATTTTCTTCAGCGAAGCCACGCAATTCGTGTACAGAACAGAGCCTATGGATGTTCCAGCGGTCTTTTGTGTGTCGATCTGTTTGCAGTGATGGAAAAATCTCGTGGTCGCCCTGGAGCTGCAGGTGCGTGGCTTCAGTTTCGAGTCCGAGTTGGTGGGCAGATATACGCCCATCGCTCGATCCTTCCAAGTCCAAAAAACTTACGATGGTGTCTTCAGGCCTCATCTGGGTGGAATGATAAAAAAATCTTGAGAGTACTAGATCATCAACTCAGTGTGCTGCGCACGGAATCTTCAATGCCATCAAGCAGGATTTGTTGACGGGGCCGTTTTAGATGATCCCTACAGTGTTTCTATGGTGCCTGCTTGAGACGCTGCTAAAAGAACGGAGGATGAAGATCATGTGGTTTGATTCAAAAATAAGAATTGCAGGAGCAGGCCATCATGGTAAAAAGAAGTACCGCATTTCCTTATCCTTTTCCTTTGTTGTGTTGCGAAGCGATCGCTTTTTTTTACGACGAAAATCAATACAATTTTCTCGTTGAAGATTCCATCAGTTCCATTTCCAAGCGCTCTCCTCTTTCCTATCCAGGCGACAGTGACACCATCACTATATGAACAAACTACGATCTGGGTAGTCGTAGTTCTTGCAGTCTAGGTCGGCAGATGTCCTCGTGTAGTGCGTAGGCCAGCAGGAAATTGGTTTAGCTCCATGCCCATTCTTTAGTAAGCTTCTTGCTAGATGACACAAGGTCGAAGGCGCCCGAACAAGCTCCCCGCCCGCTACCACAGAAATCGTTGAGTAACTGGTATTATTGAAGAGAGAACCTCGTCATGATCCTTGCTTAATAGTGCGAGACGTGGTAAGTAGAAAAGCTGCTGAGTGCTGACACAAGAAAACTAAAAATGGACTTCGACTACGATTCTGACAACCCCTCTTCCGGGGAGGAGGACAAGCAGGCCGGAAAAAAATCTACTGCGAGTAGGAGTCCGGGGGCGGGTAAGAAATCTCTACCCTCGTCGCCGAAGCGAGTATCGTCGCCGCAGCATCAAAACCAACCTGCAAAGCCGAACAGCAGCACGGCGGCAGCGTCCTCTGCAGTTCCCGGGCAGCTGCCGACAGCGGCATCGTCAACAGCATCTTCGTCTTCACTCGCAGTAGCAAGAGTTGCGATCGCTTCGACAGGTTCTTCAGGCTTAGGAACTACAACTAGTACATCATCAGCGGTCCCCACGACTACAACAGCAGCCCTTCGCCTGGAGGATATCCCAGAAATCACGAAGCAGCGCTTCCTCACGTCCCGCTCGCGGATAGACAGCACGGCCAAGTCCTCGCTTCCAACGTTCGTCTGCCTCCTGTGCGGCGCCACGTTTTCCAAACGGTCGCAGCTGGAAAACCACCTCTATTTCGAGGCGCACAGTAAGGAATTGCGGGAATTTGCCGTCGCCGCGAGCAACGCCAAAGCGGCCCGGGGAAAGCAAGAAAATAAGCTAAGGCAAGGGTACATGCAGAGCATCGGCAGCACCCAGTTGTCCTCCGCAGCAAACAAGACGTCGGCGCCGACGAAAATAAATCGCAGTAGGAGCCGGAGCCGCAGTCCAGGGAATAAAGAGAAAGGCACTAGTGGAGCAGGTACTAAGGCTATTCAGTCCGAGGCCGCGGACATCATTAAACAAAATTTCGAGCATATGGAAGCGTCAGGATTGAAATCGTCAAAGTTGAAATAGTTTGTGATGCATAAAGCGCAGCCCACAAAGTGCCTGTCTTGCAGACTAGGCAAGGGAGGCAGATTGTAAGCCTGTTCTTCAGGGGTAGCAATAGAGCTCCTGAAGTAGCATGACAAAAGGCGTCTTCCTTACCCAAACAGCATTACAAACTGGATTTCGGCTCTACCCAAATTTGTCATGCGCCACTTGAAAACTAGGCGGCAACTGGTATTCATTTTATGCATGGCAAATCGTTTCAGCTTTGTCGATTTCAATCCTGACACCCCCATAGAGCAGGAACGGCAGCGCATCGAGAACGAGAAGCGGAAAAAGGAGAAGGCGAAGATCGATTTTTCGCTTGAGGCGGTGCTCGGCGGCAACATGAACATTCACGCACCGAAGAAGCCGGTGAAAACTTATGAACTGCAAAAGTATCGTACTCGTATAAATGCATTACAAATTATTGCCTCCGCGTGAGAAATGAAATTTGTAGTGCGGATTTACGATAAGAAAAAAATTTGTAATGCAAGACTTGCATTTATACGAGTGCGATACTTTTGCAGTGGATAAAACCACTTTGAATGTGAAGGAGGTGGCGAGCCGGGACGAGTTTGGTATGATTGCGCAGACCGAGGCACAGAAAAAAGCGTTCGAGATATCCCGTATAAAAACATCCCCGCCCCAGAGTTGCCATGCAATTCTGCATGCCAAAAAAGTTTCTCATGCGGAGCCCTATGAGAAGCATTTTCTATTCGTGTCTTGAAATTTGTGATGCTACAATCAGAACGCTATGCTAGATCTGTGATGCTACTGAAGTAGCTAAACAGGATTACACTACGAGGACAAACTTGTCATGCCCAACAACCAAAGCTGGCTGATTTGTCTAGCAGATTTCCTATCTTGGCTCTGGTGCGCGGACGTTTTTACACAGGATAGCAGAAGCGGCTGGAATTCGAAAAAGAGATGATTTCCGCCGAGACGCTGCACAAAAACGACAAGGAGGCGGGGTTGCTGGATCCGGACATCTATCCAGTGCAAAAGTATCGTACTCGTATTGCAGTTATGCATTACAAATCTTTTTGTCAAGGTAAATCCGCATCACAAACTTCGTTTCTCATGCCGAGAAAATTTGTAATGCATTTATACGAGTGCGATACTTTTGCAGTGCATAACATCAAGCAGAAAATCATACGCCAGATGCAGCTCTCCTTCGTGGGCTCAAACGTGATGAAGCTGCCGAAGAAAGAAGCGCGGTTATCGAAAGGAAAAATCCCCCTCCCCATATCAAAACGAAATTCCTGATGCTGGATTTGTGTGCACAAATCCGAGCTGTCTTGCTTGAGAGCACTGCAGGCCCATTATACCAAGTGTGAGTAGAGAGGTTTTGGCCTAGGCGCTTAGCATGGAAAACATCCGCGCTGTAGGCCCAACAGCATGACAAACCGCCTGCGCAATCCGGCGGCTGTCTGCGGAGTTGCTTTCTTGCAAGACGGACGCGATTTGTGGCCACAAATCAGCATCACAAATTTCCAAAAGTATACCTTTTCAGTATGAGGGAGGTGGATTTTTCCTTTTGATAGCGGTGCATTCTCTGCCGCGAGAAGTTTGCGAATTACGAGCTCGCGGAGAAACACTGTCTCGAAAAACACGACGAGGAATTTTCGAAAAAGTACCTGGCGAGATGGCAGGAGTTCATCCAAACGTGGTGCGTGGAGAAAAAGAACAGAATTCTCGGCAAGGAGGAGGTGGAGGAGCGGAACACGCAGTGCCCGGTCTGTCGGATTCACTTCGGCAACCTGGACAAGCACTTGGGGAATGAGGTATGGCTGAAGAAGGACCACGCACACACGCGCGTCTTCTTCGCGGGGTTTAAACATGAGGAGGAGGATGATTGATAATCAAAGTGCTAGAACTTCTGATGCTGTCATGCCGTACAAGGGGCTGGTGCTCTCTGATGCGGGCTTCAGCAACACAAGTTTCCTGACCCAGACATCGAGTAATGAAGTGTGGACGTCGCGTAAGTAAGTATACCCTCAGGACGAGCTCCACCCTTGTAAGTATTGTCTAGTCAAATTATTGATGCTGCAACCACGACGACCCTTCAATTTTTTCTCGTGAAAAAAACTGATCCACCAACATAGTAAAATATGGCCCACAGCCGGTACAACTTCTACCCAGTGTACTTGTATCTATATAAAGTTTCGCTTTCATCTAATTGATGCCGTGTTCTGGCCGTCTGCTCGGATGATCCTAGATCAGTGCTTCCTCCGAGAAAAAAAAAATTTGTTCCAATCGTAGCTCCACCTATGTCGTATTTTTTTTTCGGTTTGAGTTTATTCAGTGTCCCATCGTCGTTGCAGTCGATAAACTGATCGTTTCTTTTTTTCGGTATCATCCTCGTTTCACACGACAGCTATTTGCTTATTTGTCGCCGTTACTACTTCTACCTGGTGAAATCTTGAATATTGAATCAAGATGGTCTAATTTGCTGTTTCGCGCAACAATTGGCAGCATCATCCACAGGACCAGCATGCAGCGGCTGCGAGTTCGCCGCGTAGGGGGCCAGTTCGTGTCTTCGTACTCCACTTCCAGGGAAGTAGTAGTACAACAACTCCGACCACGTGGCTCTTGTGGCCTGAGCGAAAATGAAAATATAGTAGCGAAAGGACCACCAACTCCAACAACACTGCGCCCACGATTTTATTTCCTCTCGCGCCGCCCTCTCCACACCATCGCGGTTGGGTCCTGCAAAGGGGGGGTGGGAAAAAGTTCGATTGCGCTCAATCTCGCCTTCCAACTCGCCGTATGAATTGCAAAAGTGTCTGGGTCTGGAAGGATGTAACCTGTGATGCGCATTTCAGAACACAGAAAAATCTCTCATGCATAGGTAGCAAAAGGAAAAGCTGCCCAGTTTCTGTCACCAAACTGGGGGATTTGTCATGCGAATTTGGCATTGCGGAAGCTTCTCGAAACCTGTGATGCTAGAGCTTCCATGCCAGACCTTCTGCGTCATGCAGAAATAGCATGGCTTTGACTCTTCCAGACCCCGACATTTTTACATTTGATACGCCGGGAAAAAAAACAAGAAGGTGGCTCTCTGCGACCTCGACGTCTACGGACCCAGTTTGCCGTTTCAAGTCCCGAGGAACCGGATCCACGAGAAGCATTTTAATATTTTCGGGCCGGAGAAGAGCGAGGCACCAAGTCCATCGGAGAAGGACAAGAATGCGCTTCGTCCCCAGGTGGACTTCGATCCCAAAACGCAGCTGATAAAGCCCGTGGAAGTTTTCTGCGATGAAGGAGACTACAACGCCGACATTGATAGGCGACCGGGCGCACCATCCAGGACAAGAAACACAGTGCAAACCATGTCGCTCGGGTGGCTGAGGCCGGATGAGCACGCCGCGCTTCGGGGGCCCATGGCTTCGGGAATCGTGCAACAGATGCTCAAAAACGTGGATTGGCGCCCAGACCTGGATATCCTGTGCAAAAGGATCGTACTCGTATTGCAATCATGCATTACAAATCTTTTTCTTGAGGTATTTTCTTGAGGTAAATCCGCATTACAAATTTTTTCGATTATGCTGAGGAAATAATGCATTTGTACGAGTGCGATACTTTTTCAGTTCATACTGGATTACTTGGTGCTGGATTTGCCGCCCGGGACGGGGGACATCCACTTTTATTGATTGGAAAATTTTTGTTGCACACAGAATCCACATCCAGCACTTTTTCTTTAAACTTCACGATTTCCAGCATTATTGTTTCGCTGCAACCTATCACGACCTGAGGCAACTTTCTTGGGCTTTTTCTGTCGCATTTTATTGCAACACTCCATCCATTTATACCTGGCAGGTGTTTCTTGGACAGAGCACCATCCAAGAAGCTGAAGTATTCGTACCTACAATTGTTCTAGTTTTATGTGCAGTGCAAAATTTTTTTCCACCATGATTTCTGAACCGTTGCACAGCAGATCCGGGTAGACTACTGTGTCATGATAACCACGCCGCAGCTGCTTTCGCTCGTCGACGTGGAGAAGGGCATCAAGATGTTTCACGAAGTGGGAATACCGACCGCAATACTGGTGGAAAACTTCTCTTTTTTCACTTGCGAAAACTGCGGCCACGATAACCAAATGTTCCTGACATATCCAGGGCAAAACGCGCAGAAAATGGCAACAGATTTCGGGCTGCCGCATTTTCTACAGCTCCCCTGGGAACCCGAACTGACGCGGCCACACTCGATTTATGTTTTGGACCGCGAGGATGTTGAACAAGAGCACGATCTTCACCCGCACCGTACTAGCGGACGAGATCATGATCCGTCGGAGGTGGATCTTCACGCACTTCCGTTGGAAGGAGCCAGGGAACGTCAGCCAAAGACCACGACCCGCAGCACGAGATCTAGTACGAGCACCATATTACCTCTTGCAAGTAGCACCGGTGTATCTGTACGCGCAGTGAAGATGCGGGAACAGTTGGCGAAGCTGGCAGAGTGTGTGGAGACTCTCTGTTGTACTACGTCTTCTACTTCTACTTCTGGTGCTCCTGCGCCAAGGAACAATAGCACAGTGGGACCACAAGCGGGCCTAATGGCAGACGGGTACGAACTGACGTTTCCGAAAGATGAAAACGGAGCTGGCGCAGCCTCAGCCGACCGCGTATCTCTCGTGGTGCAAATCCTGAAAGACGGAACTTTTCTCGGCAAAATTCCCGCGAGGAAGCTGCGGCTAAGCTGCAGATCCGCGGTCATGTATGCTGAGCAAAAACGTCCCCACCCCAGAGTTGTCATGCAAATCCGCATGCCAAGAAAGTTGCTCATGCTGAGCCCCATGGGAAGTATTTTCTAGTCGTGTTTTGGAATTTGTGATGCTAGAATAAGCATGATAAGCTAGATCTGTGATGCTGCTGAAATAGCAAAACAGGACTAAACTACGAGAACAAACTTGTCATGCGAAACCGCCGAAGCTGGTTGATTTGTCTAGCAGCTTTCCCATCTTGACTCTGGTGTGGGGACGTTTTTACTCCGGATATCATGTATGATGAATTCACGGGGGAAAAGCTGTTCAAAGAGGACGACATACCACTCGACGTGTACCCAAAAAAAATCGAGCCGGCCGGTCGGCTATCAAATGCAAAAGTGTCTGGGTCTGGAAGGATGCAACTTGTAATGCTATTTTCGGATTCTAAAAAAAATCTGTGTTGCATGACAGGCAATAGGAGTCCAGTTTTTGCCACGTGGAGAGGGCATTTCTCATGCAGGACCACATGCATCAAGAAGCACTCAGAAAATCTGTGATGCTAGGGCATACGTCACAGCCGTCATGGGTCATGTCAGGCGTGCATGACAAATCTTCCAATCTTCCAGAACCAGACACTTTTGCATTTGATATCGGTACGCGGTGTCGGTCACGTGGAGTGACAAGCACAGCAGCCTCTTTCCGTGGAAAAAGATCTTGCCGCTGATGGAGGAGCAGGAACATCAAGGAAAGAGCCAGTAAATCTGTATTGCGTTATTTGCGCAGCATAATTGCACGAAAGACCACGGCGCTTTTTCTGCCACTGATCATGTTCCATCCTGTGCTGCGCGCGTGCCGAGAGCTATGCGGAAAAGTACAACTCAAATGCAAAACAAAGATGTGATAATTCTGCAACCTTTGAAGAACAAAAACTGCACTGCTATGAAGTAGAACACTGCACTGCAACTGCTATGAAGAACATAAAACTGCACTGCACTGCTTCTGCAAGGCTATGAAGAAGAATGATCACATGCTGTGGTCCTTGTTGTTCTGCGGCGAAAAACAAGACATGACTGATAGCACCACCTTCACCATCTAAGGCAGCTCTGATCAGCTCTGTACTGCGGATCAGCTTTTTTTGTCAACATTTGGAACGATCACATTGGCACTCTGCGTCGAGCGGACTTGTTTTTTGCGCTTCTTCAATTAGAATGTTGACAGTGATAGCATTCCTGGAGCTGGTACCAGATCGAGGTTCGAGTGCCGCTTCCGAACCGGCAGCTAGTACAAAACAAAGTCGCCACTGCTGATGGACAAGGGGTGGTCCGAACAGGATTATTTACTGTAGATCTGCAGTTTTCGTTTTGCTTTTGTCTAGAGCTGATCTCCCGCTTCACAGATGAAGATCATATTCACGGCATGCACAGAACACTTCCGGACTCTGTCTCTGTCAACCGATAGGCCCCTCTGACACATGGTACAACAGAAGATCAGAAGTCGTGCAGCTCTCTCCATTCACAATCATTCGCATCCCGTGCTAGTGTGCATCTGCGAGCTGTCGCATAGTCTTAGTCATGTAGTGTTAGACCAAAAAGAAAATACAAATATCGTAGAATTATGGTAATGCTGTCCGTGTTGAGCCCACCGGAGGCCGGTGGTGGGGGCGCAGAAGCAGATCCGGGAGTTGCAGCAGCTTCGAGCGTCGCGCCACAGCTTCCTTTTTCGCTACACGACACAGATGCTGTCGCTGCAGCTGCGGCAACAGGCTCCTTGTCAACATCTGCTACGACCACGACCCCAAGTGCAGCTCGGCCTCGAGGACACGAGCCGCGCGTGGATTTCTTTTCCCTGCAAAGAGATTTTCTTCTCGCTTACGGCGATAGCGTGGAGAGTCTCATTCAACACGGCGTTTTTTTCCTTCCGGGCGGGACCACGAGCACGGACGGGGTACGAGAGCAGTTCATTTACTCCCTCGCCGAGCTGTTTGGCATCTACAGGCGACTGGTCGTGCAGGAGCACCAGGAGGTGGAAAGGATCGGCACCAGCAGACCTTTCCCCACGACCCTCTCCTGCACCAGCGAGACCACAGCGAAGGTCGCAGTCTTCTTACTGAAGGCGGTCCGGTGTTTGCAGTTAGTGGTGGAAATGCGGCACCCGGGCGTGAAAACTTGCTTCGTCCTAGAGCTACTGAAAATCTTTGCGAAATTTTACCTGTGGAGGCAGCAGAGACGTTCTTTCAATGCTTGTCCCATGCTTATTGACGAGTCCGTCGAGGCGACTGCCGCGGCTGTGGAAGCCGCAGCACTTAATACCGGCGCAACGTATCCACTGCAAATATGATGTCTGCGTCCGGAACTTGTGATGCTAATAAAGATGTGCGAATGGCATCACGGGGCCGTGCGTGACAAGTTTCTGAGCGAATACGTCTTGCATAAACTGCATGACAGACCGCATTTTTGCATGACACAAAAGACGCAGCATATAATTGAGGCATCACGCATTACTCTACAGCTTTATTTTTCTCTTCTAACTGACAAACTGAAACTCTCCAGACCCAGACATGTTTGCAATGTATACATCAACCGCACCAACACCAGTAATCACAGATGAAGACGGATACGAGACGGTGTTTCACGAGCACAAGGGCAAGCACTCCGGTATCGTGCTGCGCGGGCACGTGCGGAAGCAGGTGTTTAGTTATCCTGGACATGATGCGACTGCGAGCGGAAAAATGGGAGAAACGGACTCACTGAACGAGGACCAAAGCGACGTCGTCAACGACGAGAATATTAAAGGAAACAATTTAGTGGTGCCAGGAAGACTCCTCGTAGCACCATCATTCCCACGAACAAGACCGCCCGCCAGAATCCTGCTCGGCGAGTGGCTTTACCATCTTCGGCCGTTGCTCGTGTTGTTTCTGCAGCACAGATATCCTGTGCAAAAGTATCTGATACTCGTATTGCAATCATGCATTACAAATCTTTTTCTCAAGGTAAATCCGCATTACAAATTTTATTTCTCAACACGCTGAGGAAATTTGTAATGCATTTATATATACGAGTAGGATTCTTTTGCAGTTCATAACAGAATGGCGAGGTGGAGCACGACCAGGGTCGTCTCCGTGAAGAACAGAGATGCTGGTGTTGGCAATCAACATATTGGCGGAAATCAACATCATCATGCTGGCGCAGCACAACCACACCCCGATCATGGGACCGCCTGTTCCAACTCCTGGCCCGCCTGGTGGGCGGCGGTGCTGGTCGACTTGCTTTCCATTCAACTCCAGTGGCAAAACCAAAACACAACATCGAACAACACAACAGCGGCACCTTCTTGGGAAGGAAGTGCCGCAGATCATCATGATCGGCAGGAGTACGGAAAAAATAAACACACGACGACATCTTCATCACAGGAACATCAAATAATCAACCTGCAGCAACTCGAGCTCAAGCGGCGACGGAGTTTGCTCCTCTACGCTTTAATTCGGTCTCCGTTCTTCGAAAAGTTTTTCCCGGCGGAGAGACTGCAGAAAATGTGGGAACGGATCCCAGTGGTGGGGAAACATTTTAATTTGGTACAACTGTTGCTACTGTGGCGCCCCTATTATTTCTACACGAGTGGAACGTGAAGGTCAAGTTGTGTACGAACAAGATGATTTGTGCCAGGGGTAGAATCGTCGTGAGTACTTAGAATACTCACGAAGCCCCTCCTGCGCACTTACTTGACGTCAGAAGTCTTATAGATGACGCTGCATTTATTTTTGCACTTTGCATGCCCATGCGCATTCAAATTCAAACGACCGTGTGAGATCATTTGCCATCGCAGAAGCGCCTTGCTTTCTTTGCTCTCGTTGTTCCTCTTTACTTGGCCAGGCAGGTTACGCACATGCGCATGCTTTTCAGCCAGACAGTGATGTCCATCGACAGCAATCCGAGGAACGTGTTCAGTGTTCTTCGTGGATCCTGTCATGATCGTCGAACAGGGCTCGGCATTAAGCTGTGTGTGAAATTTCGTTGTTCGTCGCATTTCTCGTCGCAGTGATTAAGTATTATTTAAAAAAGAAATGCAGTTGCAGAGGGATTCTGCTTCTGCCTCTGCACTTTCTAATATGAAAATAATCCACCTCTACTGCAGTTGACAGCAGGTGTTCGCTGTTCCAACAGTCAGGCAAAAATGTAGGTACAACATCTCTGTGCGAGTGCGAAAAATGGCGTTGAGTCGCGAGAGGAGAGAGCACACTTCAAAAAAAGTGCTCTTCGTTCTTGTTCAGTAAGGAGAGAAGAGGGTATTGGCCTGTTGTACTATCAAGCTTGCACACCAAGATTCGTTGCAAAATTCCGATGGGTCGCTCGTTGTAGCGGTACAACGACCAGCGCATGCGCAACTGAGAGACCTAGGCACAGCAAAAGGCAGAAGTCACCAAAATATCGACTTGCTTGTTGCAGCCTTCACCCTGTTGGATGAGTTAGAGCTGTATATGAAATAAAATTTTGCCGTACAAACATTTTCAAAAGGAAGAAAAGATGGGCAACACGACTTCTACTGCCCCGGGTTCAACAGCACCGGCTGCTTCGCCCCGTGTATGCAATGCAAATATGTCTGGGTCTGGAAATTTGTGATGCTCAGCATGACGTATCGTGAGGAGGCCACAAGTGCTGGCTCAGCATGACAAGTTTCGGAGCTTCTACGTGTTGCCTATTCTGCATGGCAAACTGCGTTTCTGCATGAGAGAACAAAAGCGGGGCGCTTGGGTAAGGTGCATGACAGATTTCAGAGTCATGCCAGACAAGCATGACAAACATGCACTCCTCCAGACCGAGACATCTTTTCAGTTCATACCGTGACGTCGTGGACCACGACATTCTTCCCCCTGTATAGATTGCAAAAGTGTCTGGGTCTGGAAAGTTGGAACTTGTGATGCTCTTTTTGGACTCTAAAAAAATCTGTATTGCATGATCAGCAAGAGGAGTCTAGTTTGTGCTACGCGGGGAGGGCGTTTGTCATGCGGAATAGGCATCAGGAAGCCCTCTAAAAATCTGTGATGCTAGTAGGCCATGCATTACAGACAGCCTGGGTCATGCAAAATATGCATGACAAATCCGGCAACATTCCAGACCCAGACACTTTTGCATTTGATCCTCTGCTCCCCAGGACCAATCGGTCGCGCAGCAGATTCTTTCCTTCCTGTCCCCCTTTGACTTTGATGAGGACGACGCCGCCGCCGCTACGCAGCCTACCACCACGGCCTTCCAGCAGCGGCGCGAGGCGAACCGCCGCGCGCGACAAACCATATGAATTGCAAATATGTCTGGGTCTGGAAGGTGGTAACTTGTCATGGTAAATCTGAAGCATGCAAAAATCTGTCTTGCATGAGTGCCAAAAGCTGTCCACTTTCGACCAAGTTGGGAGGGAGTTCCTCATGCAGGATAGGGATGGCAGAGACCTCGCAGAGCCTGTCATGCTAAGTCCCGCATTGCAGACCTCATGGGTCATGGAAAATCTGCATGACAAGTCTACACTCTTCCAGACCCAGACATTTTTGCATTTGACAAACCAGCGAGGGGCGCCACCGGCGGGCGCAGATGCTGCTGTTATCGCAGGTGAACGACTTCCGCGACATATTACAGTGAAAAATGCCCCCACCGGCCCCCAAAGTTGCAAAAATTTGTGATGCGAAGTTTCCAAATGAAAACTTTTTGCCATGCATGAAAGGAGTACGAATGAATCTTTCTGATGCAGAGTCTAGGCGTGTATCGCATCGCTTGCATGACAAGCGCCACTCTTGCTGGTGGGGTCTTTTGCAATACAGATTTTTGCTATTCACGCTTGGAAACCTGTGATGCCGATAGATGCAAGAGGGCAAATGTTTCATTTGGAAAGGTTTGCAATACAAATGCTCCCAAGTTCGGGAGTGGGGGCATTTTTCACTGTAATGCGACATGCTGACGGATGAGCAACTGGTGGCGATTTCGAACGGCTATCAAATGCAAAAATGTCTGCGTCTACAAGATTGCGAGATTTGTCATGTTTGTCTGGCATGACCAAAAAGCTTGTGATGCGTGTCCAAGAAGAGCCCCTTTTGCTTGTCATGCAAAAACGCAGTTTGTCATGCGAAAAGCGCAACACAAAGAAGCGCAGATATTTCCCATGCTTGCCTGTGCATTACAGAGCATTCACTATTCCCAACGCAGCATTACAAGTTTCCAGACCCAGACATTTTTGCAGTTGATAACGGCGAGTTTGCGACGACCGGGCGAACGACGACGGCCCCTGCCGCTCCTTTGGGGGAACAAGAGGACGAAGCTGGAGATGAGGCCGCCACTGTTGGAGAAGATGATGGCGGCGGCGACGAGGGCAACTCAACCACCGCCGACGTTGCGGGCGAACCCACGGCGACGACAACGAGCATCGGGGCACCAAGGACCTCCTCGCCACCTGGAGCTGCAGTTAACGAAGACCCGGCGGAAGCGAGGACGCAGGGTAGACGTGATTCTCAATGCCCACGACACGAGGAACTTTATCGAGACCCGGGCGGGCAAGAAGATGCTGAAATAAGAGGTGCAGTGGGAAGATCATCATCCTCTGCTACCTTCAGTACCGCCGCCGCAGCAGGAGGGGGAGCTGCCGCTGCGTCCACTTCTTCCCCGCCCACGCGGACCAGGAGTGAAGACGGCACTCCTGCAGCAGCGTCTACTAGCGACGGCGCGGATCATCCTGCAAGAAATCAGTCCGGTTCAGCTGCAAGCTCCACGGGTGGTGCCGTTTCTGCAACCTCCGGTGCAGCTTCAGCTCCTTCGGCTGCCGCGTCGTCAGGACGACCAAGTACATCTGTAACATCCACCTCAGCGGTGGAACAAGCGTCATCCAGTTCGTCTTCTACAAGAATGGAGGAAAACGCAGCGGGCGAAGATCAACCTAGTGTAACTCTGCCAGTAGAGGAGCAAGGCGCCCGGGGGAGCGGGGAGATATTTAGTACAAGTCAACACAGTGCTGTTCCGCTTCCGGGGACGACGACCAGGAGCGATGACGCAGCAACTGGAGGAGGTGTCCTCAATAATACCAGGACTAGCTCTACAGCGTCCTCGTCGACCTCCAATATTACAAGAAGCCAGCAACAAGCCTCCGTCGGCTCGCGGCGGCGGCTTCTCTCCGAGCGGCTTTTGGACGCGACGAAGGTCCAGGCACCGAAGATGGAGAAACTCGCGGTGGAAGTGAACCAAGTGCACCTACGGCCAGACTCACTCAGGCTGAAAGACGGGATTCGGACTATTCCTGCGCAGGACCACGTCTTTCACCCCGGCGCGGCAGACCGGACCCTGTCGTTTCGCTTCGATTGCAGTTCCGAAACCGGGTGCACGGCTTTGGTTTTCTATCCGGTCGAGCTTGGAGGTGGGGAAGGCGTGGAAGAGGTACTTAGACAATAAACCAAAATCAGGTGTCGTTTGTGACAGAAACAAGAAATAAGTGCCTTTTACTTTATCAGCTACAGTGTCTTGTGTTGTGCTGCTCGTATACTTAGAAGAAGTGTCGCGGAGTTTGACGGGTGTATTTCATTATAGCTTTGCTCTCTCGAGAATGTTATTTCAGTGCGTATCTGAATCTGGAACTGGGCCACCAACTTCAGTCGATTGACCACAACATGCTCGCCATTTCTGTGGAGTGAAGTGCGCGGACACGACGTTCTTTCTATCCCTCGAAAATATGCATATAGTCGATCTTCTTCCATATCCTTCGTGATCAAGGTACCAAAAGTCGGTCCTGCAAACGGCGGCTCGTCTTGGTCTTCCACCACATCCTCGAAAATAAACGATGGTCTTGCCTTATCCACTGCATCAAATATTGGGCCTGGCTGTTCTCTGGAAGGTTGCGACTTGTGATGCTGCTTTAGGTTTATTTGGATTCCGAAAAAATATGTATTGCCGGAGCCACCAGAGTAGGACTCCAGTTTTTGCTCAGCGCAGACGCCATTTCTCATGCTGGCTAAGCATTAAAACCAAAGGGCGAAAATCTATGCCAGATCACAGACATCCTGACTCATGTAATAAAGGGTGCATGACATCAGACCTTCCGTTCTTCCAGACCCAGACATATTTGCCTTTGATACGGCTGCGCCAGCTTTTCCTACACGGGGCCCCGGGGTTGCGACATCCCTGCTACCGTGTTGCTGGCCGGCATGTTCTTGAAGCCACTACAACCGCTGAAGTCTCCTGCAAAGATCTCCTGCCCCGGCGTCCGAGATGAATCTTCGCAGCCTCTGGACGTGCTCGTCGTCCTCCTGCCGGGGTTCTTATACGAAGAGGAAGAAGATGAATCTACTTCGGTAGTTGATTTACTACACGACTCAGCCGATCAAGCAGAACATCCGGCCACAACAGCTGCAAAACAGGAGTTCAGTAAAAACTTCATCCTGCCATGTAGTCGCGGAGGCACCGTCGGCCTGCCGGTGCACCTCCGGGGCGCGGTGGACCACGGCCAGGGCAGCAATAGTGACAGCACGAGGTGGACCTCCCCGTCGAGGACATTTTTAGAGACAACAACCCAAATGACTCTCGTTCCCTCCTCTTCTACTTCCTGGCACCCGGTTGAGAAGTTCCAATTGCAGAGGACCTGCTTGAACGACGAGAAGAATCTGCGTTGGCCCGACCTGCTGCTCAGCCGACCACGGGATTTCTTGTGTGCCGCAGTAGAAGAAGACCGATGGGCAGGACGACCAGGAGGAGCTCCAAGCGGCCCTTCGTTTATCAAGAATAATAAAACCACCTCCACATCAACTTCTAGTTCTAGTAGAGCTGTCCACCTCCTGTCCGCGGCGCAACGCACCAAGCCCGTATGAAATGCAAAAATGTCTGGGTCTGGAGAAGTGGAACTTGTGATGCTGTGTTTGGATTCCAAAGAAATCTGTATTGCATGAGCAGCAAAGGGAATACAATTCTTGCTACGCGGAGTGGGCATTTGTCATGCGAAGCAGGCATCAACAAGCCCTCAAGAAATCCGTGATGCTAGGGCATGCATCACAGGCATTATGGCTCATGCAAAACGTGCATGACAGGTCTCAGAATCTTCCAGACCCAGACATTTTTGCAATTCATAACCCGCCTTTTTCTACGAATCCACCTTCTTCCGCATATTCGTCTCAACCATTGAAGACACGACGGCGGAAAAGAACGGAATGAAGAACACAAGTGGTTTCTTATCCAAATTGAAACACACAGTGAAGACGCAGAAGCTCCACGTTGGAACGGAGGCGTACTCCCTCCGGGATCTCTATGGGGCGCCGGAACTCCCACAGGAAGAAGGCGCCGGTCCGACGAGTAGCTCTTTCCAGGCGATAATTGCCGGCGCAGCTGCCGACGAAAGAACATCATCAAGGGCTGCACCTACTTTAGCTGGATCTTCTTCATCCGCCGATGAAGAACAGATGTTGCAGAACAACAACGGAGGTGGTCCTGGTCCGGCTCTCGAAGATAATCGACCCTCGTCGCCTTCCGCAGTAGTACCCGCTGGCGTAGCTGTATCGTCGTCAAAAGGTAGTTCACTTCCTGCAGAACCACTGATTAACCATACTTCTTCCACCGCGGAAACAATGGAAGATTTCGAGGCCAGCGCCCAACAAGCCTGCATCATCTGCCTCTCGGACCGGCGGAACGTCGTCGTTTTACCCTGCCGGCACATGTGCCTCTGCGAGCACTGCGCAAAGAAGTTGAGCCAGGTGCGCAGCACTAGCAATGGCGGGCGTCCGCAAAGCAGTATTAAGTGCCCCCTGTGTCGGGAGAAAGTCAGCAGCTTTCTCGCGGTCGTGTGTGAAGAGGCGAAGTCGGTGCGTTGTTGAAATCAATGCCGAGACACTTGTTTGCGAGATTTTTTTTCTGAATACTGTTTCAAATTGGCTGCATTTGAGTGTGACAACTTTTTTCCGATCCGTGAAGAAATCACCAGCATCAAGAACTACTTATTTTGCCACTCACTGTGCTGAACAGCCTTTTGCGAGCACCAGAATCTTCAACAACACTCGCCGGAGCGCTTTGTAGAAGTATAGTAGCAAAAGCACAGAACAATTGAAAATTTTGCAGGCCGCGAGGTGTGAAGAATGCAAGAGGAACGCGCGGCTCCGCTCCAATCTTCCGAAATTAAGTACACTGTATCTAGACGAAGCGCAATCGCCAGGTCTTGTTCCAAGGCGGGCATCGATGCTGAAAGCCGAATCAGTGTGTTGCAAGTTCTTGCCTATTTATTTAGAATTTGTCGCTTGTCCTCTCGTGGTCGACATTTATAATCTCGGTCTTCGTTCACGTTCGTTGTCTCCAAGTAGTATTTGTAGTCGTGCCTACCACTAAAACTAATACCACAAAAAATCCACATCATTGTCATTGTCGTTGTTCGATGAAGCTAACAAAATTGGTCGGTTCGTTCATCCACTCTGGTTCATCCTGCCATCGGTGGTAGTACTAAGTACCAAGTATGCCTTTCGAATAAAGCGGTAGAAGAGCTGGCTCTCGGTCTTCGTGCACACGAAAAAACTTTTCTACAAGACCTTCGTGCACCCAATTCCTGCTTCGTGCGTGTTTTCGGTCATCAAGCGAGCTTCCCGCCCAGTAACTGTCGCGCATGCAGTCGTACATGATGAGCAGTGGCAAGCTGCCAGGACGTATTAGGTCTAATAACTACAGCTAGACGTAGTTTGGAGTAGCTTGGCATCCAAACTAAAGTCATGTGTCTTTTATCCTTGTGCCTGTCGACGTACTCCCTTTTTTGAATCGCGACGATTAATACCAGGACCCAACCATGATTATTTCGGAACCTCCCATGTTGTTAACCTAGAGTACCACCCATTACGACTGCATGTACACTAAATCAGATTCGCACTTTAGAAATCTTCGGGTACTAGCGACTTCTTCATTAGCCGCCTCGTTTTCATCATCCCATTCTTAAGCTACCCATGATTTCAGCTTCTAAAATAAGTCCTCCACAACTAACACGACCTTGCCCACACAAAAAGTACAATCTATCACCACGCGGCCCGGCAATGACGACATGCCGATGTTGACGCAGCTCCGGTTATAGTCAGTTATCCCAGTAGAAAAGCTAATATCGTAGTACCTAGAAGTGGTGTCTCCTTACAACCACCCCCCTCTTTTAGACAGATTTCTTGAGCTGGTAATTTAGATCCGACGCCGCCTGAGCTGGAAGTGCTGTAGCTTCCTGTACTTCATCTCGTTTCAACACCGCGGGAAGCCCTGAGCAACTACATGCAGCACCAACGAACAACCAACGTCGAACACGTAAAATGGAGGAGCCGCTCGAAACGTCAGCACAGTTGGACGAAACGGACCTATACTTCTCGTAGTACCGTTGGTTCTTTTAAGCTCCTGCTGTCCTCGTTGTGCTTTCGGGACAAATTATTTTGCAGTAGTACTTCTTCTCGGGAGTTCGAGTTCGTTGCAGTTGGGCAGCAGGAAGCAAGGAGGAGCACTAGGAACAGGACAACTCCGAGGCGTGAAGGTACCGCAGATCTTTGCGAGGCGGTTTTAAGTAGGTGCTGATCGAACTTACGGATCTCCCCAGCGGAACACAGCACCACTACTTACATCTCAGCATAGGAGGAACATCCTCGATTCCGGGACCGACATCGCAAGCAGATTGGTAGGCGGGGGGAGGAACACTACAGTACTTACTATCCGCCACGACCTTGTCCGAAGATGTTGTTCAACAGCAAAAACGATCGTCGGATGAACGACGAGTGGGGCTTCCGTGTATGCACTGCAAATATGTCTTGGTCTGGATTTGTCATGCGAGAATAGAAGGGCAACAAAATCTGTAATGCATGAATGCGATCATTGGCCACTTGAATCGCCATTGCTATATCGTGCTGGAAGGCGGTCTCCTGTCATGCGAAATACGGCAGATTCGGATTCCGCAAGAAGGACCTAACATGCAAGACTCAGCATGGCAAATTGTGTGCTTTGATCCAGATTTAGACACATTTGCATTTGATACCGCAAGCACTTCGACCACCGCGACCAACAAATGAAAGCGCACGAACTCAACGCGGGCATGTTCTCTGCGGACGGACACCACAACCCGGTGATCCAGCGCTCGGGGACCGGGCGCAACGCGGAGCTCCGCGGGCAGTACCAGGTACAGGCCAACGCGATGCAGGCCCGGCTGATGGACAAACTGGCGGACAGACGGGCCGAGATGCACCGGATACCGTATGGAGTTCTCAAATGTTACATTCTCAACTGTTACATGAATTTGTATATGCAAGACTGGCAAAAGTGAAAGGAGGAAGATTGCGCCCTTTGCATTACAAGTTTGGCGCAGATTTAGATGCTGTCTAGCCCACCTTCCGCAATTTGTCTTGCGAAGCAGCTCGATCATCTGCCGGCTTAAGGAACTTTTGCATGACAAATTCATGTAACAGTTGAGAAGGTAACGTTTGAGAACGCCATATACCGCAGGTAAACCCTTCCGCCGTCGAAAAGATGCGGGTGCTGCACACCCTCGGGATCTATCACTACATGAACAGCTTCGGGTTGTGCTGCTGCTTGTGCTACTTTTCGCCCTTCACCTGCATGATGGGCATGCTGGTCCGGCAGATCAACCAGTATGAGGATTTTGACGTGATCAAGCACCGGGTCCGGTCCGCGCTGCTCTTTTCGAAGATCGTGCTTGTTGTGTGCGTATCCCGTGCAAAAGTATCGTACTCGTAGTATTTGCAATCATGCATTACAAACCTTTTTCTTAAGGTAAATCCGCATTACAAATTTTATTTCTCATGCTGAGGAAGTTTGTCATGCACATGCTCATGCATTTACACGAGTGCGATACTTTTGCAGTTCATAGTGCGTGTTCGGCATGCTGCCCACGGGGGTCTTTGTTTGTCTCGCCGCCATCGGCCTGTGGACGGACCGGGGCAACTTCGCGACGAACGTCACCCTGTGGTGGTGGGACGGCCCGATGAAGGGCGCCGGCTTTTCGAGCGAAAACTCCTGGTTTGTCGCTTTCGCGCTTTTTTCGTTTCTCTCGTTCCTGGTGGCGATCTACGCCGTATACGTTGCTGCGGGCATACACACGAACCTAAAATGGCTGTCCGAAAACATAGACCTGCTCCAGGCCGCGGAGGAGATGGCGCCTTGGTTCATATCAAATGCAAAAATGTCTGGGTCTGGAAGAACGCAACTTGTCATGCTAAATCTGGAATCCAAAAAAGTCTGTATTGCATGAGCAGCAAAGGGAGTGTAATCTTTCCTACGCGGAGAGGGCATTTGTCATGCGGAATAGGCACCAAGAAGCCTTCAAAAAATCTGTGATGCTAGGGCATGCATCACAGACATCAGGGCTCAGGCACGACGTGCATGACAAATCTCAGAATCATCCAGACCCAGACATTTTTGCAATCCATAGTTCATGGGCGACGACTACTGGGGCGACGACCCCACGGGGATCTACGCTTATGACCCCTGGACGGGGCCCCCGAGAGACTCGAAGGACGATCCCTGGGCGGCGCACCACGTACGCATTGCAAATATCGATGTCTGGGTGGAGTCTGGAATAAACTTGTTTTCTTGCTAGTGTGTGAGGACACCTGCATAATTTTTATACAGACTGGCTGCTTGTTGTACGGCATAACAACAGCATGCGAAGTTGTTTTCCTCAGCTGCTTGCGGATTCATTTTCATTGTCGTTCGCATGTAGCATTACAAACTCAGTATCATAGCACAAAACTGACCAATCGTATTTATGGTTATGCATCACAAATCCTTGTTGTCCTCGAAGTTCCGCATCACAAATCCGCACTCAGACAACATATTTGCAATGCATACCACGAGCTGGATGATCACGATGACCACGAGTGGGGTGTCGACGTCACAGCGGATATAAACGCGGCCGTTCGACAGGCGCAAGAGGAGCACAACTTTCGTGGCGACGAAAAATTGGAAATAAAGATGCGCGTTAGGGAAGACTGGATAGAAGCGAAAGGAGGTAAGGATTTAACACCGACTTGGTTGGACGACTGCTTACTGTTTACTTTAGTTAGTTAAACTACTTTTTATCGTCAGCGCCAGCAACGTCCTCTAAAAGAGTAAAAGTGGACTAACATTATTTCAACCAAAACACTCGTCGGAGGTCCGAGTTATCGAGCGTCTAGCGCAGACCTTTTGCTGCGGTAGGGTTCAAAGTGGACTCCTCACCGCCTTCGCTGATTTCGGTTTTTCGTGAGGAACGCGAGACAAAAGCAGCATTTTAACAGCACGCGTTGAGCATGTTCAGTGTAAGTGCAAAAACTACGAACAATTTTGTTATCGCAGGCGCCTCCTATGTGGATAATTTTCGTGACGAAGCGAAAGGTCAGCTGGCCGCCGGTGGCGGTTTTAGCGGCACCGGTGGTAAATTTGAGGGTATCATGGAGAAGGGCCGGGGCAAAAACGCCGCGATGCAGGAAAAAGGCCAGTTTGCGAGGGGTAAGAACTACGCGGGACAGGAGAAGTATGGGAGTGTCAGAATTGAAATCGACAAAGTTGAAATAACTTGTAATGCATAAAATCGATACCAGTTGGAAGCCCAATTTCTAAGCGGTGCATGAGAAATTTCGGCACCGTCTAAATCCAGTTTGTCATGCTGTTTCGGGACAAAAGGCGTCTCTTGTCATGCTACTTTAGCAGCTCTATCACAGACCCCAAACAGGCTGCCAGTCGGCCTCACTTGCCATCCCTGCAAGAGAGGCACTTCATGCCTTACAGTTCATGCATGAGAAATTATTTCAACTTTGTCGATTTCAATCCTGACACTTCCATAAGAAGGGCGCGGACGCTCGGGCGAAGCAAAGCCAGATGAACAAAGAGATGGCGCTATCCTCTGCAAAAACGTGCCCACCCCAGAGTCAAGTTGGGAATCTAGCAACACAAATCTCGAAGTTTTAGGAGCTGTGCATGACAAGTTTTCCTCTTTCGTCTAGTGCTGGTTGGCATTGGAATCCGCATGAGGAAGCCATTGTCTCATCTCGTTTACAGCATTACAAAGTCCAAAACGCGAAGATTGGAAATGCCTCTCATGGAACTGCGCAATACAAATGTTCCTATCATATTAATCATTGTGCCTTTGCATGGCAACTCTGTGGTGGGGACGTTTTTGCACAGGATAGGCGCCCGCGGGCGGCAAGCAGGCCGCTATGAAGGCGCAGAGCCAGGAGGGCTTAGCAAAGGGCAAGGCGATGCAGGACGTGGCCAGAACGGAGGGCGGGGGCCGCAACAAAGCCATGAACCAACAGATGGACAAACAGAACGCAATACGCAACGCAAATAAAAATTGGAAGCTCTGTAGGTCAGGAAGTGAAGCTCGTTTGTCATGTAGTTAGGTGAACAAGCACACGCAGCACACCGATATGCTCCTGGATTGCACACAGAAGCATCACAGATTTTGCAAAAGCTTCGTACCTGATGCCTATTCCGCAGTATGAGAAGTAGGTCGATCTTTGTAGCGAGAAGACGAACTACGCAAGAACTACTTATTCTTGGCGTCCAGGTTGTGACTACATCACAGATTTTCATCCTTCGATCCAGAGGACGTAGCATGAATAAGCTGCAGGAGTTCTTCGCTTCGTTCTTCCAGACCCTCAGGCAACAACATATTTTCGATGCATACACAAAGGGCAAGCAGAAGGCGGGGCAGAAAGAGCAGGCGGCGCAATATCGAAATGAAAAATCCCCCTCCCCATATCAAAACGGAAATTTGTGATGCTGATTTGTGGTCACAAATCATCTTTGTCTTGTAGATAGGATCATGGGAGCCATTTGACGCATTCCAGAGCAAGTCTGTCATGCGCTTTCGACTACTGCAAGCCTGTTTGTCATGCGCAATTGCTAGCTTTCTGCATATCCAAACAGGCTGAGAAAATGCCGCCAAGCACTTTCTGCAAGACAGATCTGATTTGTGTACGCAAATCCAGCATCAGAAACTTCGTTTCGATATGAAGAGGGGGGATTTTTCCTCTCAATACGCAAGGGAAATACGCCGAAAACAACGCCTACAACGAGAACCTGGGCTGGGACAAAGCCGGAGGCTTGGATATGGGCAGCGGGGTATCCTATGTAAAAACGTCCCCACCCCAGAGCTGTTATGCGAATGCACAATGAGGACAGGAGTATCTGTAATGCGCATCTCCATGAGAGGCATTTCCAATCGTGTTTCGGCACTTGTATTTGTAATGCTGTAAACAGCATGAGAAATAAATGTCTTTCTCATGCGACTTCTCTTGCTAACCAGCACAACGCTGCAGATGGAAACTTGTAATGCACAACTCCAAAAACTTGGGGATTTGTGTTGCAGACTTACCAACTTGACTATGGGGTGGGGACGTTTTTGCTCAGCATACGGGGCCTGGGCCGCCGGCGTAGACAGTACCATGGCCCAGCGGGGCGTCGATAAAGGTGCCTACGGAGATCCGCAGAGGGCCGCGCTGTGGGGCAAGGCACAGCCTGCTTACTACGGGAAGTCGCAGTTTTCCGACGGATACTGATCGGAGTAAAAGACAGGTGGTGTCTCTGGTCCATAATGGCACCTTTTGACGAAGATGATGAACAGTACGCTTTTTACTGCACACAGAACAGGAAAGCTACCATATTTATTCACACGATGCGAAACAGAGTGGTATAAATCCAAAAATAACTACCGCCCAGGAGTGCCTGCTCCTGCCCTCAGAGTAAGTACTTACTTACCCGGCCTTGAAGATTTATATGTCGGCCGGCCTGTGCTTTTTGTTCAATAAGGGCTGCATGATGCGCGAACATTTCTACAACGAAGGAGCGAGGCTACGCGGCAGCTTCCAAGCTTTGTTTTTGCGCGTGTTCTCCTACTGAAGATAACTACACTTCTCGTGCGGTCACTTTCGACGAGGATGTTCTAAGTTACTACTCGGTTCAGTAATCTGCCCGAAGTTCTTTCTTGGATCCTCGCCTGAAGCTGTATGAACAAAAAAGCTCTGGTGAAAAAGTACAACTAGAACTACACGTGCAAAATAACGCAAGGCTTTATTTTCCTTCTTCGGTTGGAGGTTGTGTTAGTTTTGTTTCTGACCTTCAGGATCAAAGCCAAAGGGTCTGTTTGATGCGATAAGTTTTCTGCAGCTCGTCCATTCTTGCTTCTGAAGGGTTTTGCTGGATAATTTTTCCCTTTGATAGAGCACAACTTCGATCCGTGGCTGGCTTTGATTTCTGTGTTGCTAAAGCTGACTTCTTTTTCCGTTTTCCGTTCCGTCCTCCTTGTCGTCAGAGATCCTGCAGAAGTGCCTTGTGAATTTTGATTGTTCCTCTTGCGTCGCGCTCGCGAGTAGACCCCCGACGGTTATAGTTACAACCAGAGCTGCAGGAGCGCTAGTTGTCGGCTAACATTGCGTTTTTGTAGCGGTGGACAGCGCAAAAATGGCAATCAAAAGTTAATAAAGGATGGCTCCCACTTCGGTCCGGTCGTTTTTCTTTACAGATGGAATAGTGACCGTAACTGTGACTGTATTGCTGTCGCTCAGCTTCTTGTAGCTGGTCCAGGTCCACCGCACAGAGAATCTGGTCTTCGCGCCCGCAAAGGTGGCGCTGCAGGCACTGCTGCTTCTGCAGCGAAGAGCAACATGATGAAGACAGCGGGCGAGAAGAAGCAGCAGCAGCAGGCCTACCGCATCTACTTCCTTCGCCATGCGGAGAGCGCCAATAATGCGCGGGCGGAGGGCGAGACAAGGAACTGCGACCCCGGACTGACGGCTCTGGGAGAGCAGCAGCAGGAGGCCCTCGCCCGCGCTTTGCTGCAGAATAATGTAGAAGTCAGATCTGGCAGTGGCAGTGGTGCCGTGAAGGAGCAGTCGACGGGTTTGTTCCCCTTCTCCCGCATTCTCGTGTCGCCCATGACGCGGACGCTCCGGACCTATCAAATGCAAATATGTCTGGGTCTGATAGAAGTTTGCTGCAACTTGTGATGCGGATTCTAGAATAGGCAGAAAGAAAGACTTGTATTGCAGGGGGGCCAAAAGCTGCCCGTTTCTTGCTACTTACGCACATAGAGACTTTCTCATGCAGGACAGGCATCTTCAGGAAGCCTGCGCAAAACCTGTAATGCTTCTGCATGTTGCACTAGAGAGAGAGACCAGTTATCTGTGACCGAAAAGATGCATGACAAACTCCTGAACCTGCAGCACCCATCCAGCCCCAGACATTTTTGCAATGCATAGAACCGCGAGCAGCCTGATCCGCCACACTGTCGAACACGCAGGCGGGCCTGAAGAACCCTATGACGTTAATAATTTCCATTTCCTTTCCCGAGAAGGCAGTATAGTATAGTAACAATAGGCGTGGGCCTGCGGGCCTAAATTCCGGTGGGTTGGTCGGTCGGTTGGTTGGTTTTGGACAGACGACATGTGACCGAACCCGCTGCATTGTGTTTTGTGTTTTTCTGAGATTCATCCACTACTACTGTTGAAACTACCTACCTACCCACCTACCTGGCGTCCTTTCCTATGCATTGTAGTACCGTGATCGCACCGACCCACCTACCTACCTATCCCTTTCCACCCAGAGACAGCTGGTCACGCCTACCGGCCTACCCACCCACCAGCCTGGTTGGTGGGTGGGGCGAGGGAGCGTGCGCTGCCTATTGGCCACGCCTACCGACCTACCCACCCACCTCGCTGGTGGGTGGGTGGGGCCGGCGAGGGAGTGCGCGCTGCCTATTGGCCACACCTACCGACCTACCCACCCACCTTGCTGGTGGGTGGGTGGGGCCGGCGAGGGAGTGCGCGCTGCCTATTGGCCACACCTACCGACCTACCCACCCACCTTGCTGGTGGGTGGGTGGGGCCGGCGAGGGAGTGCGCGCTGCCTATTGGCCACACCTACCGAAGCTGAAGATGAAGACACTGATCAGCATGACAATGATGGGGGGGGGGGGGGCCTCGCGGCCGTGTCTCTAATTCCTCGCGCTAGTCCCTGGCCCTAATCCCTATCTCTATAGAGTGATTATCTCTAATAATTCCCGATCTCCCGCTCTCCCTTTCATCTTTCTTATCCTGAATATCTCTAGATATCTATATCTGATCCCTGTCGCCCGGATCCTCGGCTCCGAGGATCCCTGCTTTCGGCCGACGCGAAAACAGGGATCCTGAGCTCCGAGGATCCCTGTTTTCGGCTGACGCGAAAACAGGGATCCAACCGCCACCATCAGGTCGGAGGATCCCTGTTGTTGTGGGCGCGAAAACAGGGATCCTCGTGCGTGATGTTTAGGACAGACAGATTCTCGGTGGGTATGACTCTAAGTGTTTATGCGTGACAAACTTCATCTTCATTACGCGGCTTTTTATGCATGACAAAATCAAACAAGAAGCATACTCATGCATGACAAATTCAACCACGCGTGACGCTTGCGCATGACAGATTCAATATTGTCTGTGGAGATCACGCACAGTAATAGAAATGTCGGCAGAGGTCTTGCTTGGGATATTGTCGGCGCCGGGCCTCGACGACGCGCCCGAGCGCTTCGTTGATTGTGTCCGCGTTTCGAATATCGAAGCAGGCGGACTTCGCGTCGATCGCAATCTGCGGATTCAAACGGAGATACACGCAGAGCCGCCACCCAAAGTACGCGTCTAGGATCATCCGCTCCCAGTAGTCCAAATCCCACGACACCTCCTCGGGCTCGTATTGCAGCCCGAGCTTTTTCAGTTCCTCCTTCTTCATGAACTCCCTAATGCTGGCCGCCCCAAGTTTTGTTTTTGTTGCGATTCCGCACTGTGTTATGCAACGCAAAAATATCGCGCTCGTGGCTGTGGAAACGCAAGCGCGAAGAGGAAGAAAGGGCACGTGAGAAGGCATAGGGGGACGCCGGCCTTGTCACGTGTTTCTTTTCTCCAAGCTTGCCAGCCGCCCTGCGGAATATTTTTGCATGGCGTACGCATGTCCGCATGCAGTTGGTACAAATAATCCACGCGCACACCCTTATGGCTGTTAACCAGCCAGACAGCCGGACCGGGGGAGCCTTCGCCGGGGTCTTTTTTACTTTTGTTTCCACTGGGGTCGAGGAGCACGCGCTCGGGGACGCAAACGTGCGTCCCTGAATCGTTTACGCAGTAGTTCGGATAGACGTACGTCCTGCATTTCTTGTCGTTGCATCTCCGCAAGACAATTTCGAAGTTCTCCACACCGCGCGCGCCCCATGCTTCTACTTTTACTGCCTTGTCCCGCACGTGCGTGGCGCCTCCACACAAGGGGCACACGACGCCTCCCTCCTCGGGTTCTTTCTTTGGCCGCCCGCGCCGCCGCGTCCTTCCCGCCTCTTGTTCCATTTTTTTTGCGAATTTACTTGACCGCGCACTCGACCACGAAAGACCTCTACGAAATTCTTACAAAATAAGGCGGAGCTGCTGAATTCTGACTATAGGAACTGCTGGGGTCGCTGCTGTTTGAAAAAAATACTTTTTTGGTTGCTGGCGTTATTCTGGTAGAAAGGGAAATGGGTGGGTGGATTGGAATTGATCTCAGCCTCCGCGCGGGGAATTTTGGTGTGGGTAGCTAGGCTTCGTGGGGACGCCTTTTTTCTCGTGTAGCTCGTAATGCTGCAGCGGTAGTGCGAGTAGCGCAGTGTCGCTTTTCGTTGTTGGAAGAAAACTGCGATGCGGGTGAGCGTAACGCGGGCTTTTTATCTCGATCTTTTTTTCGAAGATTTCTTCTCGCCCATTGATGGCGTGTAGATGCTGAGGCGTTCTTCCTTTTTTGCGCGATGTAAGTGCAGGCCCTTCTTTACGAGCACTACTTCTACCTACCCCGGCTACCTACCTGCCTACCTACTTTCCCACCGACCCTCCTACCTCTCCTTTCCTTCCGCGCCTCCCCGCGGCTGGTGTTCTGGTTGCAAACCTGTGGGCATGGCTGTAGACCTGCCGCGCGGGGGCAATTTTTTTTGCTGACCCGACCGGCCGGAGGGGTCGGTAGTGACCCGGACCGCCCTACCAGCCAGACTCGCGCTGGCGCAGCGTCTCGATGGGCGTACCTTCTAAACCGCCACCCCGGCCCGGCGGCCCGGTTAGGAAGTGCGCAGCTAGCTGTGCGGACTTTGCACCACAGAACGAGTCCAGGTAGACTCGTTCCTGTGCGGCCTTTATCAGCATTACAAACTGCGTTTCGGGTGCACTTTGGAATGCGGATTTTAGAACACAGAACGAGTTCAGGTGGACTCGTTCCTGTGCGGCCTCTAGCAGCATTACAAACTGCGTTTCGGGTGCGCTTTGTGATGCGGATTTTTGGAGCACAGAACGAGTCCAGGTGGACTCGTTCCTTTCCATTTCCTTTCCCGAGAAGGCAGTATAGTATAGTAAGTAAGTATCCACCGTCTGGAGGTGTCTGCAGTGTCTGTTGTGCAGCTCATGGTGCGGCAGTAATCACTACTTCTGCACCGTACTATATTGACTCAAAAACTCTGTTCCTGTTGGCATTGGCTGTTGGCTACAAATTGAAAAAGTGAGCATGAAAAGATTTTTGCTGGACGTGGACCTGGAAATGGAATCTGTTCAACCTCATACATCCCCGCTGGCACCGACGACCGTGGAGCCGCTATTGTGCGAAGAGGGTGGTATATGAGAGTGCACAACTACTCGTCTTGCTCCCTCTCATTTGTATTTTTGCATGAACAGCAATACAAATGACACCACCGCACCTGGAGCCTCTGCATGGCAAATTCAACATGGGCCTAGTGTAGTACTGTTTGGGCTTCCGGAATCTGTCATGCAAACAGCGCCAAAAGGCAGCAGCTGGATTTGGCGTTTTGCATGACAAAGGAAAGGAAGGGGTAGTAGTTGTGTACTTTCATAGGGCATTTTCGAGGGTGACCGCAGCCTCTCCGCGGCGGAGCGGCAGATGCAGTTCGAGAACGAGGGGGGTGTAGTCGGCGGCAGTGCGGCTAGTACAACCGTCAAACGTGGGCTCAGCAAGGAGGAAATGGTAAATGTCGTGTTTGGGGAGACTGTATCACAAGAAGAAGTGTTAACGTTAAACGGAATTTGTGATGCACTAATGCATCACAAAACGTGCCCAAGTTTGTCATGCATAACATGCATACCAGGCAAAAATTATCATGCATTTTTGCAATCTATGAAAACCGTTAACGTTAGCACTTTTTTGTTTGACAGACTGCTCCCGCCTCTTCGTCTTGGTCTTGGAATCCACTGCTGAATCACGCCTTTCTCGCGGAGCACATGTGGATATGACAGCGCACAACTCGCCCTCATTTGTATAGCATGAATGGCAATACAAGCATCAGCAAGAGTGCCGGTTTTGCATGACAAATTTGCACTGGAGTGTAGTGCTATTTGGGCTGCCAGAACTTGTCATGCAAACAGTGCCAAGAGGCAAAGGGTGGGTTGGGTATTTTGCATGACAAATGAGGGGGAGGGGGAGTTGTGCACTGTCATAGTGGAGTCGCACTGGCATCACCTTGCTGACCGCACCAGACGCCGCACGACTGTCGGTCCGCTTTTACCGGAATGAATTCGACGACGCGTCTGGTACAGGAATAAAAACTAGCGATGATGCCGACGGGCCGCCTGGGTGGTGGGTTGGAGGCCGCGAGAGCCCGGACTATGAATTGCAAATATGTCTGGGTCTGGAAGAATACAAACCTGTGATGCGCATTTCGGAACACAGAAAAATCTGTCATGCATAGGTTGCACAAGCTGCCCACTTTCTGTCACCAAAGTGAGGGATTTGTCATGCGGATTCGGCATTGCGGAAGCTTCTCGAAACCTGTGATGCTAGAGCTTCCATGCCAGACCTTCTATGTCATGCAAAAACAGCATGACTCTTCCAGACCAGACCCAGACATTTTTACATTTGATATACCACCATTGCCAGCAACTCCACACGTTGTTCACGAGGCCGTCTTTGCCTTCCGCCACCGCTATCCAAAGTTTGACGCGCTCTACTTCCTCTTCCGGGCTGCTGCTTCGCGCATCCTCACCTTACCCGGTTTTCTGTGCCTTCCAGACGTTGAGGCGCTCCATTGTCACCGATGTCGAAACCGCCAGTCGCGGCGGGAAAAACCGGCCGCTGGAAAGCTGGGAAGAGGTGGAAAAGCACCACCTGAAAATTCCCACGCTGGACAACTACAAGCGGCCGAAAAACGCCCCGCTGCCGACGGAACTGACGAGAGCCGATTACCATCAGTTCATGCGGGGAAAGCCGCGTCGGTGGCAGCAGCAAACGGTTTGTCCGGCGGTAGGCGCGGCGTTGATCTGCTTCACGTTTTGCGAGATGGCCTACGCCATGTTCAAACTGAAACCGGACGACTTCGATTGGATCGAGGAGGAGAGAGCACGCGCCAGAGCCGCCCGAGAGCGGATCGACCTCGAATTGCGGAGGCGCGAAAAGGAATCGAANGTTCTAACGCCCAGGTATTGGCAGAGGCTAAATCTGTTCTAACGCCGACCCGCCAGGAGTTAAATGGTACTACTACTACTACTACTACTACTACTACTCGCATGACAGAAAAAAACGTCTCTTGGGCAATGTGCATGACAGATTTAGGAGTCATGCCAGACAAGCATGACAAACATGCATTCTTCCAGACCCAGACATTTTTACAGTTGATAGTGGAAAGATACGTGTCATAATATGCTTGATTTTTGCGGATCATAATGTGGGTGTAGGTGTTTCCTCGGTTGCATGAAGTTTTTTTTGCCCAGCTGAAGTGGTATCTAGTACACGAACTACTTTGCGGCTTCTGCTATGCGTGAACAGTTTCGACACGAGAGATAGATCGCGGCCAGTTACTTTTGCAAAGATGACACGTTCATCTCTTTTTGTTTCATATTTTACCCGAGCTGTTTGACCGAGCGTTGCTGGTCACGCATGGCAAATTTCTTGACGGTATTATATCTACGATCTTAACGGATGCTCATGCATCACAGATTTTGCTCGTGTGTTGATACAACTAGAACTTAGTACAAGGTTAGCAACGTCACAACTTCGAGACCGAAATGAATTTGCATTGCGTACGGGACATCAAATGAATGACAACAACTGGTTTTAGACTCTGAGCAATAAAACAACAATGCTTCAGGTTTGCTGAAAAAGTTGCTGAACGTACAAGAAACCGAGGACCACAATATGGCAAAAGCAAAAAACAGCTCTCCACGACCAGACTAGTAGAAGCAAGTAGGTTCAAAAACCGTCGACGTCGTATCTTTCCGTTGCATGTAGTTGATCCACTATTTCCTCGTGCAGAAGTTGCACAGCGCTCCTGAATCTGCTTTGCAAGCGGGCGATCATGGATCTATTAAGGACATGCGCTGTGTGTTTGTCGTGCGGAACAGATCATGCATTTTTCAGGATGACGTGTCACGAAGGAAAAGGTCGTGGGAAGAGAGATGAAACTCGCCATTCACGTTCTACTCTGTTAAGCCGTCTGGTGGCTGGGCTCTTGAAATTTCCATACACGAAACCGTTTTTCTCACCGGTGGCGCCTGTTTGAGCTGCCTGCAGATAGACGACCAAGGCCGCGTGGGTGTGGATTTTCTGAACTACCTATTAAAGTGAAAAATGCTCCCACCCCAGAACTTGGCAGCGTTTGCATTGCAAACTTTTCTAGTGGAAACATTCCCCGCCTTGCCTATATCAGCATCACAAATTTCCCATGCTGAATAGCTCAAAACTGTGTTGCAAAGGAGCTCAACAGCAGGCGGATCTATTATGCAAAAGATACCTTGCGCGCGTAGATCTAGATTCTGCATCAGAAAGGCTCGCAGTCCTTTCTTGCAAGACAAAAAGCTTTCATTTGGAAACTTTGCATGAGAAACTTTTGCAAGTTCTGGGGTAGGGGCATTTTTCATTGTAATACTACCAGCTTCTACCGCCAGACCTCCGCACGGGCCACAAGGTCAGCGGTCTGCAGATGAGTCAGTGGGCGCCAACATGTTGAGAGCCAACGGAAAGACGAACGGGTGTTGGTGATGTAGATGCCGCATGTTGACGTCAAGAGTGGCGGTTCGGCGTGGTAGGCTCTCCACCTGAAATAAAATGTGAGAACGTAGAATAAAAATGTTGACATCGTTGTTTTTGACTACCAAACCTTACCCGAACAGGAACTGTGTTGCAAAATTTGCTTACTTCGGACGGTTCTCCAAAACGACGAAAGCACGGCACTGCGAAACGACTGTCGGGGGAGGATTCCTTGCTTTAAGAACTGGCACGACGCTATGTTGGCTGTTGCTCGTCGTGTTCGATCCCGCTGATACTTAAGTGTTCCGTCTCCGCCGTTGTAAAGTAGTTTAATCTGATGTAAGAGCAAGAAGAAGGAAGAAGGACGGCTAGCGTGCCAGGAGTCGTGCGAGTGAAACCTGGTTTGTTGTGTGGTATCATCTTCAGCTTGATGCATCTCTTTGCCATGAGCGAGGGCGTAGTCTGCGTCAACGTGGGGTCGTCATCATCAAGCAGGCTGGACGCAGTTTCGTTTCCGTAGTGATGCTGAAACGAACACGAACTAGTTCTATACGTAGCGAAAAATCCGCAGCAAACTAGTACCTCTATTTTTGGTTGATTAATTCCTTCTAATATGGTCTCGTCTTGCGCTTGCCCCGCACCCGCGGCCGCCTTGCCAAGCGCAGAAGGTGCAAATCCTAATTCCGCTTCGGCATCATCCCGCTCGCCGCAACACGGCGGCAACAGCACGGCTTCCCTGTGCAACTCGACTCCGCAGCACGAGGACGCCTTTTCCCTCGAACTTGAAAACGAAAACCCGATCGAGAACTCGGCCCGCCCGCGGAAGCTTTCGGACAAGAAAAAAGCGTGCCTGGTCGAGGGAAACCAATTGCAGAAGTTTCTCGCGGACATTCTGACTGCGAAACAAGGCATATGACAGTGCACGACTCCCCCTCCTCCTCATTTGGCATGCAAAATGCCTGATTTATATTTACGCCTTGGCCCTTGGCACTCTTTGCATGGCAAGTTCTCGCAGCCCAAATAGCACTTCTACACTCGTGTTCAAATTTGTCATGCAAAACCTGTATTCTTGCTTACACTTGTATTGCTGTTCATGCAATACAAGTGAGGGGGAGGAGGAGTTGTGCGCTCTCATAAGGGAGGACCCCACCGCTGCACCGGCCCAACCAGACCGAGACGAAAAGCGCGATTGAGAAAATCCGGACAGCGTTTTTGGTTCCATCTGCCATGTTGAAGGCGGAAAAGGAAAACGAGATAAATAGCGTCATCTGCGCGGTGGACAATGCGAGCACGTCTTGTACGTCGACCAATCGCTCTACAACAAGCGCGTCCTCTTCATCGGAAAACGAAGATGGTGGTCGTGCGAAGGATTCTTCTGCTTGCGGCTCTGCACCTCCTGCTAGATATACCGCCGCCCCGAGGACTCCCGCTGCAGCAGACTCAACATCTTCAGAGGAACTACAAGTGAAACATCAAAGGAGCGGCCTGCAGTCGCCGGAACAGCTGGCGCAGGTTTATGGAGAGCTTCCTTTCACGACCGGGGAGCAACTGTATGAGAGTGCACAACTACCCCCCTCCCCCTCATTCATTGTCATGCAGAACCGCAAATCCATTTGGTGCCCTTTGGCACTGTTTGCATGACAAATTTCGGAAGGCCAAACAGTACTACTTTCGGCCAGTGAACTTGTCATGCACAGGCCCCAGGAGTCCTGGCGTTTGTATTGCTGTTCATGCCATACAAGTGAGGGGGAGGGGGACTTGTGCACTGTCATAAACTGTTTGGCAGTTACTTCGCCTGTGAGGGTCTCCTCGGAAGCATATTCGCGGACGACGTTTTCTACGATGTCGGCTCTGGCTTTGGCAAAACGGTGCTGCAAGTCTACCTGACCACGCGCGTCCGCAAAGCGGTCGGGATTGAGCTCGGGGACACGCGACACGAGTTTTCAGTGCTGCTGAAGGACCGGCTGCTGCGTGAGTTGTTCTGTCCAACGAGCGACATCGAATTTAAACAGGGCAAGGTCGGAGATCACGTCTTGCCCACTGAATCCGGAAAGACCAATACAGCAACGATCCCTCCTGCTGCTTCTCTCCACCAGTTCGCATGCCGAGGCGTGTTTTTTCGCCACGAGAACATGTTCCACGCCCGGATGTCGGACGCCACCATTGTCTTCTTTTCCAGCTTGATGTTCAGCGATCCGGCCATCGAAAAAATGGCGGCAAAAATTTTGACCGAGTGTCCCAACTTGCGCTTTTTCGTGCTGCTGAGTGAGCTGCCATTGTCGCTGTGCGCGGCGGGCGTGGGACGGGATGATGCGGGTGAAAATAAAGCTGAGACCACGACGCGCTGCTTTCCGTATTGGGAAATGGTCAGCTCGCACAACCTATCAACTGCAAAAATGTCTGGGTCTGGAAGAACGCAAGATTTGTCATGCATACTTCTCATGACCCATGATGCCTGTAATGCATGGCCTAGCATCGCAGACTTTTAGAGGGCCTCCTGATGCACCTTCCGCATGAGAAATGCCCTGCCCGTGTGCCACAAATTGCACCCCTCTTGCTGGTCATGCAATACAATTTTTTTTAGAGTCCAAAAACAGCATGACAATCTTCCAGACCCAGACATATTTGCAATTCATACGACCTAGCGATGGGCTGGTCGGACAAAACGCCAACGCATAGTAAACTAGGACTACAGCCAGTTTATGTGTACAGACCTGTGAACATAGCGAGGTACCCCGACAACTCGAAAGCTGCTGCTGAAGGCAGCGACAGGCAAAAATTCTTGCTACAACACCTCCAAGGCGACGAAAGCGACGCCAGCTATGATGCGGACGCTCCTGCTACGCCGAACCCGAATCTGTAGATGTTGTGCTGCGCGATCGCGAAGCTCTAGTGCCACCGTCGTGCTACTCGTCTATTCTACTATGAGTACTATCATTTTCGTCGTTTTTTCTATCATTTTCGCCGTTCTTGCAGGAGGCGTTGTGTCATTGAAAGTAGGGGAAAATATTTTCGGTTCGCTACAGTCATTGTCTGTACAGCTGGAAGAAATCCATCGGTACCGCTGCGACTGCGGAAGTCGGTCCATGGGATTCTGATAGGACTTTTGGGAAGACTAAAGAAAGAAGAACCGTACAAAACAAGCGTCAACCTGACAAACTGCTCGCAAAGAATTTCGTTAAGCTAGTCCAACCTCCGCAAATCGAATGAAAAAGGCGTCCAAACAACATCTACACTCAATCATCGTATGGGCTGCTTTTTCGTTTACCAAAATATTAAATCGCAAATCTCCAACAAGATGGATCTTCGTAATTCCATCCCCGTACGTCGTGGTTCTTGCGCAGTGAGGACCTTACATCCACACGACAATTTGCAAGAAGTTTTTCACTTCAGCATGCTTCTGTAGTGCGTTTTTTGTTGCTGCGTGCTTCTATGTTAGAATTGGGATACTTGATTGGGTTTTTGTTAACCTTAACTACTCGAGGACAGACGCTGAGTCTGATTAGCATAATTGCGATAGCGTACAATCCATCACCAAGAACATTGTTTTCCACCTAGCAACAAGCATGTCACTGATAGTTTTCTACGTGCTCAGCACTGCTACAACGACGCTGGTCGTTCTGGCAGCGGCGCAGGAGGGCCGGGAGCACCGTCCCAGGGACGAAGGAACGAAATCGAATGTGGTCCTCCACAGCGTCGGAGATGCTAGTGCGCGTCGCGGCCTACGCGGAACAAGGAACGACTACACGATGAAGCGGGCCGCGGCGCATCAAAAGCAGCTGACCTCGAAAGGAAACAAGAACCGCAGAAGCAAAAGTGGTAGCTCATTCTCCTTATCCACCTTTCTAGCGAAAGAGCGTCAGCGGAGAAATAAAAAGGAAAAGTGCAACTTCGACGAACAGGCGCAGGAGGTTCCTCGGAGGTTGCCGAAAAGAACAACGGGCGCAGGAGGTTCCTCGGAGGGCCGCGGTAAGAGTAGTGGTGGTGGGGCAACAGCAGACCTGCTTTCATCTTCCTCTAGTAAAAATAACCGTGGGGATGCTCTTGCTCTTGAAGGTGCAGCTGTTGTGCGGAGTGGGCTCGAGCAAGACCGCGCACTGAAACCCGGGCCTGTTCCGCTGCCCCCGGGCGGTGGGGAGGAGACGAAAGTTTTTACTGATAGCCGTCAACCAGAACCAACGAGCGCGAAAAAACGAGCCTTCACTGTCGACCACGTTTTCGAACATCCCTACGGACTCCACAACTGGGGCATCATCTTTCCCGAGGACACGGAGAGTAGAGAAAACTCGTTCGCTGCTACTAGTAGAAGTGCCAGCACCTCTTCGGACACTAAGCTTGACGTGATGATTCGCGCTCCCCGACGGGACTTTTACAAGTGCGGAAAATCGAACGACGCCGTGCCGAACTACCGTGCGTTTTTCTGGGACAACAGGAACATCATGAATACAGCGCCAAGAAGTCCAAGTAGTGTTGAAGAAGAAGAGATGAAAAGAAAGCCGCCAAACAAGATCACCATCAATACCTGTGCGCAGAAGTGCTTGGAGCTGGGCCCGGGTTGCGAGGCAGTCACGCTGATCGCGCAGGACAGAGGATTCTACTTTGACAACGGCGAAGCTGCAACTACACCGAAAACAATGCCCGCAGGGAATATCAACGACTACGAATTCGATAACGCGTTTTGCATGGGCTGCACGAAATTTGTGGACAACAGCCCCTTCGCAGACGGCATCGCCGACAATCTGAACGGCATTTGGCTCCCCTTTGCCGTCAGGGAGAACGGGTTCGCGAAAACCTTTCAGAAGGTGCAGCTGGAGCTTGGTCCTGGAGTGATGGAGGAGTACCGCAACGCAGTGACGGGGCGTATACATTGCAAAATTATCGTACTCTCGTGCGGAATTATCGCAGTCATGCATTACAAATTTCTTATGCTTATCCTTTCTTGAGGTAAATCCGGATTACAAATTTCACTTCTCATGCTGAGGAACTTTGTGATGCGATTTATATTACGATAGTACGATACTTTTGCCATGCATAAAGCGACAATTATCGCAATTGTACAACGCACTCGCGGGAAACGTGTCCCTTCCTTACAGTGCGGACAATTTTCGAATCACCACACCCCGTGCGGTGGTGGATAGAAATGCAAGATACCAATCGTCCAGCGCTTCAACACCAACCTCGTCGACGCAGAAGCGGGATTGCGGGAACAAGCGCGTGGACCAGGAGTGGGTCGTGCACTACATGCCCTACGGGTCCTGTGTAACTCTGCGGTGGTATATGAGAGTGCACAACTACTCCCACTCCCCCTCATTTGTATGGCATCAGCAGCATTACAAACACCAGTACAGGTAGCCCCTGTGCGTGACAAGTTCTTCATGCGCCGAGTGTAGTACCGTTTGGATTTCCGGAATTTGTCATGCACGCGGTGCCACAAGGTAGCTTGCCAACTGGATTCGGGTTTTTGCATGACAAATGAGGGGGAGCAGGGGGGGTTGTGCACTGTCATATGGTACGACCTAAAGGTCTTGGCCATCTGCGGGGACGAGGAGGAAAAACGAACTGCGGAGCTGGTGTCTGATGGTAACAACATTAACCAGGTTGTTCTGCAAACCTACGCCTGCAACCGCGCCGCCGCGTTTGCCACGTCCGAGAAGGATTACGGCTGCTATGACCTGCAGCGGGCGAACGTGACGCGGCACTATATGGAATTGCAGCTGGCGGCGATGTACGACACGTGCCTGGATGGAATTTGGATTGACTACAACCGCCGCCGTGCCGACGACGTAGTGGACATGGTGGTGTCCATTCTGGAGACCATGTGGCACCGCGACGGGAAAATGCTCAAGTTCGCGGTCCTGCCCGACGGCAACACGCACGACGCGGCAAAGGACATCCGAGAAATCACCAAGTGGGACTCGTCCCTAAACCTGCGCTGGGTCAACCACGAGCTGTACCACACCTGGACCACGGGCGGGAATAAGAGAAACCCTCTAATCCCCACCTTCCGCGAGAACCTCCCGATTGCCAGTGCGGTTTCGAATGGTTTGTACTATAAGGTAGCTTGGAACCACTTCAACCCGAGGGTGCAACGGGAATCCTGGGGCGCGGTGGCGAACCTCGCCGGGGCGTTTCCCTGGCCCTGCGGCGCTTATGGAAACGATTTGACGTGGCTGCAGAAGTTTTACCAGGCTTGCCAAAACACGAATGGGCAAGAAATTGACAGCAAAACCGGCCGGAAGAAAATTCCCTGCGTTGGATTGGTGTATCCCCAGTTCTGCGACTGCTACCAAACCCTGCACTTCTGCTGCCACGCGGAGTGTATGCATTGCAAAAGCATCGTACTCGTGGTACAAATGCATTACAAATTTCCTCAGCATAAGAAATAAAATTTGTACTGCGGATTTAGCCTGAGAACAAGATTTGCAATGCATGTTTGCCGATTAATACTAAGAGTACGATACTTTTGCACAGGATATAGTGTAAGCTCGCGGGCGTCGCCGGCGAGTACCCCTGTCTGTCTTTCACGAACCAGCTGGCCCAGCACGACAGCCGGTGGCACGCCGACATCGTGCAAGTGGTCACGTGGAACGACTACGGCGAGGGAACGCAAATCGAGCCGGCAACCCTGCGGTCGAAGGACGCGGACACGCGAAAAGTTTACTACGACAGGGCGGCGAAGAAGTGGAAGTGGAAGCGGGTGTTTCCCTGGATGAGTGTCACGTATAAGAACTACAAAAACACGAAGTACCAGAAGTGGCGGCCGTTCGCGGAGAAAAGGGAGAAGACCGGCGGCAGCGTCGGGTTTCTCGTGCAGCTGCGCGACATGATTAGCCGGAAATTTCCGAAGGATGACGAAGCGAAAAAAACGTACAGGTGAAAATAGAAAAAAACGAGCATCTTGTTCTGTGCGCAAAGCTCTATCCGCGTGCGTCATTATTCGATGTACGATTCGATGAAGATTTGGATTTCATGTTTGTTTTTAAACAACAACATTTGGCTCTACTACGTTTCATCTTGGGGAGGCATTCGCATCTCTACTCGAATTGGAATTACTGATTCGCGAAACAATATCAGTACAAAGTAGATAGAACATGCAGCAACTCGCACAGGTGTTTGTGTTATTCCTCTGGTACTCGCCCTGACGCTTTTCCTCGGAACCAAATGACAACTCGGTGTTTGTCTCACTTGGAGGTCGTGTTCGGGATATGGTGAAGTTTGACCACCACCTGTTGGCAAAAATTCTACCTCATACATTCTACTCCAAGTAGGCTTCTTTGTGTGCAGCTGCTAGCAAGCAAGAATCCTAATAGGACAATTTGAGAGACGCCGACACGTGAGAAATTTCACAGTGAGACGCTGAGCTGCATTTCTTTTTCTTTTCTCATAGGAAACGAAGCAGACACTGCTTTTGCTTAACATTGCTGCAACATGAGCGTCAGTTCGTTGTCTTCGTGCGCGCACGCCCATGCGAGCCTTGCCATGGGCCGCTAGCACTAGCTCCTGAATGAGTGCCACGACGCAGAAGATGCCTTCGCTCCTCCGCTATTTCGTCCACCTCGCCGTGCGCAGCCTGCTGTACCACATGTTACGGCTTGTGCGAAAGGTCGCCGCCGCTACTGCTGCCACGATTTGTTTGCACCACGACTGGAGGACGGCACGACGAGGCTTCAGTTTGTTCAACTGGCCACTCGGCCCCGCGCTGCTCTTCGTGGGACGGTACCGGCTGGCCGTGGCTTCACCAAATACGGGACAGGATCATGATGTTGAATCAGGAGCGGAAGCCACTCTGCTGGACGAGGATGTTCTTGGGGCCACTACCACTGATGACGGCGACAACTTGCAGGAGCTGGATATCGTGACAAGGAGCCTTGCAGATGCGAGCGAAACGGATGATCAGTCATCCCCTGGTACTACTGCGGGGATAATAGCCCAACGACCATCTCTCCAAGCTACCAAGTGGTTTCTCGCGGAGTTTCCGGAGCACATGCAGTCGATTCGCAACATCCCGCTCCCGTGCGAGTACTTTGGGCACATGTACAGTTTCGAGGTCAGTTTCGCCCAGTTTCTCCGCGACAACAGCGAGCAATTTGTGGTTTCCGACCCGCTCCAAGCGGACTTCATCCTCCTCCCCCACTGCATCACGATGGTGTACCACGCGCTGCGCTACCAGCTGGGGTTCAATACGAGGCGGAAAACCTGGGAGGCCCTGGACCTGTCGCAGCGGGTATCAAGATGAAAAATCCCCCCTCCCCATACTAAAACGGAGATTTGTGTAGCATGAGTTGCTACCGCAAATCATGTCGTCATGCTAGAAGGCCGAAGATGCGGACTGTAGTGCTGGAAGGCTTGGGAAAGCCTTGCATCTTCAGCATGACAGGAGGCAACTGGAAGTGGGGAACAGCATGACAAATGTGTGCCTGCAATTCAGCCCAAGACTGCGTCGCGTGGCCTTCTAGCAATACCAGCCGACTTGTGTACTCAAATACAGCATCACGCATTCCGTTTTCGATATGGGGAGGGGGGATTTTTCTTCACAATAGCGGGAGTACTTGATTCCCATCATCAACTGGGCGAAAGAGCAGGAGTGGTACAACACCTTCGATGCGGTGAGGAACACGACGAACGGTTTGAAGTTCGTTATCCCTTTTGCCATGGACAAGGGCCGGGTCGACTACCCCATCGCGTCCAAAGCGAGCGCCGAGTGGCACGCCGTAACGACGGTGGGGGATAAAAACTGGCTGCGGAGCGAAGCCGGGCAGAAACTGCTGTTTCTCAAGGCAGCTGCAGCTTCCACGACTTCTTCACGACGGCGCGTAGACGAAGATTCCTTTCCCGGTGTTGAGCTCGCGTCACTGTCCGCCGATGAACAAGTGGATACCGTTGCATCTTCCCAAACCATTGAACACCCAGAGTTGCGGAAGGTAGTGGAGACCGAAACGACCGAAGTAGAACGTGGCAACATCAACGTCGACGATTCTGATCCGCTCGAAGAGGCGATTAAAACCAGCACCCAAACGGTCGAGAAGCTGCAGCAGAAACACGATGAAAAGTCGGAGGACTATTGGAACACAAACGAGTGGATCGACCCGGTTTTCCACTATCACGAAGAGAAAAAAATTTTGCGATTTCTGTTGCAAGAACGGAAGAGGAGAAGAGAGACTAAAGGAGTTGCCGTTCACCAGGACCACGTCGAGCCGCAGCAACTCCCCTTCGACCCTTGTTTTAACCAGACCTCGGTGTCGAAGCGGCCTTTCCTCTACTACGAGCAGGACGTTGTTGTCCCGGTGCCAACCGCGTTCTACTTCACGGAAGAAGCAAAGGCGACAGAAAATAGTATGCAGTGCAAAAGTCTCGTACTCGTACTAGTTGCGTTTTTATTCATTACAAATCTTTTGCTTAAGGCAAATCCGCATTACAAATTTAATCTGTATTAATGCTAAGTCAATTTGTGATGCAATTTATACTAGTACGATGCTTTTGCAATGCATAAATAGAAGCCGGCTTCTCTTCCTCGCCGCCAGCGTGAACAGCTGCACACGACTATGAAAAGGAAAAATCCCCCCTCCCCATATCAAAAAGGAAATCTGTGATGCTGGATTTGCGTACACAAATCAGATTTGTATTGCAGGAAGGCACTGCGACCAGATCCCCAGGCTAGCTAGGGGCGTATGGGTCTAGTTGTTCAGCATTGCAAACGGCTGACCTTTAGGCCCAACAGCATGCCAAATCGCTTTTCTATAATGCGGCGGAAGCGTCTGCGTTTGTCCTCTATGCAAGACAAATGCGATTTGTGACCTCAAATCAGCAACGCAAATTTTCGGAAAGATGCCTTTTCGATATAATGGGAGGGGGGATTTTTCCTCTCAATAACGACGGCTGGTGAAGGACGTTGCGAAGGTACTGTTTGAACAGGATTCCGACGTCCTCGTCTTGGATAAAACGGTGGAGCGGCATGTTTGGCAGAACTACATGTACGAGACTAAGTACTGTCTGGTTCCTGACGGCTTCAGCTCGGTGTCCGCGCGATTGTACGAGGTGATTCTCCACGGCTGCGTCCCGGTTCTCGTCACCGACGCGTTCCACGGCGCGTTCGAAAATTCCCTCCCCTGGTATGAGAGTGCACAACTCCCCCTCCTCCTCATTTGTCATGCAAAATACCAAATCCAAGCGGTACTGCGTGGTACTGTTTGCATGACAGATTCCGGAAGCTGCCCAAGAAACAGTACTACACGAACCGCATGAACTTGTCATGCTTAGGCTCCACAGGTGGGGGCGTCTGTACTCCTGTTCATGCAATACAAATGAGAACGAGGGGGACGAGTTGTGCACTGTTATACGTGGAAAGACTTCGCGGTCTTCATCAATCGGGTGGATCTGCCGTTTATCCTGTGCAAAAGTATCGCACTCGTATTGCAGTCATGCATTACAAATTTTTTTCTCAAGGTAAATACGCATTACAAATTTTATCTCTCATGCTGAGGGAATTTGTCATGCATTTATACGAGTACGACAGGACACTTTTGCAGTTCATACCGTTTTTGCCGAAACTGCTGAGGGAGGAGATCTCAGTATCCTGAGTAAAAATGTCCCCACACCAGAGTTGTCATGCAAATCTGCATGCCAAAAAAGTTTCTCATGCGAAGCCCCATAAGAACCATTTTCTTATCCTGGTGTAATGCTAGAATCAGCATGATATGCTAGATCTGTGATGCTTCGGAACTAGCTAAACAGGATTACACTAGAAGGATAAATTTGTCATGCGAAACCACCAGAGGTGGCGGATTTGTCTAGCGGATTCCCCATCTTGACTCTGGGGTGGGGACGTTTTTGCTCAGGATACTCAGAGGAAGAGTACTTGGAAAAGCACAGAATCATCACGAAGATTCACCCGTATCTGCATGAAGAGACCGGGTTTTTCTGGCAGGCGTTGTTCAAAGAGTTGCAACTGAAGAAAAGGACTGTTGTGAAAAAAAGAACTATGTCTACGCGAATCTTCACGTCGAGAAATAAATATTCTGCTCTTGAAACAGTCGTAGATCAGGACGAAGATCATGTAGTTGAGACTGCTCATGGTCCTCCTCTCGAGGAAAAGCAAACCGAATTTTTCAATTAGCAGGTAGTACAACAGGCGGCACTGCGTTCGGTCTACTGCGCCGGGTGCTGCACAGCAGCCTGCGGCAGTCCTGCATCTTCAAAGTGCCGCTGTTGTATTGAAGCAGGAGAAGGCAAAGGCTGCTTTCCTGCTTTAGAGGATGTTGTCGTGTTCATGATTTGGCCGGGGAAGATGTTGTCCGCTGATCCAAGGGCGGGAACTGGGACGTCAAGCTGCATGGCAGCCGAGAGATCAAAAGTTAATGAGAGACTGCGGGGGGGACGGGGAGCCGCCAAAAGAGTTTGTTCCGTAGTAGTTCTGATGCGGCTCCTGAGTCTGTGATGTACTAGAGAGCATGCTGTGCGGAAGAAGAGGGTGAGGGGTCCTCCTGGACAAGAACAGCACCAACAGATGAACTGATAGAGATCAAAACTTTAAAGTACTTGTTTCAAGCAATGAATATGCTTTTGTAGTCTGAGTCTTACACGCCGTCAGCGGGACAGCCATACTAGACAAGAGCCACGGAAGTCGTTGTCGTTCCGGATGTGATCGCAGCGCTATTTTGAAGACGGGGGAGAAAAAGCACGGCGTTTCGCAGTAAGTTTCTTCGACGACCACCGATTACAAAATGAAGCAACCCGTAGACGCGGATTTCTACGACCCCGAGCAAATGGGAACCAGCAAGCGCCTATGCTTTGCAAACATGTCTGGGTCTCGAAGATTGATGCAAGATTTCTTCTTCTTGTCACGCTTGCCTCGCATGATTAAGTAAGATTATTCATTGCATAAAATTATAAAACACACGCTTCCACGACGCTACAGCCGTTCACCTATAGGCCCCCGATGCCCTATCGATAGGGCAACTTCGTATCGGAGGCATCAGCATGCAGGTCGGGCAAAGATGAAATTGAAAAAGTTGCGAGGGCTTCAGCAAAAAACTTGCGCGGAAGGAAATTTCTCTTCGCCGCGTGCTACGCTGAATAAATTTTGCCTATAGATAGGCCTCTGAGAGCCTATAGTGTATAGGTTGGCTGGGTTCGTTCACCATGCCATGCAGGATTCGATATTTTTCTCAAAGCTTGACTTTGAAAAAAAAAAATGCAATGAGTTCATGCAAAACGCAATCACAGTGGTATAGCCGTTCACCTATAGGCCTCCGAGGGCCTATAGATAGGGCAATCTTGTATCGAAGGCATCAGCATGCAGGTCGGGCAAAGATGAAATTGAAAAAGTTTCGAGGGCCTCAGCAAAAAACTTGCGCGGAAGGCAAATTTTCTTCGCCGCGTGCTACGCTGAATAAATTTTGCCTATAGATAGGCCTCTGAGAGCCTATAGGTTGGCTGGGTTCGTTCACCATGCCATGCAGGATTCGATATTTTTCCCAAAGCTTGAGTTGGAAAGAAAAAAGTGCAATGAGTTCATACAAAACGCAATCACGGTGGTATAGCCGTTCACCTATAGGCCTCCGAGGGCCTATAGATAGGGCAACTTCGTATCGGAGGCATCAGCCTGCAGGTCGGGCAAAGAAGAAATTGAAAAAGTTGCGGGGGCTTCAGCAAAAAACTTGCGCGGAAGGCAATTTTTCTTCCCCGCGTGCTACGCTGAATAAATTTTGCCTATAGATAGGCCTCTGAGAGCCTATAGGTTGGCTGGGTTTGTTCTCCATGCCATGCAGGATTCGATATTTTTCTCAAAGCTTGACTTGGAAAGAAAAAAACGCAGTGAGTTCATGCAAAACGCAATCACGGTGGTATAGCCGTTCACCTATAGGCCTCCGAGGACCTATAGATAGGGTCACGCGGAGTCGGGCGCGTCAAGATTTAGGTCGGGCGTAGACAAATGTGAAAAAGTGACGCACTCCACAAAAAAAAGCGCGCATGTAGGGCATTCTTTTTTCGGCGCATGTTGTGCTGGATATTTTTTGCCTATAGAGATACCCTTGAGACCCTATAGGCTGGCTCGGTATGGTCTCCTGACCGTGCAGAAAGTGAAAGCAGTAGGAAAATAAAAAATTTTTGGAAGCAAAAACCGTATATGCGTGTGCACGATGAAAAGGTCCTTTTTATGTTTGTCATGCAGTAACGCAGTCTGTCATGCAAAATGCGCAAGCAGAAGTAGCTACGCAAATGCTTCTCATGCTTGGGTGTGCGTTACACAGGTTCCATCTCGCTTATTCACCACGACCAATCTTCGACCACGGCTAGTACTCCGGATCGCAATCGATGGAGGGCGGGACCTGCACCGGCGACAGGCGCTACCCAACCAACCAACCAATCAAATATACAAACTTCTAGACCCAGATGGAGATTTGAAATGCATAGCGGCAAGCGGAGCCCCCACCCGACCTGGGGTTCGTCAAGTACGTGCTGAATTTATGAACTGCAAAAGTATCGTACTCGTATAAATGCATTACAAATTTGCTAAATAAAATTTGTAATGCGGGTTTGCCTCAAGAAAAAGATTTGTAATGCAAGACTTGCATTCATACGAATACGATACTTTTGCACAGGATAGAATTTTTTCGTTCCGCCATTGCTTGTCTTCCTCATCATCGCGCTGCTGTGTAACGTATCAACTGCAAATATGATGTCTGGCGTTGGAAAGATCTAAGGTCTGCCATGCTTGGCTAACATGACACGCAAGTCTGTCATGCGTGTTACCCAAAAAGAAAAACTACCCCACTTTCCTGTCATGCAGAAGCTCGCTTTGTCATGCAAAATAAACAACACTGTAAGCACCGCCAAAACTTGTCATGTTGGGCATTCAATTGAAGAGTCCGCGTCTTTCTCAAGCAGCATCATAAGTTTCCAGACCCAGACACTTCTGCTTTTGATATAAGGAGTCCAGGTACATCAAGCCTGCGGGCACAATTACGGTGGTGTCGGTGATTGTGGGCGTCTTCGGCGCTGTCGTGTTGTACCTCTTCTTCGTCGCCAGAAAGCACTATATCCAACGAAAAAAGTGTTACAGTTACACATTTGTAGTGAATTCAGCAACACAAATTTCTCTGCATGAGAGAGAGAGAACTTGTAATGCGGAAATCCTACGGCTACCGGAAAACATTTATGAAACGAGGCTCCTATGCATACTTATCCGGCATGACAGAGCTTGTCTGTCCTGCTTGGCCTGCAAGACAGTGTGTAACTGTATACACTTTTTTCTTGCGATACACTACGCCACGGTCATCGTCCTGTTCGCCGCACTGTTTTACGGCTGCTTTGTCGGGGAGGGCATGTAATATTATTGGAAGAAATTATGGATCGAGTTGATGTTTCTGTTTGTGGTTCTCCATGTCACTTTGATTTTTCATGCTTGTACTAAGAAGAAGAAAACTGGTTCCGAGGATAGAATACTGAATTGCTTGAAAAAAAAATCCAACCACCAGATTCAAACACGAGTTGCGGCCACTGTATGCGTATCCGATACAAAATGATTTAGGGTAATCTGGACCATCAACATCTGGGGATCGAATGTGACTTGTTTTATCAACTCGAACACTGTGATGTAGTTTCTCTTTCTGTTCTCGAGCACCAGCTGCAGACCGCATGCTCTGAGGTCAGTAGACCCTGGTACATTTTACTTCCCGTAGTTGCATACTCCGATGCGGGCGATGCGCGAGCGCACGGGGATCGACGTCAGCAATACGGATGCGAAGTCCCTGCAGGACGCGGGGATTGTTTATTTCAAGGAGGACACTTTCGTGGATGTGAACCGTGGAATGAGCTACCGTATGAAACGGAACATGTTGCAAAAGCTTGTCATGTGGAGGTACTTATACCAGCATGGCATGACAGAAGTAACAGCAGAGCAGCCTGCATTCATAAGCATTTGATTTCTACTCCAGGATCGCAGGATAGATCTTGTCATGTTTTCTATCCCTATGTATTTGTAACTCGTACAAGATGATTTTTGTGACATCGTGTATACACTAGTCCGATGACGTCTACTGTGTGGCGCCAATCTCCCTGAAGAACGCGAACATCGGAGTCTACCAGTACTTATGAGAGAAGTGCACAACCCCCCTCGTCCCCCTCATTTGTATAGCATGAACAGCAATACAAACACGACCACAAGTGGAGCCTCTGCATGACAAGTTTGTGTGCCTCATGTAGAAGTACTGTTTGGGCTCCTTCCGGAATCTGTCAGGCATAATAGTGATACAAGGATGCAACTGGATTTGGGATTTTGCATGAGAAATAAGAACGAGGGGGGGTTGTGCATTGTCATAGTACTTCGCGGTGGGCGTGAATTGTTGCCGCACCGGCGACCCCAGTTTCGAGGGATGCGGTAATAATTATGACTCTGTTGGGCATTTTGCATGACCAATGCTGTTGCGCTTGTGGAACGTGCATGACAAAGAACTACAACACAACTAACTACAACTCTGCAGTCGACGCCCCGACGAAGATATCAAATGCAAAAGTGTCTGGGTCTGGAAGGTCACAACTTGTGATGCTGTCTGTGGATTCTAAACAAAATTTGTATTGCATGACCCGCAAGAGGGGTCGGGTTTGTCCTAGGTGGAGAGGGCATTTCTCATGCGGTAGAGGTATCACAAACCCCTCTAAAAATCTGTGATGCTACGGCATGCATCACAGACATCATGGCTCATGGAAAATATGCATGACAAATCTAGAAATCTTCCAGACCCAGACATTTTTGCATTTGATAGAAGACAGCCGGCAACGCGAGGCCAGTGAAAGCGGGCATGCGGGTGGTCTTTATCCAGGAAAAAAACTTTTTTTAGTGTACTAACGGTCTTCCAGTAGCAGCTTGACAAATTTCAATTTGCTCTGCATGTCAGAGAAACTCTCTCATGCATGGCTAGTACGTGAAAACCAAAAGCAAAACGCGTGTGAGAATGAGACTTCATTGCTGTCTGGCATGACAAGTGTAAGTTGTAAATGCGTCTTCTGCATGACAGATTTACACTATCACAGTTTTTTTCATGGGATAGCGTTCCCCGAGCAACTGCCGTACTACCGGCTCGCAGTGGAGCAAGCCGAGGCAGAGTACAACTTTCAAGCGAGTTATGCAAGAAAAAAACACCATCACAATCACGTTTAGCTGATTTTGCCTCACAAATTTGTGTCGCATGACAAACTTTTCTTGTATTGCAAAAACATGAAGGAAAGTCCCCCTCCCCTGTGTATATTAAACACAGGGGACTTTCCTTCATGTTTTTCTATAACTACAGTCAAGACTTATACTATAAGTCTTGACTGTGATGCATTTTTGCGCATGACGTATTGCAAAAATGTGCAAAAGTGATTGCGATGGTGTTTTTTTCTTGCATACGAGTTCCGAGCAGCTGCTGTTTTTTCACTTCGTCAAGGACCCCGTCGCGGAAGTGCTCAACTTCGAGCAGTATTAACTGCAAAAGCATCGTACTAACTAGTAGTGATTGCAATTATAGTACAAATTAGGTTAGCATGACATATCGAATTTGTCATGCTGATCGCGCTTGGGAAGGAGATTTGTCGTGCATAATTGCGATTACACCGAGTGCGATATTACTTTTGCACTGCATAAGCAGCGCGGCCTGGTCGACCGGGTGCGGGCAAACACGATGTTCTCCCTAGCGAACTTTCTGCTCGCGCTATCCTGTGTAAAAAGGTTCCCACCCCAGAGTTGTCATGCAGATTTGCGATCACAGGAACATTTGTCATGCGCATCCCCAAGGGAGGCACGTCCAATCGTGTTTTCGCATTTGTAATGCTGCAAACAGGATAAGCGGATGGATTTAAGATGCGCTTGTCCTTGCCAACATGCACTACACTACGGACTGCAACTTGTCATGCGTAGCTCCCAAAACTTCTGGACTTGTGTTGCTAAGTTCCCAACTTGACTATGGGGTGGGGACGTTTTTACATATGATGCGCGCCGTTCCTGACCTGGGCGATAACGTCGTAAGACTGAAGAACACTGCTGGTTTCGAACATGATTTCAATCGTACGAAACAAACCTCCCACTACCTCAACCATGATTTTCCGTTTCAAAAAATTTAATGAAAAGAAGGCCTAGCGGTGTAATACTAATAAGTAGATTAGTACTCGCTCCGCCCGGGGCTGCGTACTGTGGAGACGATGAAAGCGATCCCAAAAACAAATGCGAAGCAAAAAGTCTCACTTTCAGCGACCTCCGTGTTCCGCCAACATCTAGCTGTGTAGTTTAGTCAATGACAATCTGAAAAGCTTGGTGGAATTCGAATTAGGAATCCACACGCACTTTTTGAGTGCAAGTTCCTGTTTTGTTTTTTTCGGAAGCAGCTGCAACGAAAACGAATCTCTTGGCCACCATCTTAGTTGTAAGTACTTGTTGTGTCCAGTTTGGAATCATCTCGGCTCTCAGTTCACGAGCAATCTCTCCAACCAGTCCGAATTTGAAATCGATGAAGAACATAGTCCAGTAACTAGTCACATAGACATAAATAGAGATGAAAGGAAAACAAGCAACTACACGGGTGGTAAGTACTTGAAGATGTCAGCACACGAATCAGTAGAAATAGTAGGAGTCGTGCTCGTGTGAACATGTGTGGAAAAGTTTAGTTGTCCCGGAAGATCTTTGGGCCTGCTTTTGTTGAAAAGATGATCTTCAACATCTCCTCGCGCTGCGCTTCTCTACTTTAAGCAAGCAGTCGCGTCACGCTTACTTGATCGAGAAGTCCGCCCTACAAGTGTCAACCCGTTCATCGCCTGTGCGAGTAAGCCTCCCTCCGCGAGGTCGCAAAACACACGCGGCGAAGAGAACTTACCTATCTACTATCTTCAGCAACATCTACATCTTGATCTTCCAGCAGGAGCAGTGGCAGCGCCAGCATGGATCGATACAGCAACAACGGTAGTGCTACTAGTAGAGCTGGTCGGGCGTACGCGCCCCGAGACATTCATCTCCGAGAAGATTACCAGCAGAACATGATGAACACCAGTGATGCAACAACATCTTCAAATCCCGCGCGAACCGGTGGGGGACCACAACATCGTGATGATTTTGGTTCATCTGACCAAAACTACAACACGGCAAGACGTGGCAATGGTGGAGCTGGCCCTCCTGCAAGTTCGTCCAGCAGCCGCGGCGGCAGAAACACTAATGGGAACAATATGAACCCACAGACACGGTCTAGTACTTCCTTTTTCAGTCGCGAACAACCCCGGGCCTTCGACCCGCCATTGCGGTTAGGTCCGGAATATGACCCACCGGTCTTGCCCGGTCCGGATAATTACACTTCTTCATCGCATCGCCGAGCCTTATTGACTGGGCAGCACCGCGACCCCGATTTGTCGCACGGCTTTGCGGGGGTCGAGACCTTTTCCCACCGCCGAAGCCCCCGCCGCGATCTGGATCTCTACGAAGAGCTGGCGCACCGGCAGTTTCGGGGGGGCACCATGGACAACGCGGGGGGGAAGGGACGCCGGGGCGGGGGAGCGGCCGGGGGTAGTGGATGGAACGGCGGTCGTGGGGCATATGAGAGTGCACAACTCCCCCTCCCCCTCATTTGTGTTCTTGCATGAGCAGCAACACAAGCGCTGGCAAAGATGCAGCTTTTGCATGTCAAATTCCTAGAGGATTGTCGTGCTGCTTAGGATCTCGGAATCTGTCATGCAAGCAGTGCTAACAGGCAAAGTGTGGATTTGGAAATTTGCATCACAAATGAGGGCGAGGGGGGGTTGTGCACTTTCATACGGCAACTGGTACTTCTATTAGTAGGCCTACCGCGGAGGCGGTCGAAATAAAGCATCGTAGATCTCCTCGTCCTCCTGCTGTCCCGCCGTCTGCGCAGGATGAACAAATGAGTAGTGCCAAAAGTCGCGGTCTTCTCCCCGAAGAACATGTTCTTGACGAGGAGCCACTTCCCGCTGCCGTGACGGACGCAGCTCTGGTCTTAACGGAGTACCTGGCGAGCAGGGCCAGGTCGTCCCCACGCGAGGATATTGCCGGCCGCAAGAGTGAACGAAGTCTACGATCCTCGCCAAGAAATGATGGACAAGCAGACGATAGTACTACCAGGGGCGTTCGTGAAGATTTTTACCACGGTCCTCGCCACAGGGATAATGAAGATGAACAAGTAGCTGATCGCAACAACTTCTACAGTCGGTCTCCGCACGACAATCCTGATGGCAGTCGACCTGCCTCGCAGCGCGAGGTTGTGCGTGACGCTTGTCTTGAGCTCATCGCCCGGAAAATTGCACTAGATTTGGAACTATGGATTGCAAAAGCATCGCACTCTAGTAGTAATTCTTGCAATACAAACTTCTAGCGCAGCATCTTCATGATGATTGAACAAGAGCGGTGGAATCATCTGTGATGCCGATCTAGCTTGGAAAAAACATTTGTCATGCATCATATCATTGCGACTACTACGAGTGCGATACGGTACTTTTGCACTGCATAAGCCCGGGAGGACTTCGTTCCAGCCTCTTCCGCAAATAACAGAAGCCTGCGACCGTCCCCACGCGATCATGTTAGTGATCACGACGTTCTTGGACCACCACGGGCTTCGCGGTCAGGAAGAAATGAAGACGGGTACTATTATAAAAAGCGTACACGAGGAGGACGTGGCGGGGGTGGGCGACGTAGCAAGTCTCCTACTTCCACCGCACTGGTCGAGGATCAGAATATTAACAATTCTTCCCGTGGAGGTCCAAATGCAGGTCGCCCTTCCCCCCGTGCTGGGGCCGATAAGGAACTGCACCCGCTTCGTCCTGGAGCTGGAGCTGGGAGTAGTAGCTCATCCTCTTCTTCTTCGTCTTTCCAGCGTCAGCAGTTGCGACACGAGTTTTTACAACAGCCAAGATCTTCGCCCCGTGATGATGAACTAGAAAGGCGTCGCGCTGCCTATGACCTGCTCAGAGGCTGTTCCAATCTCAAAAAATTTGTATTGCAGAAAGCGGAGCGGTTTGTGTGTCTCGTCTCATGCAGATCATGCAAGAAGTAGAAGACAAAAACAAAATGCAGACTTTATTGCAACGTTTGAGATTGTTCTAACACCTGAGAAACTTATACTGTCGAGCTTGATGACTTCTTGAACGCACACGATGAATACAGCCTCTATCCCACGAAAAAACTGTTTCACTGTGATGCTTTTGCAAGATCTGCATCACAAGTTTGTTACACATGAGGACACAGAAAATCTGCCATGCGCGCTTCCCAAAGGAGAGTGCTTCTAAAAGTCCAATGTCTTGCGGGTGTAGCAAGACAAATACTCCTGCGTTCCATTCTATGCATCACAAGTTCACAGTGAAACAGTTTTTTCTTGTGACAGCCTCCAACCGGTCTCCAATCCTCCGCCGTTCCCAGAAATAAACCGGAAAAACCGGCTATCCTGTGCAAAAGTATCGTACTCGTATTGCAATCATGCATTACAAATCTTTCTCTTGAGGTAAATCCGCATTACAAATTTCCTCTCTCATGCTGAGGAAATTTGTAATGCATTTATACGAGTACGATACTTTTGCAGTTCATACCGGCTATCAAAATGAAGAATCCCTGCACCCCATACTCAAACTGGAAATTTGTGATGCTGATTTGTGACCGCGAGTCGTGTTGTCATGCTAATAGATGTAGACGCTGTAGGTCTGGCTGGCGTGGGAAAGCCTTGCATGTTCAGCATGACAGGAGGCAGCTGGAAGTGGGAAACAGCATGACAAATTGCTTACAAACAACGCCGCAACTGCGTCTCTTGCTCTTGTAGCAATACAAACGGCACGCGTTTCTTTGTGTACGGCGCAGATCCAGCATTACAAATTAGATAGCGAATGATGAAAAATTTGCGAGCCAATAAAAAAAATCCAGCATTACAAATTTCCTGTCCGATAATCCGGGGAGGTGGGATTCATTTTTCCTTTCAATACCGGCCCCCACCGCCCCCACCACCGGGAACAGGGATGAAAGGCTACAAAAGTCGCCCGAGCTACATCGGTTCTCTCGCTCTGGAAAACGATAAAGCTCCTGTGGGTAGCACAACCACGACGGCGAAAGGTGGATACAAAGGCAGCGCTACTTCATCTACTTCCCGGGCTGCACCAGCTGGTACCCACCTCAGCCCCTTGGCGGAAGACGTTTCTACCAGCGGACCTCCACGCGGTAAAGGCTACAAATCCCGACCGTCCTACATCGGATCTGCGGCCCTTCTTGCTAGCGTCGAGGGTAGTGGTAGCAGCTGGAATATCAAATGTAAAAGTGTCTGGGTCTGGAAACTTGTGATGCTGGGTGGCGTCTCATGATGACGCCACAAGTGCTGGCTCAGCATGACAAGTTTCTGAGCTTCTAGGTGTTGCCTATTCTGCATGACAAACTGCGCTTCTGCATCACCGAAAAATAGGGCTCTTGGGTAACATGCATGACAGACTAAGGGGTCATGCTGGCAGAGCATGACAGACCGTCCATTCTTCCAGACCCAGGCATTTTTACATTTGATATGGAACACCCCAGCCAGAGGCTCGCCGCGGGATGATAACTTAGTGAATGACCCGCCCTCGTCGTCGTCGTACACGACTGGCCGCTATTCCCCGACGAACAATAATATTAAAGGGGCGAACAACAGAAGCACGAAAGGTTCATCTGCTCGCACGAGTGCCACGACCTACAACACCGCTGCCAGATCTCCGGGAGGAGCAGCCTATAAAGATTTCGATGCAGTAGATAAAAACTCTTCTTCTTCGAGAACTATGCAGTCCTCGTCCAAGGACAGCCACTACTCGTCGGCGCCTTCGTCCTCCCCAGGCGGGCATCAAACAAGCCACGATAATTTGTACAGCCATTTCAATAGGGAAAAAACCAGCAAAATGACGAGTTCATTGGAAGACGTACACCACGAAAGAAGCAGCTTCAACACCACGTCGACACCTTCAGCGCAAAACAGTCGGAGCAACACAAAGGAGAGTGGGCTCTTTCATGTGCCGGTATGGATTGCAAAAATGTCTGGGTCTGGAAGAGTGTAAGCTTGTCATGGAGGTTTTCGATGACCCATGAGGTCTGGAATGCGGGACCTAGCATGACAGAGTCTGTGAGGTCTCTGCCATGCTATCCTGCATGAGAAACTGCCCTCCAACTTGGTCGAAAGTCGACAGCTTTTGGCATTCATGCAGCACAGATTTTTGCATTATTCGGATTTAGCATGACGAGTTGTAATCTTCCAGACCCAGACTCAGACATTTTTGCACTCCATAGCCGGCCGGGCGGAACGACTACGACAGCAAGAGGAGCGGCCGCGGCAACGACGAGCAGGAAAAATACAACCGCAACTCCGCCTACCAGCATGAGGATTCAAGAATTTATTTATCCGCATCCCCCGCCTCCAAGAACGTGTACCAAAAAACCAGCAGCAAGGAGAGCAATTCGTCGAGCAGTGCTTTTGGTAAAAAATCTCTCGTCCATCCGCACAGCGCCAGCGGAGGTTTAATTCCACGTGCAGCACGAGGGCCTAGTGAGATGAAGAACTCAAGGCATGATGTTCATCGCGCGACCACGTCGTCGAGTAGTAAAAACAAAAATAACCGGGCAACTTCCAGGGACAGTGTATTGCAGGCACTGAACCTGCAGCCGGCCTCCAAAGGGTTCGATGCGGATAATATCGTGAGGAAAAATCCCCCCTTTCCATACCGCAAAGGGATACTTCTGAAAATTTGCGATGCTGATTTGTGGCCACAAATCGTCTCGGTATTGCAAGAAGGCCAAGCCAGAGACTCCGCCGCATTATGCAGGCGGTTTCTGATGCTATGGGGCCTACAGAGTTGTACACATTTTCCATGCTACGCGCCTACGTCAAAACCCTTCTACTTAGGCCCAGGCATGGACCTGCAGTCCTCTACTGCAATACAGACCTGATTCGTGTAAGTACCCGAATCCAGCATCAGCAACTTCCTTTTGATATGGGGAAGGGGGGTTTTTCCTTGTGATAGGTAATTTCTGGAGTCCGACGCTGGACGGGATGACGTTACAAAATCATCCACGACCTCTATCCTGTGCAAAAGTATCGTATTCGTAGTAATCGCAAACATGCATTACAAATCTTGCTCTTAAGGTAAACCTGCATTACAAATTTTATTTCTCATGCTGAGGAAATTTGTGATGCAATAGCAATTCATACTAGTACGATGCTTTTGCAGTTCATAACCTCCACCTCTAGCTGATATCAACAGAGACATGAATAAAGCTCCAAAGACCTCCTCCTCCTCTGACTTTGTGGACGAGCAGCTGCAGATAGATCATGCACAGCCGACGGACACAAAAATGAAAATCGTCCACGGGGACCACCACGAGGAGCAGGCTCCGGGTCAACAAGAAGAGGGAGATGCCTACACCTCCGACGGGGACCACACGGGTTCCTCGTCAGAAGAAAGCGAAGAAATTTTCGACGCGAAAGAGGCACGATATCCTGTTTAAAAACGCCCTACCCCGCCGTCAAGATGGAAATTCTGCAACACAAATCCAGACGTTTTGGGAGTCACGCATGACAGGTTGCACTGTGTAGGGCAGTGCAGGTTAGTAGGGACAGCCGCATTACAAATCCATCTAATCATCCTACTCACAGCATCACAAATTCCAAAACACGACTGAAAATGCTTGTCATGAAGATGCGCATCAAAAATATTCCTGCCATTGCAAATCTGCATGACGACTCTGGACTGGGGACGTTTTTCCACAGGATACACGGAGGAAACACGAGGCCTGGTTTGACGAGTGCATGAAAAGGTTTGCGGTGAAAACCGTGCTCCCGCATATCAGCCAGACGAATGCTTCCTCGACTGGGGCCACTCCATATCCACCGAGTGCACAATTCCCCCTCCCCCTCATTTGTAAATGCAAAATAACAAATCGAATCCACACCATACGTTGAAGCACTGTCTGCATGACAAATTTTCGAACCTGAAACAGTACTACAACTGATGTGCAGAGTTGACATGCGGAAGGCCCATTGCTGTATCTGTCGAACGTTGCTTATGTTGCCGCCTATGCATAATACAAATGAGGGGAACTACGAGGGGGAGCTATGTGCATTGTCATACCCCAGTCGCGTCGTCCTCGAGTGGTGCAGCGTCTTCGGGAAATACGAAATGGAACAAACCGAAGCTGCCGAAGAAGGAAGACTATGCAATGCAAAAGCATCTTACTAAGTAGTATAATTAAATTGCATCACAAATTAGCCCAGCACTACAAACTTATATTTGTATTGCGGATTTACCTTGAAAAAGGTAAAGGGATTTGTATTGCATGAATGCAATTACTACGAGTACGATACTTTTGCACAGGATAAAGACGTCCTCTCGACGATACAGGAATCGCTTACGCATCTGTCAAGGAACCGGTGAAACAAGCAGTGGTTGTATGTTGCAGATCTTTTTCAAGTGGAATTCGAGAGAATTTCAATTTTTCCGAAATGATACACACGCTGGTATTTTTCGACTATCACAATTCGAACACTTCTGCATGCATTCTCGTCCTGCGCCGAAAAGAACGACCACACTCCTAGTTGAGAAAAGAGGGGCGACGGTTTGAAACACTTGCTACTGCACGCACCCAAAATACAACGAAAAATATTTGACTTTATTTTTGTGAAGAACTACTAGGTTTCGGTTTGTGCGAAGCAGAATTTTGTACTTACTTATTTGTTCGTACGTACACGACGGTCGTGCCAGGAGGTGTAAAAGTCTTGAGCTTCATACGTTCGTCGTTGGGCGATGCAATCGTTTTCGTTCGAGCTCGTTCTACTCCTTGTCGTCACCGTACAGAATGCGTAGTACCAGTATTGAGCAACGTTCTGCGGATTCATGGTCCCAATTGTCGTCTAAGACCAAAGGCTTTCCTGCTTGTACTTGATTCCTTACTTGATGTTTTTTGTCAAAAACCGCAGGAAAATTTATATCAAGTACAGCTACTTGTGCTGGTGCACACGGTTACTGTTTTTTTTTGCGTTTGGCTTTGGAGGAACTCACTACAAAAATAGCTTCTGAGGTTGACCCTCACTCTTCCGAATTTACTCACATTAACTCCCTCAGCCACTACCTGTGGTTCGAAAAGAACTTCTCAGCCTCGAATTTTTAAAATCACCCCGACTCGTCGGAAGTAGAAGATCAGAGTCCAAATCATGTATGGATTGCAAAAATGTCTGGGTCTGGAAACTTGTAATGCTAAAAGTGAATGGTAGACGCACTGCAATACGCACCTTTGCATGACAAATTTTTTGGCTGCCATGTCTTACGTATTCCGCATGGCAAACTGCGTTTTTGCATGACAGGCAAGAGGGCCTTTTCGCGCCTATGCAACACAGATTCTCGAGCCATGCCAGACAAGCATGACAAACTTGCATTCTTTCAGACCCAGACATTTTCACAATCCATATCATGCCGAAAAAGACTACCACCTTGTTCGCCGGCGCACAGGTTGCGGTCGCGGCGAAGCAGGGTGGTGAAAATGTCGAGGACCAGAAGATGGCGGAGAAGTCGATCGCGAAGGGGGGGGGGTGCGGTTGGCATCGTCCATTCCCCGCGCACTTCCAAGATGATGGAGGACCGGGCAGGTACAGAATATCTTTGGATTTTTATAGAGGATGCTGCTGCTACTTGCGCATATTTTTTACGCGGGAGGAAGCGCAAGGTCATTTGAAGATAGGCGGATCAGAGTCGTTTGTCGCTTTATTTTCTTGGCATGCAGTCGTATTCAAATAGAAATGGTACTTATTTCGATTCTTATCGCTCGCAAGACAATAGATATAGAAGAAGCGCACTCGTGCACTTGCGCCCGCCGTAGGCGACGTTTCGCACATTGACTTTCACTTCTATTTTCTTGGCACGCAGTTGTATTCCAGTACAAATAGTATAATATACTACTTTCAACGCGTACATCCAGTCAAAAAAATAGTACACCGATAGTCTGAACGCGTACATCCAGTACAAATAGTAAAATCGAATAATTCGATTCTTATCGTAATCGCCCGATTTACTGTTACACTCGTGCACTTGCGCCCACCACCGTAGGCGACGTTTCGCACATTGACTTTCACTCATCAAAAACCCAAGGTAAAAGTAAAATTCCGCGGGGCTCGAGGACGCTGACGCAGTCCTTCAATGGCCTACGGGAACCGGTATTGAGTACTTCGAGTGGGTTCCTCTCACTCAGTATTGACCAACATCGCTTGGCGGAACAAGCGACGTCGGCGAAATGTAAGCCCTACGACGGCGGGTGGGGAATGGATGATGAAGCGGAGTGTCCTTGCAAACAAGACGAGGTCGCGTACTACTACAAAGACAAATGGTTTGACAAAGCCTTGAATCATGTTCCCCTCATCCATGCTGGCAGGACAATGTACAAGTGCTTCAGCAGCTGCTCCGACCTCGGCGCCGCGATGAAAGATTACGAAGCCCCCCAGTGGCTCAAGCACGACAGTCGCGATCAGGATTGGAAACCAGTATGTGGCCAGTCACTGGATTTCTTGAACGAGGCGTTGACAGATCAGGCGCAGTCACACGGCATCACTGGAAACTCCGGGACGCAATGCAAGTGGCAGCAAAGCGCGAGCAATTCGGGTGATTACGAATGCGTGGAGACTAATCCCTTGACCTATGTTGTAAAATAGTTTAAGGGGCGAGTAAATTGCGGACGGATGGTGTGTATGAATATAAACCAAGGGGACTAGTACGTCCCTCGAAAGTCAACCGGGGCAGTTTCGGAAGACTGAGACAATAGGTGTCATTTTTTAGCTACTTGCAATACACAATTTACCACAACATCAACCAAATCCGTTTCTCGTCGTCTCGATTTGCCTCATCTGATGCAAAGGTCTGACTCCTTCTCTTTTCCGTGACTTCCGACCGTGGTTGATTCTCAACAAAAATGTAAAATGGAAATATGTACGATGTACGCATATTGCTTCCCGAAACCGGCCCCCATACTGGCGATTTGACTTTTTCCAGTAAAGCTTTCCCCTATCAAGTTTCAAAACCTTTCTTCTTTTTTTCAGCCCTAAACCCAATCAAGTTTTTTGAGCTTTACCCTTGTTATAGTTTCAGACCTGCCCCAACAAACAGATCAACACCTTTCAAGCCCTCTTTTTCGCAGCCTTTTCGATTTTTACTTTTCGCTCTGTCTCACAGAGGTCTACCTCCAAACTCTTACAGGAACATTTCATTCTAGCTGCCTCCCAACCTTTCCCTACTTTGGTCTAAATCCGGCCTCGATTCAAATCAATTTCACGCACAGGTGTTTGAGATTGAGCTGACAACTGCCCAGACTGGACAGAGACGACACAAAGTCGCGCGCGGCCTGCCTCCGCGGTTTCGGAAATGAATCCTTTTTAAGCGCCGCTCTCGGAAGATCATCCCGATCTGGATCTGCGGCTAGGCCTAGGTTAGTAGATGATTGACACGATGAAAATATATGCGAAGGGTTTTTGTTCATCCACATTTTCTGCTCCTGGTTCTTGATGTAGTTGTAAATGGAAATTGCAAGAGTTATACTTCTATGACATGCAAAAGCTCATCGGTATCCGTCTATGACATGCAAAAGCATCGCGCTAGGATAAATTGCATTACAAATTGACTCGGCATTTTTACAAATTGAATTTGTGATGCGGATTTCACCTAAGAAAAAGATTTGTAATGCATAAAAGCAATCTTAATGTGGCCGCACCTCGGTCATCCTCCCTCGTCCATCGGTAGAAGTGGCAAGAAGTAGTACTACTCCGAATCGTCATCGGTATGATTCTCACCTGCTGTCCCCCGTCCTCGTGTGGGACTACTACAAACAGCACCACTAGTTAATTATATCGGTAATATGCCAACACAACAAGTGTAATCGTCGGTCGTACTAGCTCTAGCGCCGTCGCCGTCGGTCGTACCAGTATGGTGTCATCGTTGGGAAGAATGCAAGGCCGTCGGTCTACTTTTGAACGGTCAAGTAGGACGAGCTCGCGTGGGCCAGCACAGTTGTTCCATATTCAAATCGTATGTAGTGAGGTCACGAACGTTCTAATCTAGCGGTTTTTTTGACAGGCAGTGCGCAAAATGACCGGCAGTTTTCAATCGGCCGGAGGCGTTTTTTGACATAAAAAGTTTCTAATTATCAATCGGCCGGGGCTTTGCCAACAAACAAGCCCGGGCGGATTCTATCGGTTCCCGATTGATAAAACGACGCAAGGGGGCCGGCAAAAGGGGCGCCCTTCTGAGGCGCCCGGCGCATCTGTTGCCGCCGATTTGGGGCGCCCAAAAAGGGGCGCCAAGAAAATGCAAAGACGACAAAAACCCTGAATCCGCATGGTATGGGCCGTATTTTGGCCCACTTTTGGAGGTCGGAAAGCCGGCCACCAAAAGCGGGCGTTTGTAATGCGGAGAGCAGGGCAAAAAGTGCGACTTTCAACAAAAAAAATACGAAAATGCAAAGGCCGCCAAAATCTGTGAGCTGACCCGCATGCTACGGGCCCGATTTGGGGCGCCCAAGGGGCCGGCCCCGGCGGAGGCCCTTGGGGGGCCATAGCATGCGGGAAAGCGTTTCGATTCAGGAGGCGGCAGGGGCGCGGCTTTTCAACAAAAAAAGCCAAAGGACGCAAATCCCGCCAAAAGCAGCATGCCAACCCGCATGCTATGGGCCCGATTTGGGGGGCCCACAGGGCCGACCCTGGCGGAGGCCCTTGTGGGGCCATAGCATGCGGGAGAGCGTCTCTCCTCTGAAAAGAGCGAAAAGACCCGGCTTCGTCCAGTCAAAAAGACCCCGCGTGACCTCACTACCCCCGCCTCCCTCGGCGGCTATATTTGGTATTGAGCGGTCAAGTAGGACGCGCTCGCGGAGGCCAGCACAGTTGTTCCATCTTCAAATCGTCGTTCCTGAAAGAACAGCAACCTCGTCGTGCGACAGCAACACCTCTGTGAGTTACTTACTATAAACTTTAACTTTTTTGGAAGATACTACCGACACACCAAACTCCAACCCACCTTCTGTTCAACAGAATAGCTGCTGAACATCAAGAGAATTTGAATTGCTTCAAGAAGTACAACTAAGACTAACTAGCGTGCCCTTCTTTATTCTTGTGTTATCCTGAGTAAAAACGTACCCACACCAGAGTCAGGATGGGGATTTTGCAACACAAACCTAGGAGTTTTGTGAGTCACGCACGACAAGTTGCGCTCTGCAGTGTAGTGCAGGTTAGCAAGTGCAGCCGCGTCACAGATTCATCTGCTCATCCTTTTCACAGCATCACAAATTCCAAAACACGATTGAAAATGGCTCTCATGCGGATGCGCATTACAAGTCTTCCTGTCTTTGCAAATCTGCATTACAACTCTGGTATGGGTACGTTTTTCCTCAGGATATGTGTGCGCTCATACTTACGTGAAGATCAGTAGACTTTCACCAGGAAAAATACAGAAGAAGAATTTCCACCTCCAGGAATAATAATTATTAAAGTAGGACTGGAAAACTGCACGGAGTCTAGTACAACTTGGGCTCCTTACAACTTAGTTTACTTCACTACGGTCATGCCCATTATGTTGCGGAGCAAGACTAGCGCCGCTGCGCTGATGGCAGCCGCAGCGAGTTTATCAAATGCAAAAATGTCTGGGTCTGGAACTACACAGCAACTTGTCATGCTCAATCTGAATCATGTAAAAATCTGTGTTGCATGATTACCAAAAGCTGTTCACTTTTGAGCTAATCGAGAGGCAGTTTCTCGTGCAGGATAGGCATGATAGAACACTCACAGAATCTGTCATGCTATGTCGTACATACCAGATACGACCTCGTGGGTCATGGAAAACCTGCATGACAAGTCTGGCACTCATCTTCCAGACCCAGACACTTTGGCAGTTGATAGAGTTTTCCCACCTGCGCGGTTGTGCCAGTGGAGGCCGTCATGATGCCGATTCCTTCTCGTACTTCTACACCACAACCCGACACTATGGAGAGAAAAAAAGTTGTCACAGTCACTAACTTCTTGCAGGTTTTGCATTACAATTTTTTTTAGCATGATCACAACTTTTCCTTGTATTGCAGAAGCACTAGGGATGAAACAAATCCCTTACGGAGCGTGGTTGTGATGCATTTTCACGCATGACAGAGGATTTTGCATTGCAAAAATGCGCATGGGTGATCGTGGCGAAGAACTTTTTTTGTTTGATAGACAAGGCGGGGCCGCCGTACAAGGACGAAGCCGCGGTCACGACCGACGTTCCTGATATCAAGTGTAAAAATCCCTGGATGTCTGGAAGAATGCAACTTGTCATGCTAAATCTGAAGCATGCAAAAATCTGTGTTGCATGATTACCAAAAGTCGTCCAGTTTTGACCAAGTCGGGAGGGAGTTTCTCATGCAGGATAGGCATGAGAGAGATCGGACAGAATCTGTCACGCTAGGTCCTGCATTCCAGACCCCGTGGCTCATGGAAAAGCTGCATGACAAATCGCGCATTCTTCCAGACCCAGACATTTTCACACTTGATACCTGATGCCGTATTACAAATTGCTGATGCTGCGGTCACGACCTCCGACGTTATTACCGAAGCCAAGGAAGCCATGGAGCGAGCCAACACGACCAAGGGCCTCGCAATGGACAGCGCAGCCAAAGCCAAAGGACACGCAGAGGAAGCCATTAAATTTGCCAACAAGGACGATCCGGAGCGCTACGACTTGACGAAAGCACAAGACAAACTACAAACCGCCATCGGTGAGGCCAAGGCCGCCGCGGCTCACATCGAAGGGCTTCGCGCTGAAGTTGAAGCAGCCCAGACCCAGGCCGCCGCGGCTCACATCGAAGGGCTTCACGCTGAAGTTGAAGCAGCCCAGACCCAGATCCAGACCCAGACGTAGTTCTCTTTTATTTTCTTCTTTCAAAAGTTGAACTTTTGAACGACTTGAACTTTTAAAGTTCAAGTCGTTCTCTTCCCTGTGCTGTACTATGGTCTTGTTTCCAGACAAAACACCAGACACTTTTACATTTGATAAGGTTTGTCATCCGACAGGCAGAGGACGGACCCAAAGTGGTTCGCTTTGGTTTCGTTCTCCGTTCATATGCAAAAATAAAAAGAGGCACAAGGAGCCGCAGCCGCCGCGAGCGAATCATCCGAAATGAAAAAACGTCAGGTTGTACCTCATATCAAATGCAAAAGTGTCTGGGTCTGGAAGATTGCGAGACTTGTCATGCTTGTCTGGCAAGACCAAAAAGTTTGTGATGCGTGTCCAAGAAGAGACCCTTTTGCCTGTCATGCAAAAACGCAGTTTGTCATGCGAAAAACGCAACACAAAAAAGCGCGGACATTTCTCATGCTTGCCTGTGCATTACAAAGCATTCACTATTCCCAACGCAGCATTACAAGTTTCCAGACCCAGACATTTTTGCAGTTGATACCTCCGCGACGCCGAAGACGCGGTCCGCACGGCGGACGCGCTCATCCTCTCTATGAATTGCAAGAGTAACGTACTAGTATAAATTGCAATACAAATTGCCTCAGCATTACAAATTGAATTTGTAATGCGGATTTGCCTTGGGAACTAGATTTGTAATGCATAAATGCAATTAGTACGAGTACGATACTTTTGCACAGGATACTCTCCGCGAAGGAACAAGGGGTTCCGCTTCCGCAGGAACCGAAATCGCCAGAGGTAGTATGCACTTGGAAAGAGAAAGGCCCCGCACTACCCGCGCTAGTCGTCTCTCATAGCGCAGCCCGCATGTTAGTGATAGTCAGACGATGGATGCGCATCAAGGGCTCCCGGAAATTTATGCTATGGCGCTTCAGGAGAGGCATGCCCGAGGTGCCGGTGGCCGGAAACGGAGGCAGTTTTTTTGCATAAATGCAGGTCTGGAGACAATAAAGTTCCTCGTAGTTGTATAGGAACACTTTAGAGGGCCGTGGCGCGGGTAGTTCTCAGGCGACCTATTTGTGCATTGGGATATCTGTCTGGGTGGAGCAAAGTTGAGTCTGCGGGGAAGTTGGGGGCGCATGCTGGCGCCGCAGTTGCACGCAAAACGGGTCAGTTTGTTCAAAACTATGCTTGGCCCGCGACGAAGTGGACGGCGCATGCTGGCGCCGCAGTTGCACGCAAAACGGATCAGTTTGTTCAAAACTATGCTTGGCCCGCGGCGAAGTGGACGGCGCATGCTGGCGCCGTATCATATGTAAAAACGTCCCCACCCCATAGTCAAGTTGGAAAATTAGCAACACAAATCCAGAAGTTTTGGGAGACACGCATGACAAGCTACAGTCCGTAGCGTAGTGCACATTAGCAAGGACAACCACATCACAAATCCATCTGTTTATCCTGTTTACAGCATTACAAATTCCAAAACACGATTGGAAATGCCTGTAATGGAGATGCGCATTGCAAATCTTCCTGTGATTGCAAATCTGCATGACAACTCTGGGGTGGGGATGTTTTTACATAGGATACGCCGCAGTTGTTCGCAACACGCATCGGGCTGCCAAGGCAGGTTACGATGGATTGAAACCGCGGGAGGCTGTATGCAAATATATCTTATCTCAGGAAAAAAGTGTTACAGTTACACACATAGTCTATGCAGGCCAAGCAAGACAGACAAGCTCTGTCATGCCGGATATGCATAGGAGCCTTGTTTCATAGGTGTTTTCATCCCGTAGGATTTCTGCATTACAAGTTTTCTCTCTCATGCAGAGAAATTTGTGTTGCTGAATTGACTACAAATGTGTAACTGTAACACTTTTTTCGTGGGATATATCTGGGCCTGGAATCAGTATCAGACCTGTGATGAGCTGAAGCATAATCATCTCAAGGGCATCAAGAAGATGAAGAGTTGCGATGCATGGGGAGGAGTGTAGTGTTTTTTTGTCCTCGTGCATAGGAAAAAGAGGGAGCCACTTTGTTTATTTCCCTGCAATAAATTACGAAGAAGCCCAGATCATGCGTATAAAAATTCGCAACAAGCAGAGTCGGAGCAAAACTTCTTTATGCGCCAGCTCTCATAGTTGTACTATAGCAAGTACTTAACCTTGTCGTGCTTGTAGTACACGACGAAACGAGAGACGAGCCGCTGTGAAAGGCAAAATAAAACAAGAAGCAAGCGTGTGGGCGATATGCCCACACGCAGTGCCTGCCACTGGGAAGCAAGACCTGTGGCGAAGCCCTGCTACTAGAGCCGCGCGCGCGATTTACAATTAGCGCCAGCAGGTGCGCAGCGGTTCACAGGAGGGTTGCGGCTGTGTTTATTTCTTTCGCTTTTTGTATAATGTGCCTACGCCAAGCGACCACCGGCGACCCATACCTCCACAAATCGCAGCTACAGCTAGCCGAAACGCATGCACCCAGGGGGGCGGCGCCCTGGCGCTGGCACTAGTCGCGCCTGGGTGGCTGCATTGAAAACAGAGAGGGCGGCCACGCCTGCGGCGGATTTCTAGTCCCTTGCCAATAGGGGGCGCGTCTGTCCTCGCCGAATGTAACGAGAATAAAAGCCTTATTCTTTGGCCCGATTGCTGGGCCCTGCTTCTCGTTCTGGCACTACAGGCGCCGGGCGGGCCAACCGTTCTAATTTTTGGGCTGCCCTTGGCGGTTTGCGCCTGCCAGTCTTCTATTTATTTTTCTTCTCCCGGTTTTTTGTGCGTTCGCGAGCACCGGGCACCTGAAGTAGAAGTATTTACCTACCTATTTTGCTGCCTTGCCTTTTGTTGCTTGGCAGGGCAACTGAAGTTTTTTTCGTGCGTCGGCTGCCCCTCCTGCCAAAACCCCACCTCGCCCAGAAGGCGCCTCCCCTTCGGCCAAGCTTCTGTATTATTTAGCCGCTTCCAGGAGAGCTAGTTGCTGCAGTGCGATTTTTCTATTGTTATGCGCAGATCTTTCCCGCGCCGTTGTGCCAACACGGCGGCGCGAGTGCAACATACTTAACCTTGTCGTGCTTGTAGTACACGACGAAACGAGAGACGAACCGCTGTGAAACGCAAAAAAAAGCGGCACAAATCAGCGGCATCCACCCTCAGCGTCCAGAGATATTTGCATTGGATATTAGGCTGGTACTAGCACCGCGACGGATACGGATACGGACACGGACGTCCACGCGTCCGCTGTGGATCATCCGTGGTAGAACCGGACGGACACGGACGAGAACAAGTAGACGGACACGGACGATATCAAAATGAAAAATCCCCCCTCCCCATATCAAAACGGAAATTTGTGATGCTGATTTGTGACCACAAATAAGCTTTGTAGTGCAGAGAGGCACTGCGGCCAGATCCCCAGGCTAGGTAGGGGCGTGTGGGTCTAGTAGTTCAGCATGGCAAACGGCTTGCCTTTGAGCCCACCAGCATGACAAATCGCTTCCCTAATGGGGCGAAAGCTTCTGCCCTTGTCCTCTTGCAAGACAGATGTGATTTGTGACCTCAAATCCGCAACGCAAATCTTTGGAAACATACCTTTTCAATATGGGGAGGGGGGATTTTTCCTCTCAATAGACGAGAGCAAGTACTTAGACGGACACGGTTGGAGACAACGCAGAAGGAGCGCAAAAAAAATTGTCGCGCTGAACAGCCAACAGCTACGGCGCATTCGTCTTCCAATGCTATATATGGGATATTTATAGTATTTGGGGCAGTTGTGTCGCTGCATTTTCATTTTGTGAAAGCCTTTCCAGTGAAATTTCCAAAAAATGAGAACTCCATGCGCGCCACGGCGCGTCTTCTTTCCACTTAAAAAATGATCTTAATATAATTTTACAGACGAGGAAAAAAAAGAACAAAGTTTTCTTACACCCGTGCAAGGGGACGACCTCTAGCTCTACTTGTACGCTGACCGAGCAGCAGGACACTTTTTTTGAGACTGCCTCGGATGTTACTTGCACAAATACACCAGGATGGAAGCTCACGCACACACAATTTTGTATAGTGACCATTTCATGTGTGCCGGCGCTTTGTTGCGGCGTCGCACAATGGATGTCAACAACAAGTCTCATCTCTTCAGTTTTGCGAGTCGACTATCTTCACAGAGCCACAAGCGCAGATCGAGATCGGGGACCTCACTTCTCGAAAACAATAAAATAGATCCCGAACTACAAGTTCTTTCGGACAGTGGACTCTGAGTTGTATATATAATTTGGCAAGAAGAAGTCAGAATCCCATGCGGTTTGGGAAATGAATCATTTCTAAGCGCCGCTCCCGGAAGATCCCGACCTGGATCTGCGGCTAGCTTGTTGGATGGTTGACACGAAACATGTGAAAGGGGTTGTTCCGCATTTTCTGCTCCTGGTTCTTGATGTGGTTGGCTGTTAAAGAACGTGTAACCACGGACATTTTGTGCTTCGGTCCTCTTCTTCAGATTGACTGAGACAAAACCAAAAGACGAAATAAGGCACCGTAGGTACTAATACTAAAACTAAAACTGAACCGCAATCGTCCTCGAACTGCCTGTATGTAGTAACGCAAGCGGAGTGAAAAACTCCCAGTAGCTCTTCTCGCCTGTGGTTTCGACCGAAGAAGTACTACTGATCTAGCAGCTGTTCCTTCGAAGAAGATCATCCTCTCGTCGTCCCTGCTGCACCAAAGGACTAATGTGATTTTTTCCTTCTGTTTGCTTGTGGTGGTTCTGTTATATTGCCCGGTCTTCTTGCTTCTTGGTCGTGATGATGTCTGAGAACCTAAAGATTTTTTCTCAAGCAATGCACAAGGTTCCTCCTGCGACCGCTTATCAATAACGTTGCCAACGTTCTTGTAGTAAAATTGTACTAATCATTATATACCAGCAGAAGTAGACCAGCTTCTGTTCGCCTTCGCACGCATAAGTAGCCATAGAGTTGTACGACTGAGGTAGTGGTTGTCAGAAACAAAGCGACTTGTCTGTCGTGTGCACTGCACACGCCCCGCTCACCACGCCCCTGCCACAGCAGTAGGCCCAACCACGCCCGAGAAACGAAGGACGTCAGTCGGACCAGGAACGGTACATAGTAACTCCGTAGTTGCACCAGCAGAAGAGCCGCCCACGACGAGGTCCCGGACACTAATATACGGTGCCACCAGTGTACAGCTAAAGCATGGGAGGCTGTCAGGGAAAGCAAGCTGGAACTTCTACCGGCTTCGCCTCTACCAGTGGAGTATCAAATGCAAATATGTCTGGGTCTGGAAGAATGCAAGTTTGTCATGCTTGTCTGGCATGGCTCTGAAATCTGTAATGCACGTTACCCAAGAGCCCCATTTTTCTGTCATGGAGAAACGCAGTTTGTCATGCAGAATAGGCAAAACCTAGAAGCTCAGAAACTTCAACTTGTCATGCTGGGCCGGCACTTGCGGCCTTCTCATGATGCGCTACCCAGCATCACAAATTTCCAGACCTAGACATATTTGCAGTTGATATGGAGCTGCTGCATCAGGTTCTTTGCCGAGCGGAGGGGGGCCGTTGGAAACGATCGTCGAAACGACAGCGGAGTTTGCCATGCAGAGCGCGCAAGAACAACCCCCAGGAGCACCAGACCGGGCGTCTCCATTTTCGTCGGATCTCCATCAGGACCGGAGCAGCGGAGCAGGTGGTATAAGGTTTTGAAGTTGATGTAGTTGCCATGCGAATATTAAATAAAACTCGAATATAGATCTGAGCTTGTCATGGGTGGTCATATGGAAGATGCGAAGGGGGAAAATGAAAAAAGTATATAAATCAAATTATATTTCAGATCTCCAGAGGTTGACCTCCGAGGCCAGTAAAAACGGTTCGCCTGCACCAGATCATGGAATGATGAACATGCGGCAAGAACCCTGCGATTATCATCAGGCAGATCCCAAGTTTCTCGACGAGTATGACGAGTACCAGTTCCGCCGCGAGCAGTATTACAATGAAAAATGCCCCCACCCCCGAACTTGAAAGCATTTGTATTGCAAATCTTTCCAAATGAAACATTAGCCCTCTTGCGTGTATCAGCATCATAGATTTCCGATCGTGAATAGCAAAAAATTGTATTGCAAAAGATCCCAGCAAGAGCGGTGCTTGTCATGCAAGCGATGCGAAACACGACTAGAATCTGCATCAGAAAGATTTTTACTCCTTTCATGCATGACAAAAAGCTTTCATTTGGAAACTTCGCATCACAAATTGTTGCAATTTCAGGGGTGGGGGGCATTTTTCACTGTGATAAGCAGGCTATGATGGCCGTGAAGCACAACTTGACGGACCGCTTTCTGCAAGACGAAGAGCAGCAAACTGTTTTCAACAATAGCATCAGCACGGATGACGTTGTGCTCCGCGGTGGAGCTGCCAATGTTTACTCTAGTACAGCTGGCTCAATACAACCGTCGTGCAGCTACCTGCAGCAGGGGGAATACAACCCGAAGAACCAAAATGATCAAGGTCTTACACAAGAACTACATCAGGGATCGGCAAAGACACTGTATGGGGAGCTTTTGCACAGCAGCTACAGCTACCCGAGTCCGACGGAAACTAGTGCGACAAGCGGAATCATGGTGGGTGCTGGAGGCGTATGAGAGTGCACAACCCCCCCTCCCCCTCCTTTGTGTTGCATGAACAGCAACACAAGCGCTAGCAAAGATGCAGCTTTTGCATGACAAATTCCTAGCCGGTTGTAGTGCTGTTTTGGCTTTTGGCATCTGTCATGCAAAGAGTGCTAACAGGCAGATTCTGCCTGTTAGAATGCAAATCTACCTTCTGCCGCAGAAGGTAGATTTGGGATTTTGCATGACAAATGAGGGGGAGGGGGAGTTGTGCACTGTCATAAGGCGGAAATAATAATTATAACGAGTACTACACGACGAACAGCAACAGCGCTGCAATCTACACGGGGACGACAACTAGTCCGTATGACGGCCCAGAGGACAACTACACCGATGAACAACACGAGAATTACTTATCAAATGTAAAAGTGTCTGGGTCTGGAAGAATGCGCGATTTGTCATGCAGCTTTTCCATGACCCATGAGATCTGGAATGCAGGACCTAGCATGACAGATTCTGTGCGATCTCTCTCATGCCTATCCTGCATTAGAAACTCCCTCCCGACTTGGTCAAAACTGGACGACGTTGGCAATCTGCCTAGTCGCCCCTAGGTAGGTGCAGGAAAAGGAATTTTCTGTGTGGGCTTTTTGTGCTTAATTATTCCAACAGGGGCTGCGTCTTTTTTTTCTGCCTTGCCAGCAGAGGTGTATAGAAGATGGGGGGGCATTGACGGAAGTGGTGCGAGACCTTGGAGACGGAGCAGGCGACAAGAGCGGAAATGCTACAAATCAAAAAAAAAGCTCGCATACACGCGCACTGTTTAACTGTGTGAAAGGTGTCGGCCCTGATTGACCTGCTGCGGCAGGCAGGTGAATTCGTAGAAGTGCTTCACATGTTAAGTAACGCCCACCGGCCTCCTAGATTAGTGATGAATTTATATGCGAAAAACAGAAGAGAGGGGCCCAATCAAAAAAAAAAAATCATGCAACACAGATTTTTGCATGTTTCAGATTTAGCATGAGAAGTTGCATCGTTCCAGACCCAGACATTTTTACATTTGATATTACTTAAACCACAGCAAAAATAAACCCTACACCAGCAAAACGAGTAGCTACTTCTACAACAACGACCCCCGAGATGAAAGCAACACCTGCAAGATGAACTACAGTGTAGCTACCAACAACGCGGATCGACATGGTGAAGCCCCCGCGGCGGGGGCAAAAATCGCATTAGCAGAAGACAATTCTTATGCATTGCAAAAGCATCGTACTCGTATTGCAATCATGCATTACAAATCCCTTTGCTAAGGAAAATCCGCATTACAAATTTTTTTTTCTGAGGCTGAGGAAATTTGTAATGCATTTATACGAGTACGATACTTTTGCAGTTCATGATTCTCGCTCAGCGGTGGAGGCCGAGAAGAAATGCTCTGTGACCAACGCTATGCAGTGCAGATACGTCTGGGTCTGGAAGGATGCAACTTGTCATGCTAATTCTGGATACTGCAAAAATCTGTGTTGCATGATTGCCAAAAGCTGCTCACTTTTGACCAAGCTGAGAGGGGGTTTCTCATGCAGCCGAGGCATGATAGAGGTCGGACAGAATCTGTCATGCTGGGTCATGTATGACAGACCTCACGCGTCATGGAAAACCCGCATGACAAGTCTGCCAACTTTCCAGACCCAGATGACATGTTTGCATTTGATAAACGCTTTGCTCGCATTGCTTGAAGAGGAAGATGAGCAATACCAGGTGCAGCATGCCCAGACGGAACGCGAACGGCGGAAAATAAGCGAGTCCTCGGGCATGAAAAGCCAGTATGTGCAAGCGCGACCATTTGAGAACGGCGGGGTCGTGCGGAGAGGTACAATGAAATTACTAAATGAAAATTTTGAAAAATTGATAAATGCTGGCGAGTGATGAAGATATTCACATGCGCGATAACCCGGCTCATCGAATGAACACATGCACGCTTATAGCATCACACTCCTGACTGTTCTTCACATGCGTTGTATAATGTCGAAACCAGCAGGTCCCTACATCGATAATATCAATATGGACGACACAGTGGACAGCTACCTGGACAATTCTCCAGCAGTATGAGAGTGCACAACTTCCCCTCCCCCACATCTGTCATGCAAAATGCATTGCGTCAGCACAGCACTTCCGTTGCTGCAGAAGATGCCATTTCAATGAGGGGGAGGGGGAGTTGTGCACTCTGATAAGCAGATGCCACCATCGATGAAAGCTTCGTTGCCCCGGACAACAGCGCTGCGTATCCTATGTAAAAACGTCCCCACCCCCTAGTTCGTAGCCACATAGCATATGCTTTCTCTTCCCGTCGTAGTTCGTTCTCCTCTTGTTTCCTTTTGTGAAAATTTGAAAATTCTCTGTGCTTTAAGTTGGTCTTTTCCAGTACATAAACACCCCCTAGTTGTATATGCAAATCTGCATGCTCAGAATGTGTGTCATGCGGAGCAGCCCCATGAGAAGCATTTTCTTGTTGTGTTTTGGAATTTGTCATGCTCCAATCAGCATAATATGTAGTGAGGTCACCGAACGGTTCTAACCGGGGAGTTTTTTTGACATATACCCTGAAAAACGACCGGCAGTTTTCAAGCGGCCGGAAGCGTTTTTTGACATAAAAGATTTTCAATTATCAAGCGGACGGGGCTTTGCCGTCAAACAAGCCCGGTCGAAAACTATCGACTCGCACTTGATAAAACGACGCAGGGGAGCTGGCAAAAGGGGCGCCCTTCTGAGGCGCCCACCGCCTTAGTTTCTGGCGATTTGGGGCGTCCAAAAAGGGGCGCGCAAAAAACGCGCCCAAAATCAGAACAGCGAAACAGCATGGCACGGCCGCGATTTCGGAGCATTTTGGGCGGCCGCGAAAGCGGCCGCCTTTTCGCCGGTTTCAGAGCCTGGGAAGCTTTGCAAAAAGCGCCGGCGTGAAAAATAAAAACGCGAAAAAGAAAAAGCGGCCCGCACGCGCAAAGCCAATCCGCATGCTACGGGCCCGATTTTTCTTCGCTTTTTGGGCGCCCCCCGCGGCACCTGGATCGGCCCCTTAGCATGGGGGCTGGCTTTCGGAAAGGGATTTCAGGAATTTGCCAAAATTTGCGACGTTTCCCAAGTGGCCGCCATACCGTGCGGCATAACGTTCCTCACGGTGGTATGGCGAGCCCATAAAAAGCAAAGCCGCAGCCAAGGCGGCGGTCGGCAAAAAAACGCCCACGACCTCACTACCCCCGCCCCGGCGGCTATATTTGGTAGGCTTGGCCTGTAATGCTTATGCACGAGCTAAAGAGTAGAGGATTACACTACGAGGCCAAACTTTTCATTCGCATTACAACCAAAGCTTGTGGATTTGTCTAGCAAAATTTCCATTTTCTTAGCGCTATAGGGCTATGGGCTGGGGACGTTTTTTCTCAGGACACTGCGAGAGGGTTATTCAACTGTGGCGCGTGCCTGTTGAAGCGCATAGGGGAGTGAGTTGTAAAGATTTGAAGACGTGGCAAGAACGATGAATCTGAATGTAAATCCAAGTTGTAGAGGATAAATCCAACTCCAAGTAGAGGACGTCGTCTCTTTCGTACGAGAATACAGAAGATACCAAGAACGCCATGAAATGCGCACACCATCCTCGCTGAGTACTTTGATACACAATTCACGACGACAAACAAATTCTTCCCGCGGTGGCATTTCCTCCTGTCATCAACAACTGGATGGTGATAACGATATTGCAGCTGCTCCGACTCCTTTACTCTGAATCTGAACACGCGTTTGAAATTTCGTCGTTGCGTTCGCCGCAATGAGTAATACTCATGCACTTCCCGTGAGTTGATGTGAGGTGGCGGTGCACGACGTGCAAAAAAAAGAACAACAGTGGGAGATGATTGAAGATGATGTTTCATCAGAAGCAAAGAAAGCAAAGCGGAAGTTGTTGTACTTCATATGAAGGAAGAGTGGACGACGCGACGAGAGATTCAAATAATTGAGAAACAAGATCCGCATTTGTATAAAGTTGTACCGATGAACTAGAGGTAGCGACAAACGTGTTGGCGTTGCGATGTGATATACTACCTTTTTGTGTCGTGTACTAAAAATGACCCGTTCATTCTAGTCGTAGTTCTAGCTGCATTCGCCTTGAAAATGAAGACCGATTGAATTGCTACTTACACTCCTCTCTACTTGCCGGCGAGATTTCGTCCGAAGCAGAGGCATATCATAAACTTGTGTATACATAGGTAGAAGTACAATTTCAGACTCTACAGAAGTAAATACGATTAAGCTACAAAAATCTTTGAAAAAATGGTGATTCTGCACGTGAAGAAGGGTGAGGCAAAAAACGAGTTTCTGCAGGATGTTCTCACCTTACGAGAGAGCACAACTCCCCCTTCCCCTCATTTTTATGTTGGTATGAACAGCAATACAACCACCAGCACACGTAGGGCCTTCGCACAACAAGTTCGCGTGCCTACTAGCGTAGTACTGTTCGGGCTTCCAGAATCTGTCATGCAAATAGTGCCACAAGGTGGCTGCACATGGATTTGGGATTTTGCATTACACATGACGGCGAGGGGGAGTTGTGGACTCTCATACACCTCCGAAACCGTTGACCAAGTCCTGAAAAAAACCGTGGAGCTGCACAACATTCGGCTGTATCAAATGCAAATATGTCTGGGTCTGGAACAAGGATGTAGCTTGTAATGCCGCATTTGGATTCTAAAAATATCTGTATTGCAGGAGCAGCAGAAGAGGTGCATTTTTTGCTACACGGAGGGGGTATTTGTCGTGCAGTATGGCGGGCATCACAAAGCCGTCACAATAGCTGTGATGCTAGTACATGCATCACAGACATCGCCGGTGATGCAAAATGTGCATGACAAACTCCCAGACCCAGACATATTTGCAGTTTATAGGCTGAAAGTCTTGCGACTCGCTGTCTCTTATTCATTGCAAAATTTCTGTCGTACTAATTTCTGTAGAAGTGAGTCATGGCAAATCATATGACATGGTCTGGTTTCAAGTTCACGCAGTTTGTCATGCTGATCTCGCTTTGGGATTTGCATTTGTCATTTCATTACTGAAATTAGTACGGTAGAAGTTTTGCACCGGATGCGTCTCTGCGCGAATTGGGGAAGCACGGACCCCTCCGGCCCGAAGAAACCAGGGGACTGATATCAAATGCAAATATGTCTGGGTCTGGGAGATTGCGAGATTTGTCATGCTAATCTGGCATGACTCTGAACTCTGTATTGTGTGCCGCGAAGAGCTCCTCTTCCCTGTCATGCAAGAAAACAGTTTCTCATGCGGAATACGCAGCTCAGAACCACGAAAAAAACTTGTCATGCTTGGCAGCGCATTACAGTGAGCTCACTATAATTTTTTCCTTCCTTGCATCACAAGTTTCCAGACCCAGACACAAGTATTTGCATTCGATAACTGAGCGAAGACACCAACTTTCCGCTCGACGTGAATGCGTATGGCACACCAACCAATCCAGATGAGCACGGGTACAACTTCATACGAATTTAAGTAGATTTATTTGTCATGCAAGCAGCAAAGGTTTTTTCTTTCTTTTGCCGCTGCTGTGATCAGTATTTTCGATCTATTTTTCCACTTGGTGTTTCAGTTTCTGATCTGTATCTGATCCCACCTACAGGTTCCGCACCGGTTGCCCGCCACCTGGCGAGGTAGGCGAAGTGCTGATTCGCACCGCGAATGAGTCCGAGCAGGCCGTTGCCCACACCCTGGTACAGCAACGAAAGAATCTTACAAAAGAGATTTGCGAGGAGTGTCTGGCCCAGATGCGATATCGTACGTAGAAGTAGCGATATCATGTACGACTACTACTCAAGATCAAGTACAAGTGGCTGGTGTACTAGAAAATCCGAAATGTGGCAAGTGAATTAATTTCCTTGCGCTGTCAACATACTCATGCCGTGTAGTGTCTATGACGTCGCTTTATTTCATGATGTCGCTTTTTCCTACTATATCCCCGGCGCGGTCATGATCGCTTACCCGGCGTTCCACAAGCTACCGTTCTTCGATTATGGAAGTGAGCTGGAGTGAAGTTTGTCATCAGGCGGTATTTCGCATGAGAAACCTGGTTTCTGATAATTCAAAACTCGCATGACAAAGTTCTTATTCGATTTCAGCTCCATATCATCCCCGTGCGGTTGGAACTGGAAGACAAGGAAGAATTGGATGGACAGTACTTCTAATATTACAAGGTTTGATCATTTGATTTGTCATGTGTCTTGTGCATGATGAGGAGGTCTTGTCATGCGGCCGTGCTATGTAAGGATACGTGAACGTGAGTGGTATATTTTTCTTTCTTCCTAATGCTAAATCCGCATCACAGGTCCGAGCTTCAAGACGTCCTGGACATTCCGCAGGCAACGATGTGGTTCGCTGGGAAGGAACTATCCTTTGCAAAGCTATCGTACTCCTGGTACAAATTCATCTTGCAGCCGCGCATTACAAATCTCAATCTCAACATAAATCCGCATCACAAATTTACATTTCTGATGCTGAAGAAATTTGTCATGCGGTTCTTGCACTAGAGGTACGATATTGCTTTTGCAATGCATAGGAACTCGTGGTCGGCAAGCTCCTCTCCGACTACGTGGGCAAGTATCCTCAGCAAAAGCATCGTAGCGGTGGTAGTTGCAAGACTGCATGACAGATCTCGTATCTATAGATGAATCAGCAACAGAAATTTCCTTTCTGCTTTCGAACGAGATTGTCATGCAATTTATCAATCCCACGGTCGTGCTTTTGCAATGCATAGCCGGAACGAAAAAACCAAGATCGTGATCAAACTGCAGACCAAGGCTGCGTACCAAATGCAAAAATGTTTGGGTCTGGAATAAAAGGTGGAGCCTGTATTGCGTTGCTTGCATGGTTGCAAAATCTGTATTGCGCCAGCGCCACGACTAAAAACGAAAAGCGCGGTGACCTTTTTTTGTCATGAGAAAATGTAGCGCATCACCTTCACAATCACAAGCCTTCAAGTTGTATTCAGCGGACCCAGATCGATATTTGCGATGCATACTTCGGGCGCCCCGGTGCGCGAGCCGAGGGTGGACGAAAACACGCACAAGGCCATGCTGAGCTACTACTACAAGAAGCAAGAGTATGGGGGTGTCAGAATCGAAATCGACAAAGTTGAATATTTATAATCAGTCATGCATAAAATGCGACGCAAAAAGTGACTCTATTGCAGAGGACGCTAGGGAGGCAGATTGTAGTCCTGCTAAGGTTCAAGAATTGGGGTGGTGACTAGCATGACAGATGCGAGCTTTTTTGCCCTGAACAGCACGACAAACTGGCTTCCGATACCGGCAAAATTTGTCATGCGCCGCCTAGAAACTGTGGGTCCAACTGGTATGGATTTTCTACATTACAAGTTGAAGTTTTTCAGCTTTGTCGATTTCGATCCTGACGCTCCCATAGAGAGGAGGCGAAAAGACTAGCGGAAGACGAGGACGACAGTTACCTGGAAAGCAACTGGGCGGTATTGTTCGGAAAAATCTCCCCTCCCCGTATCGAAAAGGAAATTTGTGATGCTGGATTTGCGTACACAGATCGCCTTGCATTGCTAAAAGGCCAAGAACAAACGCAGTCGTGACCTGAATTGCAGGCGATTTGTCATGCTGTTTCCCACTTCGAGTCGCCTCGTGTCATGCGGAAGATGAAAGGCTTTCCCACGCCTGCCAGAACTACAGTCCGCATCATCTCCTGCCTTCCAGCATGACAACATGAGTTGCGGTAGCAAATCATGCTACACAAATCTTTTTTCCGTAGCCATTTTGGCTCAAGTTTTTTTTTCCGCGAAGGGAAGAAGTACTTGCAGTACAGATTCGCTGCACTCGTCCGGGGAGCGACGTGTGCTGCGGTTTCGATCTCTATCCTTGCCCTCGGTCGCCTCCCTTCGCCCCCCGAAGGAGAGGTTCACTTGGTAGAAATCTAACCCTGATGCCTTACACCTCCCGCCGCTAGGATGGACGATTTAGTCCTCGTCTACGATAAAGACACCCCCGAGGCGGGGCAGTTCGCGCTGAACCTGTACGACCACGCGAAAAAATGGATCGGGTTTTCGGTGCAGGAGCCGAAGCCGACCGAGCGCACCTCGTTCACGGTGAACGGCGCCAGCATGGGGATCATCATCACCAAAGACGTGTTCAAGTCGGAGTTCGTCACGGACGCGCTGGAGCTGATGGTGGCGGCCAAGAAGCCCTGCCTGCTGATCCACCACATCGCGGGCAAGACCAACGTGGAGGACGAGATCATGCAGTGCGAGAACGACGACTACCTGCGGTACATCCGCAAGGCGCAGACCTGCATCTACACCTTTGACCTGGCGGACCAGTGCCAGGACCACATGATCACGCTGCTGGAGTTCAAGTCCGCGGACAGCAAGAAGGAGCTCCAGAAGCAGGCCGTCCTCCGGCTCGAGGAGACCCGGGCGGACGTGCTCTTGTTTTCCTCGCGCGTCGCCAAGGGCCGGCTGAACGCCGCGGTGCACAGGAGGTACGACTTCTGCCTCACCTGCGCGGTGGAGGACCCCCCGGTGGCCGAGGACGTGCTGAATAAGGTCTACGACATCATGAGCCGGTACGCGCCGGCGCTGCAGGTCGCGCGCAACCAGGGCGACAAGGCGGTCACCAACGTGCAGCAGCGCACCGCGAACATCCGCGACTCCTTCAACCTGGTCGTCTTCGCCACGAGGAATTGCTTCGCCACCGACGAGAACGGGAAGGGCAGCGCGGTGGTCGAGGAGGTGAAGGCCGCGCTGGAATCCGAGCTGCAGGTGTGCATCATCCAGCACCTGTCCCAGTGTCCGGACATCGACGCGGAGATCGAGATATCGAATGCAAAAATGTGTGGGTCTGGAAGAGCCAAACTTGTGATGCTGCATTTGGATGCTAAAAAGACCTGTATTGCATGACAAGCAAGAGGATTCAAATTTGGCTACGCGGAGAGGGCATTTGTCATGCTGGAAGCGCATAGATAAGCGCTCAGAAAATCTGTGATGCTGTGGCATACATCACAGACAGCATGGATCATGGAGAATTTGCATGGTGACGAAGCAGACGACAAGCGCGGGAATGGTACAAATCAAAAAAAAAAATGGCATAAACGTGCTCTGCTTAACTGTGTGAAAGGTGTCGGCCCTGTGTAACCTGCTGCGGCAGGCAGGTGAATTCGTAGAACTGCATCACATGTTAGGCAACATCCACCGGCCTCCTAGCTCAGTGATGAATTTATATGCGTAAACAGAGCGGGGCCCAATGAAAAAAAAAAAAAAAAACATGCTACACAAATCTCCGTTTCAGTATGGGGAGGGGGGAGTTTTCATTTTGATTGGCGGACAGCAAGGCTTTGAAGAAGCACCTGGTTGGCGGCGGGCGGCCGATCGGGTTCCGGGGGCTGAACTAGTTTGTAGGACAGGGAAGATGCATCTTCTGAAAATCTATGTTTTCAACACTTTTGTTTGTGAAAGAGATGAAGGTTTGTACTTAAACCTTATCTGCACCAACCTTGTTTTGCAAACAACAAGGCTTAGCTACTTACAAGGATCGGGATAACAATGAGTCAGAAATCAGAACCCTTTAACGCTCATACCAAAAAGTTTTTCAACAGTGAATACCAATACGGCCACAGCCAGTACCCGAAGTATTTTTTAGAATTGAAGCAAGAAGAACAACTGTAGTGGGGAACAAATGGAAAACGCAAACAAAGGCAGTCGCAGTTGTAGAAGAAAGATGCGTAGACTAATTCTTCTTCATCGCGTTCTTTTCCTAATTGCGATACTCTCCACGACCGGCAAAGAAACTTGAGTCTGAGAAGCGAAAAGTGAATAAACAGGTTTGATGGAAGTGTTTTTTTCAACAAGAATCTTTAAACAACAACTCAGTGTGAGTTCCGGTGAAGATCGGATGTGGACTAGGAACCAGAAGTGCTTTTGGCGGGTGACGAGCTGCTGTTCTGTAGTGACGAGATTGAGTTTCACCCGTTCTTCCGGCGTCGTAGATAATTCTTTTTCCAAGTGCAACCCCCAGATCGGAGGAAAATTTTTACCACTTTTTCACGGATCTTCGCGGATTCTCGCGGAGTAGCCGTATGGTCTAGTCAGGTTGCGCCTTATTTTGGGTGAATTTGCTTGCCAGTTTTGCGATGTCAAATAATTTGAACTTGTGCTCACTTGCATTGCACAAGCCAGTGAAGAGGAGTTCACCTCCGAGACCTCGTTTCATTCGGTCCGTATTGTCGTTCTTTCGGTTTTTCCTTCCTTTTTAGGTTTACACCGTCCCACCTCCTCCTTCTATCGTCGCTCGGTTGCGCTGCACATAAGATCCTTCGGGGCTAACCAGGAACATGCTCGGTGTAGTTGACCTGCAAGAACTCGCGTAAGAAGCAAGAAGTACAACTAGGTACTTATACTTTGTTTCCGTTCACAGCTTCAAGCCCGGCGGGCAAAACCAGCACAAGCGTCTTCGTTAAAAAATGTCGGTGACAAGAACAGAGGTATGTTCGGTTTTCTTCTGGCATTTTCATCGTACAACAGCGTCTTTGTCGTACAACATGGTTTCGTGATTCGTTGCGCTGCTAAAAACCGTTCGCTGGAGGAGAACTGCTATGGCACTCTCGTACTTGCCAGTTTGCATTCTTCTACGAATTATTTCCGCTGTTTCAGTCACTACCTCAAGTCTAGTCATGATCTTCGTTTCATCTTCCTGCAGGCAGCAAACGAACCCAACCCGTTTTCACAATTTTCATATCCAAATCATACTAGTACAACACCTAGCGCAATCTAGTCACCCTGGACCACTGCGCCAGTTCTTTTTACATACGTACGTCTAATTTAAACTTTGTTTTCCACCAGACCACCCGTTGTAAGTACCACCCTTCGATATCGATTCAATAAACTTCCAAGTAAACCTCCGCCCACAATGTACGGTCTCCACAAAGTGAACCACATGTACACCGCCTCGGGTACGGGCAAGGACTTTGTCGTGCAGGACCCTTACTTATGAATTGCAAAAATGTCTGGGTCTGGAAGATTGCAACTTGTGCTGCTGTCTTTCGATTCCAAAAAAGTCTGTATTGCATGACCAGCAAAAGGAGTCCAGTTTGTGCTACGCGGAGAGGGCATTTCTCATCCGGAACACGCACCAGAGAGCCCTCTCAAAATCTGTGATGCTAGGCCATGCATTACAGGCATCATGTGTCATGCAAAATCTGCATGACAAACACAAACCTGGCACTCTTCCAGACCCAGACATATTTGCGTTTGATATTACTTCAAAGGCGGGAAGATCGGTTTCGAGAAGATGGCGCAGCACCAGGGCGCATATGCACTGCAAAAGTATCGTACTCGTACTAAAAATCGCAGTCATGCATTACAAATTTCTTTCTCAAGTCAAACCCCCATTACACATTTCATTTCTCATGCTGAGGAAATTTGTCATGCGCTTTCTATTAGTACGATCTGCTTTTGCATTTCATAGCGCCAAGGGCACCGCGATGATCCCCGAACCCATTAACCGGCACAAGTACCAGGCCTTCCCGATGGGCTTCGGGTCCGTATGCAAGAAAAAAACTGTATAAGTGTAAGGCTGTGATGCAGAAAATGCCAAACAGTTACACTTGTCAAGCTGGACATGCGTCAGAGGCTCTTTTCGTACGTGTTTTCACATACTGGCCGCGCATGACAGGCTCTCCCTGTCATGCAGAGCAAACTTGTGATGCTATTCCCCCAAGAAAGTTACACTAACACAGTTTTTTTCTTGGATAGTTCGTCGGCGTGCCCGAATACAAACTGAACCTGAGCCTCGCCCGCAGCAAAGCGCGCTTGGAACTCTCGAAGAAGGACAACGACCGGATTAAGGAGGCCGGACAGCGGGCTCTGAACGGCGCGACGTCGCACTTGTCCCGATCCGTATGCATTGCAGAAGTACTATCGCAGTTGTAGTAGCGGTTGCAGCAATACAAATAGCTCAGCATGACAAATGGGATATATTGTCGTGCTGGTTTACAACTTTGTTGGGAAGGAGATTTGTCATGCATAGTTGCGATTACCGACTTGAGCTTGACTACGATTGCGATAGTACTTTTGCAATGCATAATCCGTGTCCGCGGACAACTTGCGGGTGCCGTTCTCGAAGACGACGGGATTGGTGGAGCAAGGGTATGATGCGTAGCTGCATGAGAAATTGTGACTATGACGCGTAGCTGCATGGCAAATTATGATTTTGACGCGTAGCTGCATGACAAATTACTTGTACTGGTTCAGCATCGCAAGAATTTTTTGGGCAACAGGCTCTGCGAAGATTACGAGCTGCTGGAGCTGCGCATGATCCACGTTCATTCTGAAAAAATACACAAAATTTAGTAAAACGAGAAAAACATAACAGCCTGAGAGCTGCAAATACAATGCATGCCCAGCATGAGAGCTGCAAATACTTTGCATAATGCGCATCACAAATTTAGATTTAAGTACACTAAAAAAACATAACAGCCCCTGCCATCCGAGGCCGATCGTGAAGGAGGCGCCGAGCATTTTCGACAGCGTCACGAAGTCGGGCATGGTATGCACTGCAAACACGTCTGGGTCTGGAAGGATGCGAGCTTTGTCATGCACATTTTGCATGACCGATGGTGTCTGTGATGCATGCCCAAGCATCACAGATTTGTTGAGGGCGTCGTCATGCACATATCGCATGAGAAACGCCCTCGCCACGCAGCAAAAACTGGACTCCCCTTGCTGCTCATGCAATACAGATTTTTTTAAGATCCAAAGGTAGCATTACATACAAGCTGCATTCTTTCAGACCCAGACAGATTTGCATTTGATACATGGTCTGGGAAATCGGTGACGCCAAGAAGTACGGGTTCAACGGGTACTCGCGGACCGGCTACGGGGGCTTGTGGAAGCGTTAAGTTGAAATATTCAAACGCTTGTTGAGTACTATCCAGCTATCAGCGGGTGGGGGGTGTTCGTCTTCTTTGTTCCCCTGATGTTCGTTTGATGTTTTTTTTCCCATTTCCATCCTCTATCTAAGAAACCTTCGCTATTAAGTGTGAACCCCCACTTGTTTCACGAACTCTGAATCATCTTCTAGTACAATAAACCAACTGGTGCATAACTCACCCAGTCTGAGTCATCGTGTCTTTGATCACGTAATGCCAATAGAAGAAGCCGGCGCAAGCAACTTGAAAATAAACCCAAAGCTGCATGAAAAGCTGTACCCCAAGCTCAGCAAGCGGCTGGTACTGCTATCCCGAGACTTTCTTTTGCAAAAATCTCTTGATGTTAGAAAGCCAAAGTTGTTCCCCCTGTCCTTTTCGAGGTTCCGGTTTTTTAGGCCGATGAGCCAGCAGCTTCAGTTTCTTACACGTAAAAAATTTGACAGCTTTTCTTTTTACCCTGACAGTGGGAAGGTAAAGCAGTAAAGGGACGACAGGAAGGCCGGATTCCGGCCGCAAGTTGTTTCCGGCCGCCGGAAACAACTTGGGGCGCTTGTTGTTCGAAAAATTTATCGGTCAAAAAACGTAGCTCCTCATGAGTTCAGGAAAAACATGATCTCTACACGACCCGGTATGTTGCGGCTCCGTGCTGTGGAAGTCAAGAACATCTTCGGTTTAATCCGCAGCAAGGCGCAGCTCGGTATGTTTATATACAACATGTCGTCGGTCTGTCGAGTTGATTGCGGAGTTTCGGGGAGAGGTAACATCAGCCTGGCCACAATGCTAGCTGTGATTAGATTTGTAGTCCCTACTTACATTGTACTAGTACAAGTTGTATAAGTTGTGCCACACACTTCCGCAACAAACGACAACGTGCTGTAGTGCTTTTGTGCGGCACCGGCACGCGAAGCTGAACTATTGATACAACCATTGTTCATGGTAATTTTTTTTTTCGGACGCCATTCTTCTGAATATTTCCAGTTGAGGAGGATTTTTATTTGTTATCCTGAATCAAAATCAATCCAACCCGTACCCGAGGTGATAAGTAGTTGTTTTTCGCTCAAGTGTGGTATTTCGATCCCAGCTAAAGCAAACCGATCTAATAGAAGGAATTTCTTTCCGTTATCGATTGCAAATATATCTGGATCTGGAAATTTGTGTTGTTGAAGCTTTCGCTGCAGAGTTGTAGACACTTCCTACATAATTGTCAGCATCAGAACTTTTGCGAGATTCATCGCAAAGAAGGTACTTACTGCAGATTCAGGCGTAAAACGCACGAAAAAGAAGGTGAAGGTGCTCAATCGCATTCATGCATGACAGATCTTGTTGCCCTTCCAAATTCGCATGACAAACCCAGCCCCAGACTACATATTTGCCATGCATACCTGGTTGCTTTCCGCTGGACTGTCGTGGTACTTCGATTCCATCTATCCGAACAGAATCTATCAAATGTAAAAATGTCTGGGTCTGGAACATTCAAAACTTGTGATGCTGTCTCTGGATTCTGAAAAAATTTGTATTGCATGACCAGCAAGACGACTCCAGTTTGTGCTACGCGGAGAGGTCATTTCTCATGCTGTATAGGCATCACAAAGCGCTCTAAAAATCTGTGATGCTACGGCATGCATCATAGACATCATGGGTCATGGAAAATATGCATGACAAATCGAGAAATCTTCCAGACCCAGACATTTTTGCATTTGATAGAATCTAAACCGATCCAATAGGAATTTCTACCTGTGGAGGCGGTCGGTCGTTCTTCCTGTTGGTGTTGTATACTGTAAAAGTTAAATTTCTACTACCTGTGGAGGTGGTCGGTCGCTACACCAGTAACTAGAACTACCAGTCGTGCAACTACTGAAACTGATAGTGATAGCTGCCAAGAACATGGCAACGCCCTCGAAGTCTGTCGCAGTGAAGAGAATGTCTGTCCCTTCGTTCACTACAGCTTCGTATGAACTGCAACTGCAAATATGATGCCTGAGTCTGGAAACTTCTGATGCTGTTTGGTGAATCTTCATGTGGACGCCTTCATTGACAGCCAAGCATGACAAGTTTTGGAGTTGCTATAGTGTAGCTGCCTATCTGCATGACAAACTGCGTTTCTGCATGTTGACAGAGAAATCTGGCTTTTGGGTGGCGTGCATGACAGACTTGAGAGCCTGAGCCATGCTAGCCGTGCATGGCAAGCCTTGCATTCTATCAGACCCAGACCACATATTTGCATGTGATACTTCGTGGTCGGTTTTCCTGGCAAGAACTACATTTTTGTGGTTTTTCTTGGCGGGAGGTGCTGTCGTGACCGACGTGCGCGCAGTCCTAATGCAACCAGCGGGACAAGGACAAGAGGTAGGAGAACCAAGTCTAGGAGCACAAGAAGCAACACGCCCACGATGGCGTTATGGGAATCTCAAACGTTACATTCTCAACTGTTACATGGAATTTGTAAATGCAAGAATGGCAAAAGTGAAAGTTGCGCCTTTTGAATTACAGGTTTGGAGCAGATTATATATAATGCTATCCAGCGCGGCGTCGAGATCGAGAACTTGTGATGCAAGGAACGCTTGATCGTGTGCAGAGCGATGGCGTTTTTGCATGACAAATCATGTAACAGTTGCGAATGTAACGTTTGAGAATCCCATAGGCGTTGCTGTAGGCGGCGAAATCTGCCCGCCGCCGCCGCTTCCGCCACGACGGACAAAGCGGCTGGGGCGGCGCCTCTCCTCGGCGGCGTTGCAGACGGACTGGGAACGGACACGCGCTCCGACGAAGACCCCCCCGCGGCGAGCTCTTCCTCCCCCCGCGGCCGCGCCGCGGCGAGAAGTTCCTCCCGGCGCGCACGCGCCGGCTCCGCTTCCGCCTCGACGGGCGAAGCGGCTGGGGACGCGCCGCAGGCGCCGCCGCGCAGCCGCTCCCGTGGTATATTCAAAACTGGTTTTGAACGCTGTTTCTCATAGATCAAAATACAGAAAATGAACAGGACGAGAAGAAAAAGCTACGAAAGCGATCAAGCAAGAAAAGGACCGGAATACCAAGGAAAAGCAAGCAGATTCTTGCTACGATCGAGAAGAAAAGAAACGGAGAAGAGGAAAAAGAGAAAAGGAAAGAGCTTGAATCCGATTTACGCTGAATCCGAATGAAAAACTGCCTTGTTTCTATATTCAAAGAGCTGAGCCACGGCTGCGGGCAAGTTAGGAATAGGAAAAGACGCGAAATAGCATAAGAATCTGGGGAAAGCTCGATGATGTTAGGGAATTTGTAATTCGAACCTTTTGAATTTGATGTAGTTTTAGCGGGTGTTCGAATTGGAACTCGGTAGGCTTGCATTTGAAAAAAAAAATCTTTCCATTTCGAAACTAGGTCCCACACGCTCCCCCTCCCCGGCGAAAACTTTCTCCCTGCCCGCGCTCGGCGACGCTACTGGTTCACTTCAGCCGCACGGGCTCCATGAATGTGTTGCGGCTTGGGACGGAAGGACACCAGGGCGAGCTCCCTGCCTGCGGCAGCGGGGCCGACTGCGCGGCGGGCCCCCGCTGCGTTTCCCCTGTTGCAGGCGCCGAGCGATGTACGCGACAAGAGCCCTTGCATGCGAGTGGGAAAGGAAGGCGGGGGGCCCCGAACAACACGGGGGCCCCCCGCGAGCAGGTGAAAAAGGTGGAGGGGGCCCCTTGGGCACCGGTGGTACAGGCCGGGGGCCCCCCGCGCCCGCGCGGGAGAGAAAGGCGGGGGGCCCCCTTGGGCGCCCCCGGCCTCCAAAGGTGGAGGCCGGGGGCCCCCTGCGGGCGGGGGAGATTTACCGCGGAGAAGGACGGGGCCCCCCCCCGGCCTCCCTCCGGCGGGCGGCCCGGCCGGAAGAAGGGCGGGGGCCCCCTGCGGAGGCGGAAGCGCGGGGCCCCCTGCGGACGCGGGATACGCAGCGGGCGGTAAGGCGGGAGGCGGGGGCCCCCTGTTTCACCAGGCAGGCGGCCCGGGAGAAGGTCGGGGGCCCCCTGTGGAGGCGGAAGGGTGGGGGCCCCCTGCGGACGCGGGATACGCAGCGGGTGAGGTGGAGGCGGAAGCGTGGGGGCCCCCTGCGGAGGCGGGATGCCCCGCGGGCGGGAGGGCGGGAGGCGGGGGCCCCCTGTTTTCCCCGACGGTATGCTGGACGCAAAAATAGTAACCCTCATCGTAGCGTCGTCCTTACAAGTCTAGGCCTCAGCGCGTACCGGTCTCAAAAAAAATCTTTCCATTTCGAAACTAGGTCCCACACGCTCCCCCTCCCCGGCGAAAACTTTCTCCCTGCCGCCCGCGTTAAAGAAGGCCTCTTTACGTAGCTAGTTACTTCTTTACAAAAGGACCCAAAAAAGGAGACCTAAGGTTCGGGTGTGAATTTCTTCACCCAGCTTCTGTTCCCTTCCTTGAGTTGCTGAGGTGTTGAAGTTTACACCTATGCTCGACTGTGCAAGAGGGTTTTTGCCTTACCCCTCTAAGGTCTCAGGAATCACGCTGCCACACTGTTTCCAAACCCACGCCGACACTACCAAAAAGACTTTTTGATATAGAATGAAAAAGCCACAAAGAAGCATGCTGTAGGGGGAAGGGAAAAGGCTTGCAGCTACTCAAAAAGCGCGGCCAAGAATATCAGAGGGCTTGCCTGGGGGTAGTTTCTGCATAGATGCCGCGCTCGTGTATTTTTTATATCGTAGTAAAGACGTAGAAGAGCAAGGGCGCGATTTGGTCGGCAACTGCCCCCTTCTCTGCCTTCCTCCAGCAGCAATACTTCCAAAAAGAGCCTATGCACAGCCAACATTCCGCCGCGCCCAGCCATGCATGTCGTGGCACTTCGACGTCCCAAAGGTTGCATCTTCAAAACTCACAAGAGTGAAATGAGATTTCCCGACCTTTAGGCTTAGCATTTTAGGCGTGAGGGGCGGGGCAGTGGGCCACTAGGAGGAACAGGTACAGAATCACCACCGAAAATGGGAGTGTGCTGCAGCCTTCGCGTTACATTACCACGGTTGTCGACTCCCACGCTCAGCTGGGGTGGAGGCAACCCGGTGGTGTGACTAGCTGCGTACTGACCAATGTGAGCAACCGTAGCATTGTCGCGAGGAGGAGGGAACAGCAGTCCGGAGACCGGTGGATTCGCAATGCGAGAAGCCGGAGAAGGGGTCAGACCGCAACCTACAGAACACGAATTGGAACCGCGATGAGATGATGATGACGAGCCTGGATCAACACCATTTCCGATCTGAGGTTGTCATTAGATGCATTGCAGTTTTATGTTTGTGCCTATGTATTTAAAAAAAAAAAAATCTTTCCATTTCGAAACTAGGTCCCACACGCTCCCCCTCCCCGGCGAAAACTTCCTCCCTGCCGCCCGCGCTCGGCGACGCCGCTTCCGCCTCGAACGCAGCGGCTGGGTACGCTCTCGGCGGCGCTGGAACTGCGCGAGTTAAGGTGCTGAAGAGTAATGGGCATCAAATGCGAACAATATGTCTGGGTCTGGAAGCCTGCAGGATTTGTCATGCATTTCGCGGACGATCATCACGAAAATCGAAATCCATGGCTTGGAATGCAATTGCAAACAGAAGCATCTTCACAGATTTTGCGAGACCTTCCTCATGCCCATCCCACATGATCAACGTCCTCACAGTGAAGCGGCGGCTTTCTGCTCATCAGATCATGAGAAGTAGTAGCCTACCGTTTGACTCACTAGCAAGGAAGAAGTATTGAGCTGCTTTTGGCTTTCATGACACGCAGACGGACCTCTACCCTTTTGGTCCCGAGACTGCGCATGACAACAAGCTGCATCCTTCCAGTTCCAGACAAGTTTGTTGACATGCATAATGCTCCGTTGGGAATTATCCAGTCTCATCTGATGAATGAAGATCCGGGTCACTACTTGATGAATCTATTCAAGCTGACGTTTTCCGGCTTGCAGAGTCAGCTGCCCTATCACATGTAAAAATGTCTGGGTCTGTAACAATGCAACTTGTGATGCTGCGTCTGCATTATCTAAGAATCTGTATTGCATGAACAGCAAAAGAGGTCTGGTTTCGGCCACGGCGAGAGGGCATTTCTCATGCGTTATAGGCATCAGAAAGCCCTCACAAGATCTGTGATGCTAGGGCATGCATCGCAGACATCAGGAGTCATGCAAAATGTGCATGACAAACCTTGCATCCTTCCAGACCCAGACACTTTTGCATTTTATATGCCCCGGGACGAAACGATGTGGTTTGACAACCGGATGTGCTCGCTTACCGAGATATCCTGAGTAAAAACGTCCCCACACCAGAGTCAGGATGGGGATTTTGCAACACAAACCTAGGAGTTTTAGGAGTCACGCATGACAAGTTGCACTCCGCAGTGTAGTGCAGGTTAGCAACTGCAGCCGCATCACAGATTCATCTGCGGATCCTGTTCACAGCATCACAAATTCCAATACACGACTGGAAATGCCTTTCATGGGGATGCGCATTACAAGTCTTCCTGTCTTTGCAAATCTGCATTACAACTCTGGCGTGGGGACGTTTTTACTCAGGATACGAGATCCGTGACGAGGTATTCGAGTCGTGGAAAACCGCCGACTCGAATCGTCCTGGAGTCTGGAAGGTTCCGCGGGTCACGTTGTATCCAGCGGAATTAAGTATGCCTGGGTCTGGAAGGGTGGAACCTGTAATGCTGGTCTTACATTCCTGTGAATTGAAAGTGAAATCTGTACTGCAGGACCAACAAAAGTAGCCGCGGCCGCCTCTTGTGTCATACAAAGTCGCAGTTTCTCATGTGCCGGGCTGCGCATGTTGAGAAAGTCTTCTGGAAAGTTGTCATGCTTGGCTGCGTTTTTCGGAAGTGTTTCTATCACCCACACTCTAGCCTCACAAGTTTCCAGACATCGAGGGATATTTGCAATGCATACGGTGGGCCAGGAGGCCGGGGTCTGGTGGGACCTCTTTTTCCACGACCCGTGGAGCGACGCCCGGGTTTTCAAGGCAGTGAGCAGAGGGTTTCCCGATTTAACAGCGGGAACCAAAAGCCCGAATGTGATCTCCTCCGCCTTTGCGTCGTTCTTTAAGGAGAAGGTCTTTCCCCTCTCGAGGAAGTTCATGAGCTTAGCTGATGATGATGAACAGAAAGCCCTAAGTCTCGCCTTTGTAGACGCTTTCGCCGGCGCGCTAGAGCTATCAAGTTCAAATATGTCTGGGTCAGAAGTTTACGGTTGCAAGGCTTATCTATCGCGCAGCTTTCGCATGACGACCCAGTGCTCCCAGATGGGCTGCGGGCTCTCGTATCTTCACATCAAGTTTTGAGAAGGCTCATCCTCGATCATGATGCCTATGTTCAGCATGAGACAACACGTTGTCTCTCTTTGGGTAACCGAACAAAGTGGGCATGTGTTTTGCTGGCTATGCAACAGTACAGACTTACGTGTCGAGCAGACGAGGCAGACCTAGCATAATGAATAAGTACATTCGGGCTCTACAACTTCCAGACCCAGATACTATAGTTGCACTGCATAAAGTCGGCCCGGGGCGACGACCAAGCACGCGGTCAGCTTTTGGTCGTCTCAGGTTGATACTGAGTACGGCGGGAAAGTTGAGAACAAGTTTGAGGTTTCCTACGGTGGAAGATCCGGCCTCCCACGAGAGCAGCTCACGACTTTCAAGCCTCACTATGGTGGCGCAGAGCATCTAGATGGCGTCGCTATGATTAAACCAGAAATCCCCCTGAAGAAATACATGCTTCTCGGAAAACGAGTCAAGGAGGGGGCCAGGGCCACTAGATTGAATAACTCACAGGGTGCTGGGGCTTCAACTGTGCTAGTGTTTCACTACACGACATGTCCGCGCCTCTCTCCAGGCCGTAGGCTAAGCATGACGAGCTCCATTCGCCGCAACTGCAAGCGCCGCCCTGCGTGCATTTGTATGTAGTGAGGTGAGGAGCGTGCATCTTCGTGGGAAGAGGAGCGAGCGGCGTTTGTGCTTCTGGTCTCGTTTACAACAGTTATTTGAAACCGGAGCACGCCCAAGACGGCGGCTGGTCAAAATATGCAATGGAAAATAAGTAGTTACAGGCCCCACCCTAGCAAACTTTTTGCCCCGCCCATCGTTGTGGGCTCCGAGGAGCATGCACCCCTTCCGGATTTCTGGTCTAATATAAAGGCCGGCAATGTCGACCTCGACGAGAAACAAGCAGAATCGTTTGGGGCCAGGGGCTGGGGATACTCCTCTAGTCTCGACGACGAGAACGAGCTGCTGCTGCGAAGGCCAGGGGATACTACTCTGGTCTCACAGGGCTGTTTGTGCGTTGGTGTTGACGAAGAAACCCGAAAGCTTCCGTTGTGCGCGCTGTTAGCTCGGAGGAGCTCTTACGCTTTGATGGAGCTAACCATTACGAGGGCTGAACATTACGGGGACACGCATGCTACAAAGTACGAACTGAAAATTAACATTCGTGTGTTTTTCCGGCCTACAAAAGAGTTTGGAGGCCTTGACAGAACCGACTTGGAGGAAGAATGCGGACGCCTTCCCTGGTAAGATTTTCTTGACAAGCTTCCCTGCTCTAAAAAGTGCATCGCTTCCTTTTCTTTATCCTTTTCAGAAATCGAGCTTTCCAACGCGAAAACGCTACATGACCCCACAGCTCGACCAAAGAAGCGATAGAACAAGAGCGCTAACAAGAAGACGACTTAGACTAGTGAAAGAACAGGAAGTTGCGCAGGAAAGTAAGACAACGATTAACAGCAGGGATAGGGAAGACGGTCCATGAATTGATTGAGTTCGTTGAGCATTTTACTTTTGACAAAAAAGATCCATCAAAAATGAAAATGGTCACCCCTTTCAGTTGATATGCCGACAGTGCGTCGAGAATCTGATGAAGAAATAAAAGAATGGCGCGCCAGGCTACAAAGTACTTATTGTTATTTACAAAAGAACGAAATAAAAGTAAAACCAAACAGGGTAGAATTTTCTTTCGTCATCTCTCCGGCCAAAGCGACGCCGGTATTTTCTTTCGTCAGTATCTTTTTCACCGCTTCGGCCCGAGCAACGCCGGGGGCGCGGGTATTAAAAAGAGCCGGCCCCCTTACGCGTGTAGCCTTTGGGCCGTGGCACTTCGGCGGCGCGAAAATCCCGGGAAAAAAAAAGAAAGGCGCCGCCCCCGCCGTAGGTTGCAGGTACGCGAAAGCGCTGCGGAGCTGCCGCCGCAGCGCCGAAGCGCCATGGCTGCCCGTAGAAATTTTTCTTTTTTCTCTATTCACTTCGGCCCGAGCTTCGCCGGGGGCGCGAGCATTAAAAATAAAGCGCTGGCCCGCCCCCTATGCGTGTAACACTCTGGTCGCGAAACTCCGAAGGCGCGAAAATGTTGAAAAAAAAAAGGCGCCGCCGGCATAGCCACTAGGCAGGCGCAAGCGCCGGGGGGCATGCAAGTACGTAGCCGCCGCGGCCCCCCCCAAACTAACACCACCCAACGAATCCCGACGAAATTTATCTTCTCCACCTTCGGCCCGAGCTTCGCCGGGGGCGCGGGTATTAAAAAAAAGCCCCGGCCCCCGTACGTGTGTAACCCTTGGGCCCCCACGGGGCGCGAAAACCTAAAAAAAAAAAAGGCGCCGCCGGCATAGCCACTAGGCAAGCGCAAGCGCTGCGGGGCATGTAAGTAGCCGCCGCAGCCCCCAAACTGACACCATCCAAGCAAACCCAGTGAAATTTATCTTCTTCACCACTTCGGCCCGAGCTTCGCCGGGGGCGCGGGTATTAATTAAAAAAAAGCGCCGGCCCCCGCACGCGTGTAACCCTTGGGCCGCGACACTCCGGAGGCGCGGAAATCTCCAAGAAAAAAAGAAAGGCGTCGCCCCGGGAGAAAAACTTTTGCGCAGTAAATAAGTACACACTTCTGCGAAGAGAAATAAGCGAAGGCGCCCGGACTTTTTCTCCTGCGGAAGATGATAAAGTGCAAGACTACAACGACGCCCGCTTCTCACAGTGACAATCACAAATTTTTGCACAGCCCGACGCTGGTGGCGCGGTCCACTACGTATGGGCGAACTCCTGCAAACCTCTGTATGCGTGACGTATGAATCTAGTTCGAGTGACTTTCTGTTTCTAGCCCGAAGACAAATGGTCGGAAACGCAGCCCAGTTGTGTCTTTGTGTGCCGCTGGAGATAGGGATGCTGACTGATGTAAGTTTACGCCAGTTTTCTCCTTTTTTTTTCGACATATAAAAAACGCGACGTGGTTACTACTCCAGTCGCACTCGTAAAATTCTTTTTTGAGAATGCAAGCCGTAGCTGGTTTGCTCTTTCTGATACCACGTCGAGTTTCGTCGCGAAGCACCGTAAAGCATCCTGATGAGATTCTTCTTATGTGCAGTAAAAAAGATATTAAGCTACACTGCGAAGCGAATGCGAAACACTAAGCCCTGACTTCTTATTCTGTGGAAAGTAAAATGCAAGACTGCAACGACATAGACGTGCGCTCGCAGTGACTATCACAAATTTTTGCACAACTCGACGCTGGTTGCGCGGTCTACTACTCATGGGCGAACTCCTGCAACCGCTATGAGTGGTTATGAGTTAAGTATCGAGTTCCCGCCGTGGGCCTTGGCCTTCTTCGCATCAAGGTTGTGTGTTCCGTAAGAATGAAAAAAGTCAGTTGTTCTTTCATCTCAAGAAATTCCCAGATAGTGTTGTTGAAGCTGTTGACTGAGCCTGCGAACTTATCAACACTCTTATTGCAAGGAAAAATTTTCCCTCCTCAACCTCATGTTGAAAACGTAAACGTATGCGTCTGAAAATTTGTGATGGAGATTTCGACGAATCAAACGTCTTCTTTTGAATAAAGTCTAGGTGTGATTGAAGAAGAGCAGCTTCTTCACGGAGAGAGAAGATCAAGATGAAAATTTTCACGATTTGGTTTTGTCCTCCATGTGTCGGGAGCACCACAGCGGTGGGCGATAGAACGTTATTGTCGTCCTGTGTTCCTGTTCCGGCCTGAATCTGAGTTACTCTTCTGTTACGCATTGTATGTTATGCAAATTCACTGCAACGCAGTTACAACCAGAGAAGCACGACAACGAACCAGGAAAAATTGACACGAGAAGGAATTTTGGTTGGTCAGCGATGCACATCAAGAACATTTCCGGTGTCGTGTTTTTTGTCAATGCTACCAAAAGTGGAAAAGCTGCGTTTTCGGTGGCAGAAAGCCTAATATTTCGCTCAGCTTCCGCCAGCACAAGAACCGTATACAGATAAATGGATGCTTGAAAATCAAAATCAGTGGACTGTAGGTGATCACGACCATGATATCGAGGAACGCATAGATAAAAGATGGATCTCAATGCGGAAGCGGTTCGCTGGTTGGCTGCCACCACCTCCGGCAGTGATGGTGGAACGAGAAACAGTAATTATGGTGCGCCAACGACAGCTGCAAATAAAAGAGCATCTGCTGAAATGAATTCCACGCGTCGCGACAGCACGACAACGCTGTTAAACAACAACCCCCTTCCCGCTTTTCAGCTGCTGCACCGCGCGTTGAAGCAAGGCATTGTGTACGCATTGCAAATTAATAAGTATGCCGAAGTCTGGAGTAGACAAAAATCTGTGTTGCATGGACGGAAAAAGTTGCCTAGCACTTCTAGTAACGCAGAGGGCGAATTTCTCATGCGGAATAGGCACTAAGGCGCTCTTGCGCAATCTGTGATGCTTGTGGTCGCATTACAAACCAACTTTGTTTTCCACGAGATGCATTGCATTCTTCCAGACCGAGACATTATTTGTTTTTGATATCGTGGAGAAAGACCTGTTTTTGTTAGCGGAGACCTGGGCGAACCTCGGGCTGGCGTATCGCAAGTTGCAGCAGCACGAGATATACCCAGTGCAAAAGTCTCGTACTCCGACGTAGTCGTACTCGTACAAATTACAGTGATGGAGGAGCACGACAAATTTCTCTTCCTGACGAGCTAAATCAAGAACGTGACAATTTTTGAACTTCCATTGATTTGTAAATGCAATTCCATTTGATGTAATGCTAATGTTGAGAAAATTTGTAGTGTACTATGCAGTTGGTACTCGCTGCACGATAGTACTTTTGCATTGCATAGTGTGTTGCAGAATGTTTCCGAGTTCGGCACCTCCTCTCCCGTCCACGACCAGCAACAGCTGCAGGATTTATCCACTGCAAAAGTGTGTGGGTCTGGAAACTTGTGATGCAAGTCAGGGAAAAATGCGTATACTGGAATGCACTGCCAAGCATGACAAGTTTTTCCGTGGTTCAGAGTTGCGTACTCCGCATGAGAAACTGCGTTTTTGCATGACAGGGAAGAGAAGCCCTTTGCGGTCACGCAATACTGAGCTCACAGTCATGCCGGACTAGCATGACAAATCCCGGAATCTTGGAGACCCAGACATTTTTGCATTTGATAGGATTTGGCCATTTACAATCTGCAGCTTTCCGCCAGCCTGCTCAGACGGGTTTTGGACCACGACAACGACATAGAAATTCAGAACGCTCTAAACGCCCTCGAAGGAGCATCGAATTATACTTATCCCACGGGTTCTTCTAGCACGACGACCGGGTCTACTTCTCTGTCGCTGGACGCCACGTTGTATTAAATGCAAAAGCATCGTACTAGTAGAAATCGCATGACAAATTCTGTCAGCATGAAAAATGGAATTTGTAATGCGGATTTCGGGTAAGAAGGACATTTGTAATGCATGACTGCGATTACTACGAGTACGATACTTTTGCACAGGATACGTTGCAGAACCACTCGAAGCTGGCTTCCCTCTACCTGAACTTGTCCGTCTTGCACCACGAAAAAGCGCGGGCTGCGGTAAATAAAATATCGACGTCTACAACTTGCGGAACGACATCGTCACAGCCCTCAAATCAAAAGAACCAGACCAGGAGTTGCTTTGAAGATGACTACACTATGAACGTGCAAAAGCATTGTGCTCGTTGCGATTGCAATCATGCATTGCAAATTTTTTTGTCAAGTCAAATCCGCATTACAAATTTTATTTCTCATGAATTTGTCATGCGATTTTCATTTTTACTAGTACGATGCTAGTGCTTCTGCTTTTGCAGTGCATACGAACCGCTTTTCACCTCCTGGTCCCAACCGCCGACCCGGAAATCGAGCACGAGACAGCACTGCAGTACGGGATCCAATGTGTCGACATGTGTGTCTCGGCGCTGCTGCGTTTGGAACAGAATCCCAACTTTGCAGTACCGAATTTATTTTACGCGCAGGATCAACATCTTCTTCCCGGCAGCTCAGCGCAAGAACGGCTGTCCTCTGCGGCAACTATGATGTACAACAAAAACAGCGGCACGACCAACTCCTCCTCTTCTACTTCCAGTAGTCAACAGAAGCTGTATATCCGAGGAAAAAAGATTGTACAGGTGTAACTTTTTTGGGGAAACAGCATTACAAATCTGTCTGGCATGAGAGCAAAACCTGTCATGCGCAGATTGTAGGTGAAAACGCGCCTGAATGGACCTTACAATGCATGGCCGGCATGAGAGCTGCAAATACTTTGCATGTTGCGCATCACAAATTTAGATTTACACTAACAATGTTTCTTTCCTTGATACTGTACTCGATCCTGGCCTTGGGTTATCACAGGAAAAAAGTGTTACAGAAGTTACACATTTGTTGGAGCTTCTGCATCACAAATTTTTTCTGTGTGGCAGAGAAAACTTGTAATGCGAAGATCATAAGGGAAAACAGGAAGGAAAAGAGGCTCGGAAGCACTTCCTGCCTGAGAAAGGTTGTCTCTGTTGCCAGTCTTGCATGACAATGTGTAACTGTAACACTTTTTTCTTGCCATATGGGTTACAACCAGCTCGGGATCGCATACGAGAAAGTCCGGGAGTTTCGAAAGGCGTATATCCCGTGCAAAAGTATCGTACTCGTACTAATTGCGTTTATGCACTACAAATATTTTTCTTCAGGCAAGTCCGCATTACAAATTGAATTTGTAATGCTAAGTCACTTATTTGTGATGCAAGTTATACTAGTACGATGCTTTTGCATATTGCATAGCGTACTGTGCCTACCAGAACGCGCAGAATGTGTGCGCAACGTGTCTGGGACCGGAACATCGGGTTAGTAAAGTGGTGGAAAATTCGTGTGCGAGGATTTTTTAACGGTATAATTAGAAAAAAAAATCCCTAGTACTTGGTCCTCTCGACGTAGTTATCTTGCAAAAAGAAAGCTGTGATGGTGCGCACAAGACCGGTTGAAACTATTGAAAGCACTACAGGGAAGATCCATCAATGAGGTAGACGAGTTTCTTTTATATAAAGAGAAATCAAGTAGAAAATTAAAAAAGAAATAGCCATGAAATTGAAATTAGTAGTAGGAACGCAGAAAATTATTTTCGCGAAAGTAGAAGTACAGAAGTGAAACATGAAGATGAACGTATTAACAAGTAAAAAACACAATCAAAGTTGGACCTCGAAGCTCGGTCTGCAACGACTTTGCAGACGATCGCGCAAAAGTAGATCATTTTTTTTACTAGATGAGAGAGCGCATCAGGACCACGATCACGATGTTCTTTTACCTGGTGCTTGCAGGTCAAATGCCCGCAAGTCCACCCTTCTACTCATCTCGAGAACGAGATGACACGCTTCCTGGCGGTGGTCTTCTTCTTCTTCTGAATAAAATCTAGGTGTGAAGAGCTGCTTCTTCACGGAGAGAGAAGATCAAGATGAAAATTTTCACGATGGCGCCTCCGGCCGAGAAGGGTTTTTCGGCGCTGTTTGCAAAACACGATGCAACTCTACTGCTTGGTGGTTCTCGGTATGGGGATTGCCGCAAAAAGGACGCATGCAGCCACCTCGTTCACCGCGCAGGAGCAGTACTTCTGTCCTACTTGCTGAGCAACGTTTTGGTTTTCCTACTGTTCTTGCAGGACCACGCAAGTGCAGTACAAGCAAGGCCAGCGACATCCGGGGGAATCACCTTCGAACAAGCACTGAGCTATTTCCGCGAGGACTACAAAACGATCAAGTCGGGCCGGGCGGTGCCGCGTGGCAGGCATCTCTACACGGACAATAATGATACGCATATCACAAGAAAAAAGTGTTACAGTTACACATTTGTTGGAGCTTCTGCATCACAAATTTTCTCTGTGTGGCACGGAAACTCGTAATGCGAAGATCATACGGGAAACGGAAAACAGGAAGGAAACGCGGCTCCCAAGCATTTCCTGCATGACACAGGTTATCTGTGCTGCCGGTCTTGCATAGACTATGTGTGTAACTGTAACACTTTTTTCTTGCGATAACGCACAAGGACGCCTTGGCGCAGGGAAAGTTGCACCCGGAGGACCCAAAAGTTTTGGACATCGTCGATTGGTGGCCGGTATGCGATGCAACATCAGTATCGTGCAATTGCATATACAATTTGATATCTCAATCTCAGCATGATGAAAGAGGCAGTTTTTGTTCATGCTGATTCGCTTAGGAAAAGAAGATCTGTGAACATGGATGATTGCGATTGCTACGAGTACGAGACTTTTGCAATTCATACCCGGTGAACCGAAACAACTCCGCGGAGATTTCGTTTCTCGCCGCCAACTATCAAATGTAAAAGTGTCTGGGTCTGGAAGAATGCATGTTTGTCATGCTTGTCTGGCATGACTCTCAAATCTGTCATGCAGGTTACCCAAGAGCCCCATTTTTCTGTGATGCAGAAACGTAGTTTGTCATGCAGATCAGGCAACACCTAGAAGCTCAGAAAGTTGTCATGTTGCAAGGCTAAGGGCAGGGCGTCCCATTTCTTTATAAAAGCTACAAACGGTAACCACCTACCCAGCAAACTCTGAGAGGAATATGCACGGGCAAAGCGATCTCTACCGAGAGACAACCACAAGAAGCTCCTGGGACGGCTGCGGGATGAGCTTTGTAGCTATCTGAGTTGTCATGCTGAGCCAGAAGTAGCTCAGAAAGTTGTCATGCTGAGCCAGCACTTGTGGCCTCATCATGAGACGCCACCCAGCATCACAAGTTTCCAGACCTAGACATTTTTACATTTGATACCAACCTAATCTACCTCGAGAACAGCTTCGGCGGCGTGCATCTCGTGGAGCGGAGGCGGAGGAAAAAGGGAAAAAGACAAGCCAGCACAACCTCAAGCGGTGGAAATGCGGTTACGTACGACGGGCCTGCTACTTCCAGAAGTTCCGGCACCAGCAGTACCCGCCCCCGCCCTCCAGAAGCGCCTTCTGATACAGTAAAAATGGACGGCGACGGCGAACAGGTTGAGGTCGACGTGGGAGGTTCCGAAAATGGTAGCGATAGCCCGAGTAGTAGTTCCACATCAGCAGACGATGAAGCCGCGCTTGTTCCTCCGCTGTCTTTCCAAGAATCATCTGAATCGTCCGTCGCGGATGGATATCAATTGCAAAAGTATCGTACTCATAGTAAAAGTAATTGCATGTCTGCATTACAAATTTCTTTCTCTTTTTCAAGGTAAATCAGCACTACAAATTTAATTTGTAATGCTGGGCTCATTTGTTTTTGCAATGTAAGTATACTAGTACGATGCTTTTGCGTTGCATAATGTAGTTGACAAGAAGGACGCGCTCGTGTCCAACGTATCCTGTGCAAAAGTATCGTACTCGTAGTAATTGCAATCATGCATTACAAATCTTTTCCTTAAGGAAAATCCGCATTGCAAATTTCATTTCTCATGCTGAGGAAATTTGTAATGCATTTATACGAGTGCGATACTTTTGCAATGCATACAACGTGCTGGCCTTCAACGACCAGGGCGGGGACCGCATGTCGCGCACCTATCGAATGGAAATATGTCTGGGTCTGGAAGGTTGCAACCTGTCATGCTAAATCCGAAGTATGCAAAAATCTGTGTTGCATGACATGAGTACCTCCAAAAGCCGTCCACTTCTGGCCAAAGTGAGAGGGAGTTTCTCGTGCAGCATAAGCATGATAGAGATCTGACAAGAGAATCTGTCATGCAGGTGCTGCATTCCAGACCTCATGGGTCATGAAAATCCTGCATTACAATAAATCGCGCATTGTAGTTCCAGACCCAGGCATATTTGGATTTGATAGCACCTGTGTCCTTACAACGAACCCCCACGCCTCCTTCTCCCACAGCTACGCGTTTGGGTACGCGGTGCATTTTACTCACTGGAATAAACGTGTGTCGGTCCTCTCGTCTCCCTGTCGAGAATCACGAGTACGCCACAACGGACGGCTGACGATCACGGCAGGTTTCTATAGTTGCTAGATGTTCTTGTCTACCCTGCGTCAGCAAATGCATTTTATTTGCATGACAGACAAAAGGTGCATTATTTAGGTAACGTGCACGACCGTGCGACTCCGATCGATGAGAAGAGGTATGGTAGCCGGGCATGAGAAGCCGGGCATTTTTCATTTTCCAGACTCAGACTGACATATTTATTTGCAATGCATACACCTGTTGCGGCTGGTAAAACGGCTGGCGGACAAGCTCGCGCTGACGACAGGCTCTTTTACGTCGAGTCCTCTTGACGCAGGTGGAAAGAAACTATTACCGACAGAACAAGAAGAACTCCTAAGACAAAACCTCCAGATCGGTATGGCGGAGGTGGGTATTTTGTCGGGCACCGGGCTATATTCTGTGCAAAAGTATCGTACTCGTACTAATTGCAATTATGCATGACAAATGTTGTCCTTAAGGTAAAACAGCATGACAAGCTCCAGCTTTCATGCTGAGAAAATTTGTAATGCATTTCTACGAGTGCGATACTTTTGCAATGCATAGGCTAGTATCAACTGTAAAAATGTCTGGGTCTGGAAGAATTCATGTTTGTCATGCTTGTTTGGCAGGACTCTTAAATCTGTCATGGACGTTACCCAAGAGCTCCGTTTTTCTGTGATGCAGAAGCGCAGTCTGTCATGCAGAATAGGCAACACCTAGTAGCTCAGAAACTTCTCATGCTGAGCCAGCATTTGTAGCTTCATCATGAGACGCTTCCCAGCATAACAAGTTCCCAGACCCAGACATTTTTACATTTGATAGCTAGCGCTGTGGCACACTTTGTGGAACGAAATCCTGTTGCCAAAGTACTGTGAGGAAAAATCTCCCCTCCCCATATCTTAAAAATTTGTGATGCTGATTTGTGATCACAAATCCTGCCTCTCTTGCAAGAAGGCAAATCCGAAGAATCCGCCGCCTTATGGAGGCGATTTGTAATGCTATTTCACCTACATGGCAGGCCTCTGCTATGCTAAGCGCCTACAACAAAACACCCCTACGCAGGCTGAGTCTTTGCCTCTAGTGCCTCACTGCAAGACAGGGCCGATTTGTGTACACAAATCCAGCAGCAGAGGTTCCGCTTCAATATGGGGAGGGGGGATTTTTCCTTTTGATACAAGGCTCATCGAGGGCGGGGTTGCCGCACTTATTAACACGCAGGATCATTCGTCCGCGATAGTACCAGCGGAAGCGGACACTGCAAGGGCAGGTGCCCGTACAACTTCCGCATCCTCACACCTGGATTTCGGGGACTTCTTTCAACTCTTCGGCTTCGACTTAGATCCAACGGTGTTCGCGCGGAACCGAAAGTATCCTGGGCAATAATTGAATGCATCGTACAACTCATAGTAATCGGAATGATCATGCACGAGCATCACTATCACAAATCTCCTTCCCAAGCTAGAACAGCATGACGAATTACATTTGTTGTGCTACTTGTGCTCCTGCTCCTGACCTAGTAATTTGTAATGCCATTAGTACTACGTTAATTTTTGCACAGCATAGAAAGAACCTGGTCCGCCGTGGCGCCTTCGGTCGACGCAGCATAGATACAACGGAACTTCTGATGCAGCAGAACAGCAAGACAAATAACGCAAACGGAGGTACTATCGATGCGCCGGAGCTGCAACAGAAGAAATCTGCTCGTCCTTATCAGCTGCAACTTCCGCACGTGTACAAGTTCGTGCAGGGGCTTTCCGTCTGGCTGAACCGACAGCGGGTTAAGAATGCGGTGCT